AATTATGGATGCTTACTGATGTTAGTTTTCTGTTGAATTTCTAATATTGCAGTTATGGAGCATCTTGGAAGCTCAAGCATTGCGCGTGGGAGAGGCAAGAACAAGAGGATTTGGACGAACTTTGATTGTTCAAGTTCGCTTTAGATCCAAGCTGGAAATCAGAAGGAGATTTCAAAAATGGATACTGCAAGTTCTAGAGAATGTACTTGCTAAGAAGTTGTCAAGTTCTAGCCTTACTACTGTTCCGCACATTGAGTCGAGAGTAAGACACTTTAGGACTAAGTTTGGCGTAATTGAAGTGATGCTAACTAAAAAGTGGCTTTTCTCGGGATGACAACAGAAAGATAGATGATACAATAATGTGAGAAACAACAATATGATGATCATTGCAGGGTAAGTCATCAAACAAAGTATATAATTATATGGAGTACAAAATTTATTTATTGATTCATAAGTCGCTATTGGCGGACTGCGGCCGCCTGCCGCTACCAATTAGCCGCTATTGCAGCAGTGGGGCGAGGTGATATCAATCTATTTACATTGGCCACCGAACAAGTCCAAAGGTCCGGTCACACGCGTGGGGAGACCAAAGTGGCTGTACTACCAAATAGCATGTGGCTGCTATACTAACTTGCGCATGTTTCTGTGTTTCTCCGCTGTGCAACGACCATGCAACCAGCCAACTGAGATATACCTCTCACTAGTACAAAAATCATCTATATAGGTTCTAGGTTTTCCTTTCGATGAGAACATAATATTACACGTGGATTCATGATAAATCTTATTTGAAAATAGCGGTGGTTTTTTAAAGAACCATCTATCAAAATCATTACTTTTAAAGAGGTTACTAAAAGAATTGTATGTAAAAATTGATCTTCACAGATGGTTTGCTTAAATAACTATGCTTAAAAATTGGAGTAATATTAATATTAACATTGAAATTTCGCAATTGTTGTTAGTTAAGATCGAGTCAAGGAGGATTTAACGCTATGATTACAGTAGATTCGGTTGGAAAATGTATTGGAATAAGTTGGTATGTTTAGAGGTATTTTTGTATCAGCTTCCATAGTAGGGAAGGTTTGTTTTTATTCTTCTTTTCTATAGATAGAGTCCTGAGCCAATCGAGTCATGTATAAATCGGTCTCAGTTAATTTCCTTTTTCTATAAGGTGACCGATCAAGTCCTATTTGAGTTGGACTTGTATCAACCCGAGAGTATAAATATATGTGCTCTAGGACCTTGTAATCTAACAACAATTCAATAATCACTTTTCGGCACATTTCTACCCTAGTTCCAATTTCGACGAGTTCTTGTTTTCGAGTTTAGGTTGCAACGGTTTTGATTTTCAGCGAAAAAATAAGATTTGTTAATCTCGCTTGTATTGGTGGAATTAGTAATTTCTCAAATAAGTCCAATATACTAGTTAAGCTCTTACTAGCGTTGCCTATCCGATATATCGACTCTTTATTAGATTGCTTTGCTATCTACTCTCTCCGTCCCTTAGTATAAGGGATTTTGATATTTTGTTGCATGTTTGACCACTCGTCTTATTCAAAAAAAATTTGTGCAAATATAAAAAAACGAAAAGTTATGCTTAAAGTATTTTGGATAATAAAGTAAGTCAAAAAAAATAAGTAATAATTTCAAAAAATTTTAAATAAGACAAATGATCAAACAGTATAAGTAAAATATCAAAATTCCTTATATTATGGGACGGAAGGAGTAGATGGATTTAGTATATCAATCCCTCTATGCATCACCTAACGGATCGTTTAGATTAATCAAGCTTATTATATATCGATTAAATCAACTTGATCAATCTGATAGGTTATGTTCATCATTTTATTAGAGTTTTAGCCGATGAGTTACCTACTTATCATCAATTAATCTGCTACTTACCAGACTTATATAATCATCCGGTTGTTGCTTTTATTGACTTCTAGGTCCGATCTATCAAAGATAGTGATCAATATTTGAAAATATTTGAAGATTGCTATTGATTGTACTTCTTCTTGTCGTAGCCGTGCGCTAGTAGTTATTTTTTTATAGGAGTTAATGATAAGTTTCAAGCAATTTAGCACATCGGCCTATATTTAAAGATCATATAATTGTTTAAATACTATTTTATTTTTAAAATCTTATAGTGTCTTGATTTTGTCCGATCTATCTAGATTGGTTTTAGTAAAGTTACGTGATTCACAATTATATTACATCCAAGTATCCACTGATGTTTCCTTTTGATTCATTTTTGCATCTAAATTCCACCTGTTATAGTCATTGATCAGAAATTCTATCAGTATCAGCTGGGCACACGATACTATATTAGCCGTGTGGCTGATTGGCCCAACGATCTAATTTCTTTGGTTCTATCTTGTTAGTTATAGGATTAAATTAACTGGTACGTTCTGAACCCGATTGATAGGACCTGCACTATAGCGAAGCAAATCTCTTAGGTTTTTATATGAACGACAAATTTTACGTCAATAATTAACTCGAAAAAAATCGTAACTCTAGTGGAAATTGTACATGAAATTCATATGGCTCTCGATAGGATATATAACTTCATAGTTTTAAGGTTTTTTTTAATTTAAGATCATTAGGAACCTAAATACCTGTACAAGCTTTCATATCTATTTTTAAGAAAAACAATTTTTGAGTTTGGCAACTGACCCCGGATGGAGATATGCACTGTACAAAGTTGTATATATAGTGCTGATGAGATTTACAATTTTTCATTTAATATTATTTATAATATATGTTTTAGAGAGGTAAACTTAAAAAATATCATATAATGTTTGAGTGATTCCTAGTACATTTCTGTAGAGCAATTATGCCAAAAGTCATATCTACTTAATTAATGGCTCTGCAGAAAAGTGCCGGCAGTATCGGCTACGTCCACAACAAAAATCCACTATACCGATATGCTTTTGTCATGACTTTGTAGATGCCTTTGGCACTTCGCCTATCAAAACATCACTTCATAAATCAGGCTAATTTAAGGGATATTTCACGTACGGTGCTCTTCTCAACGGCGGTATCCGGCCTATATATGTGACTGCCGGAGCTACTTCTGTGTAATGGTCCTTACTTCTTCGGTAATTTCAGAAATTTTTTGGCCAAAATTATTTGAAGTTTTGACTGATTTTGAATTAATTTGAACAAAATTTGACCAAATTCACAAAAATTGCAAAAAACAGAAAATTTCGGGTGATATTGAGCTTGCCGGTGGGGAGCGAAATTACCAAAATTTTAGAAATTTCGAACCGAAATTTCAAACCCTAGTCATAAGCGTATAGTCCAGTCTATCCGACGAGCGCGGTTATTTACATATAGCACGCTACTTATAGTTTTGTTTTTGTTTCGTGTAAAAAAGTTAATCCAGGAGTAGGATAGTTAGATGGACAAAGTCTTATAGGTCGGTTCTTCTCTTGTTACAGTAGTAAGGTGGTCATAACTATAAACTTTTGTTTTTATTTCATGTAAAAAGTTAACCCAAGACTTATATGATTGGATGGATAAGATCTTATAAGTTGGTTCTCCTCTTGTTTACCAGTAAGGTGATCTTAACCAAGTACACATAGTATTTTGTAGACTACATAAGTCATATTCTAATGGAAAAAATCCAAATCACCCCATACTATTGCGATCGTCAAAATAACCCCCATACTATTGCGATCGTCCGAATTACCCCTAAACTCCAATACCGGACATTTTTAACCTTGAAATTTACAAACCAGACTAGTTACTGTTTATGTCGATCCAGGACGGTTTTGGCCCTACGTGGACACACACGTCGAAGTCTAGTCAACCAAAATAAATAAAAAACATAGGGCCAACTTATTAGCCAAAACAAATAAAACATGGTGAGACCCACTGTCAGTCCAATCCCTCTTCTTCTCCCCTCCTCTTCGCCCTTTCCCCCCTCTCTCTCAATCTCCAGTGCATCAAGGGTGGCAGCAGAGCTAGTTAAGGCAAGCAAAAGATTTGGGGGCAACGCGCGGTGGCGGTGCTAGTGGAGGTGACTCGTGGCGGCAAATTAATGCGGAACTGATGTCGCACACCTTTTTGCCGCCTATCTCGCTGCCCACATCATAGTGCCCTGACCGAGAGAGGTGGCGATGGTGGAAGAAGGGTGGATCTGGCTTGGTAGGTGACAAGGAGGGCGGATTTCTGCCGTCATCTTCTCCGTCGGTGCTGCTCGCCAGGCCTCTCCACCTCTTCCGACCGGCACTGCTATCATCACCTCCTACGCCCGAGCCACCAGCTACACCATGGTCCCCTCGACTATGGTTGGAGTCTACATCGTCTCCCAAGGTCAATTCAGGGGAAGAGGGGCAGCGGTGGCTGAGGCCCCGCCTTGTCGGAGTCCGCATCGCCTCCTGCAGTTGATTTGGAGGAGGGGGGTGCAGTAGTGGCTGAGGCCCACATGGCCAATGTCCGCATTGCCTGCTGAACCTGGTGAAGAGCGCACCTCAACGTCGTTGCTTACTAGGGTCGAGCCGCTAGGAAGGAGAGGAAAGGAAGATGTACTGACAACTGGACTCCACTGATTTTTTTTTGTTTTCTAACTGGGCTGCCATGCGTATGCCACATAGGCTAAAAATCACTCCGCATTGAGTTAGTTGGAAAATTCTTCAGGATTTAAGAATTTGGGGTGTCAAATATCCGGTATTAAAGTTTAGGGAGTAATTCAGACGACCGCAATATTTATGGAGTAATTCAAACTTTTTCATATTCTAATTTGATCAAAGATGTCACATTTTGTGAGCTTAAGCACCGTGTATAGGCCACTAAGGTATTATTATTATTTTTTTCTTCTTTCGTTCGGATGGCCCAATCGAGCAGAGTGGGGAGGGAGAGCTAGCAATGCAAGTTGTCACTGTTTATTGAATGGACACCGAAATATAAGGGTTCGTTCGGGGGGTTTTGAAAGATTGTAAGGGGAATTGAAGTTTTATCTAAAAGAAAATATTATAAAATTCTTAAGTTCAAAATACGTTCCAGCAAAATGAACCTCTTCCTCCTATGATCCTATCCACTGCAAGCTCTTTCTATTGTCCCGAAATTAAATGTTGGACATATCCAATTTTTAAAAAATTTTATTTGGTGTAAATCTGTTGTAAAAATTGCCATAAATTTCCTTGCATCCAGGCTTCTATATAGCTAGCTAGCTATCGTGAAGAGTTAAGCATGGACAAAATGACTCCGGCGGCTGATGGCGACGACGATGAGACGACATGCATCCGTGCCTTGGAGCTAATCTTCACCTTTGTCGTTCCCATGACACTCAAGGCGACGATCAAGCTTGGCCTCCTCGACGCACTCACCGGCGGCGGCCACGCACTCACCGCCGACGAGCTGGCCGCGGCCGCGCAACTGCCGGCCGAGGCGGCGTCGTCGGTGGACCGCATGCTGAGGCTCCTCGCGTCGTTGGATGTCGTCAAGTGCGCCCCGACAGACACTGGAGGCGAAGCAGCTGTCCGGCGGTACACGCCAGCGCCGGTGTGCAGGTGGTTTGCCGGCGAAAGGTCTCTGGCACCGCTGGCCATGTTCCTCCTCGACGACGACTACCTGAGCACCTGGAATCAGTTGCCGGCGGCGGTGGCCGGCGGCGACGGGCAGGTGGCGTTCGAGAAGGCTCGCGGGATGCCCATGTTCGAGTACATGGGGACGAACCGCCGGCTGAACACGCTCTTCAACCAGGCCATGGTGCAGCAGTCGACGGTGGTGATCGGCAAGCTGCTCGAGCGATTCCAGGGGTTCGACGGCGTCAGCGTGCTCGTCGACGTCGGCGGGGGCACCGGCGCCACCCTGGAGATGATCACTTCGAGGTACAAGAACATCACCGGCGTTAACTTCGACCTGCCTCATGTCATTGCTCAGGCTCCATCTCTTCCGGGTATTGAAATTAATATTTTTATCATCTCTTTTCTCACTTTAATTTTTCAGTAGCCCGAGGTTTTATCTAGTTTAAAAACAAAAAGACACTATACCGTTCCAACATAATAGCTTATGTGTATTAACATCGGCACGGTATTACTTGTGCTACCAGACATGATATCTATATATATCAAACTCTTATATATATTATAATCAATGTTAACATCATCATGACGTCGGTTATTTTATTATAGTACTCTCTCCGTATTTTAATGTATGACGCCGTTGACTTTTTAACAAACGTTTGACCTTTCGTCTTATTTAAAAAATTTATGTAATTATCATTTATTTTATTGTGACTTGATTTATCATCAAATGTTCTTTAAGCATGACATAAGTATTTTTGTATTTGTATAAAAAATTTAAATAAGATGAATGGTCAAACGTTGGTTAAAAAGTCAACGGCGTCATACATTAAAATACGGAGGGAGTATAATGGTATACTATTTCGTATTTCCGGTAAAAATATGAGCTCATTTAGATGAGAAATACAAATAAAAGCACGGACAACCCTGCGATACAAATTCTGTACTCTATGTTTGACTTTTTCTTTTCATGTAGGTGTCAAACATATAGCTGGAAATATGTTTGAGAGCGTACCTAATGGAGATGCAATTTTCTTGAAGGTAAGATGAATAACTAGACGTAACATCCATTTCCCCTTTTATTGAGTATTTAAATGTTAACTATAAGATAGCATGGTCCCCATATTAATTACTATTTATCTTACGTTCATAAAAATCTATGTGCACTGACACAAGATGTGTAAAACACTATTCCATTATCTTAAAATTTAAAAAGAAATTATCGATAGCACAAGCCGATCCATAGGTATAATATATACTTCCTTCGTCCCTAAATAATTGACGCCGTTAAATTTTTTAAACATGTTTGGCCGTTTATATTATTTAAAAACTTTTATGAATATATTCAAAAACTTGAGTAGTATTAGTATATTTAACAATAAATCAAATGATAGAAAAGAATTAATAATTACTTAAAACTTTTTAAATAAGATGAACGGTCAAACATGTTATACTATTTGTTGGTCCATTCTTTCATAAAATGAACTATGTTTCATTTTGGAAGAGCAAAGGTGCGAAACTTAGTTCATTACTTTACTTTAAAGTAGGTTGGGTTTAAGACAAAGGAGTGAGTCCGGCTAACACCGTACCAACCCTGAAAAGTATATATGCATTATATTTTAAAGAAACTAATTATGGTCAGTTTAACATATAATACCTCAAGTCATTCTAATATTTTCCACATTCATATTGATGTTAATGAATCTAAATATAACTTCAATATGAATGTGAAAAATGCTAGAATAACTTATATTGTGAAACGAGTCGATAAATAACCAACTAACGTGGCTTGAATATATGTGCATGCAGTCGATGCTCCACCTACATAACGATGAGGACTGCATCAAGATCCTCAAGAAGTGCCACCAAGCACTCACACACAACGGGAAGGTGATTGCTGTTGAGATACTTCTCCCAGCGATTCCAGAGCCGGTCCCAACAGCACAAAACCCATTCCGGATGGACATGATCATGCTCAACAATCACTGGGGAGGAAAGGAGAGGACGGAACCAGAGTTTGCTAAGCTAGCCGTGGAATGTGGCTACACCGGTGTATTTCAAGCAACCTATATTTTCGCTAACTATTGGGCTCTTGAGTTCAGCAAGTAGTTCTTCAAAATCATGTTAATTTGGTTTTATATTTATTATGTATTTCAATAAGTATATATGGCAAAGAGTAATTCCGATGCCATGCAAATGGTTTGAAATTGTTTTTACTTGTGTAATAAAAATATAAATTACCCCCTATAAATCGAACATCGTACTGCAAATGGCTCATATATATATATATATATATATATATATATATATATATATATATATATATGTATATGTATGTATGTATGTATACATGTACATATATTATGTATATGTATATGTACATATGTATACGTATATGTATATGTATATGTATATACGTATATGTATGTATATGTATGTATATACATATATATAGATATATGTATGTATATATATACATACATATATGTATGTATATATATGTATGTACATATATACATACATACATACATACATACATACATACATATATATATATACATATATATATATACATATATATATATATATATATATATATATATATATATATATGTATATACATGTGGTTTGGAGACTCCTAATGCACACGTGCGCGCGCTAGGAGACCAAGTCACACACTCAACCATCTGAATTTTAAAACAACCTCTTTCTACCTAAGATTTCAAAAACTTTCAATATAAAATCTAAAAGCTTTTAATTCAAATCTAAAACTTCCAACTGAAAGTAGTTCAAAAACTTTCAACTTGTGGTCAGACTTTCCATATAGAATTAGGAATTTTTTTTTTAGAATTACACAGTACGACACAGACACTCACAACGCACGCGTACTCACCCCTATGAACACACGCACGCAAACCCTACCCCTATGAACATCTTCGAAGACTGGGCCGGCAAATCAAATCCTGGAGAGATTGACAAAGTCACCACAGGCGGCCGGCAAATCAAATCCTGGAGAGATTGATGAAGTCACCACAGGCAAACCCTACCCTAGAGAGATTGACGAAGTCACCACAGGCAAACCCTACCCCTATGAGCATCTTCGAAGACTGGGCCGGCAAATCAAATCCTGGAGAGATTGACAAAGTCACCACAGGCGGCCGGCAAATCAAATCCTGGAGAGATTGATGAAGTCACCACAGGCAAACCCTACCCTAGAGAGATTGACGAAGTCACCACAGGCAAACCCTACCCCTATGAGCATCTTCGAAGACTGGGCCGGCAAATCAAATCTTGGAGAGGCAAACCCTACCCCTATGAGCATCTTCGAAGACTGAGCCGGCAAATCAAATCCTGGAGAGATTGACGAAGTCACCACAGGCAAACCCTACCCCTATGAACATCTTCGAAGACTGGGTCGGCAAATCAAATCCTGGAGAGATTGACGAAGTCACCACAGGCGCCTCGCTGTCGACGGGTACGTCGCCTACCACTGAAAGCACAACGCCGTTAAATCCTAGAAAATTCGCTCCCATAGGGAGTCGAACCCAAGACCTCAGGTGCTACTGAGGCTCTTGTAACCACCAGGCTACAGGCCTTTTCGCATTAGGAAATTTTTTTATCCAAGAACTGAAACTTCCAACTAAAAAATAAAAAATAAAAAACTTTCTACTAATTGGTCGAACTTTCAATATAGAATTACAAAATTTTTGATTCAAGATTCAAAAAACTTTCAGCCGTAATTCCTCACAAGGCGGCAGAGAAGGAGTACCGCCCCATGTAAAACACCCGATAATCACAATCTATTTGACAACTTGATAACAAATTTTAGTTTTAATAACTTGGTAAGATAGAATTCATCAGAACTAAGCTTCCACCCACTAACATATTCTTACATTTTCAACTACTTAACTATTTTTCTATTCTTTTCTCAATTATTTTCTAATCCTTATTGCTTAGCTTACTAAAATCATTAGAATACTGAGATATTTATCAGAAAAATTTCTTACACGACATCCAAATATATGGTAAAATTGTTCTTCAGATGTATTTTGGTATGACCAAAATAGAATAGTTCGCTCTTATGAAAATTGATTTTAAGATCAGAAAGATGCGTTGATATATTTACATTTAAGATATTCTATAAAACACCTGTATTACATACTCTCTACATATTGAAAAATTGTTTGAATAACACTGTTACATAGTGTATGTACTGTTTCAATAGTACTTCACTTGTACTCGCTTAGTCTCAAAATATATTTATGTAACCAGCTCTACAAATATTTGAATATTGGATGAAGAAGAAAGAGGCTGGCAAAAAAAAAGGCCGAAAGTAAAGTAAGGTGAAGACCGATAAATAAATGGGCCGAAAGCCCATTTAGTTAGTTTTGTTCCGCTGAAAGCCCTGAAACCACACGAACACGCGGCTTTGCTTCGGTTTCGTTGCCCCTCCGCCGCCGCCGCCGCCGCCGCCACCCATGGAGATGGAGATGGAGGACAACAAGGCGCCCTCGCCGCCATCACCTATGGAGTCCGACGTCGCTGGGGAGAAGCGCAAGAGGGAGGACGATGCATCCTCCTCCGCTGTACTTGCCGCCGCCAACAACACCGGCGGTGCCCAGCACCCCATGTGGAAGACCAGCCTCTGCTCCTTCTTCCGCCGCCGCGCCGCCTCCTCCGCCGACGGCTGCAGCCACGGCGACTCCTGCCGCTACGCGCACTCCGAGGAGGAGCTCCGCCCGCGCCCCGACGGCACCTGGGACCCCACCTCCGACCGCGCCAAGAAGCTCCGCAAGGTCGCCGCCGACGAGGTGGAGGAAGAGGTGGTCACCATTGACGACAAGGCCCTGGACAAGTGCCTCGTCGGCCTCCCGAGGGGATGGGCCAACGACAGGCTCAAGACTTTCCTCCAAGACAAGGCAAGAACTAACTACTCCTCCATTCTTCCTCCTGCTCTACTACTAGTTTTTTCATCGTTCTTTCTTGTTTTACCACTGTCTACTCCAACTAGTACAAAATTCTCACACTCTTTCGATTATATCTTCCTGTTTTGCACCAACAGATATTGGTTCAGAATGAGTTTAGTTGATAAGCTCTAGAATCGAAACTATTGATCAACACATGATTCAAGTCCTTACAGCTGATATCACTTGAGTTAGCTTGGTCCAAAAGTCCTTTGACAAGCAAGAAAGTAACTTTTCATCACCTTAGCTTAGTCTGGTATTTTTGTATAGGTTGAAATAGATTACTATACCGTCGCACCATTATATTATTGTAAGATAAGAGCATCTCAAATACATTGAACAAGTAACTTTTCAAATTGGTGAGATTATAATAAGTTTATCTGTTTTGCAACATGTGGATGTGGCTATGATGACATTAAAATGAAGGTATGCCATGGTATATTGGTCATCTCGTAATGTTGTGTCATTTTGATTCATAGAAACTTGAATGGATGAATTGCATTTTTTAAAAAAAAAGTCAAACCTTGATGTTTGTTAATAGATTATGTCATGAACACATGACACATGGAAGTACACTGTTTGAGATTTTGAGTAATACTGGAATCATTGATCCAGTCATAAATACCTTAATACAAGTCATCCCAATAATTCCTGTATACCAGTGATTCTACCTAAAATTCGAATCCGAGTAGCTGGTTAGATGATAGCATGAACCAAATTATTCCATTCAGCATACTCCAATTAATGCATGCTTGTACTTGTAGTAAGTATACATGAACGATGGAATTCTTTTGCATTACGTCCCTCAACTCTTGTTGATATTGTGGACAAATAGAAGCATGGTCAAATATTGGAAGCTTGTCTCAAAGCTTCATCTTGCTCTCCCAGATATAAATTCAACTTTTCTTGCACTAATGCTGAAATACTACTGCTTGGTTCAACCTTGAGTTATTGAAAAATGTGCGATGTTCGAAAATAATTCAGAAACTAGGACTATAATTTTTAGGGTTATGATAATTAATTTTGAGAAATCTTTATCAAGGTCTGACATGGTCAATACTAAAAGAGAATCGGTTTAGTTTACAGATATTTCACAATGGAAAGGAGTTTTTTTCGTAATTTTAAGTTGTGTGGTATGCATATTTATTTTGAGGCTTCTGAAATCTGTACTTGTTTCATTTCTTTTGTACAAATACACTTGATTAGTTTGGCTAGTCTTTTATAAATATATAACAGTACTTACAGTATCCCTAGTGCTAGGAAAGAAATCATCTTCAGTACCTGTATGAAGCACATTTAGAAGTAATGGATTAAGGGACAAAGAGGTGATGATAATAACCATGCAGATATCATGTTTATCTGGTTTGTAAAAATATTGAAAAAGTAAACTCCCAATTTTGGCTTTTTAAAAAAACTTAGAATTGCATGCTTATCTTGTGTAATACTCCTTCCATTTTACTATTTTTTGTCCAAGGCTTTCATGCCCATTATGCACATAGACCAAGCAGTGGTAGTCTACTAGATTTAAAATAAAGTGGGATTGTATAAACCAATCAAATGACATATGGAATCTGCTCAATCGTTTGGCTCTTTTTCAGCACTAAAGTAGTAGAGAGTGCAAAAACTATAAATATTTGGATAGCTTCATTTTTTATTTTCTCAGTAGACGAATGTGAAATGACACTTTCCAAGGAAATAGTCACTTGCAAGACAGAGGGAACATATTTTCATTCCTAGAAAGAAGGATGCAGTTTGCAGCTTTAAATCATGTTAGATTATGCCAACCTAAATGCTGTAACTTCATTGATGGTGATGCAGGGAATCTCGTATGCAACAGCGAAGAAGAAGAAGGGAATGACTGTTGGTTTTGTAACTTTTGAAAATATTGAACAGCTGAAGAATGCTATCGAGGTAATTATTGGTATGTTCATATTGGAACGTGTTTGAGCAACTGGGAAGTGACAATGACTCTTGCATATTAACTTGAGTAGGTACTTACAGAGAACCAATCTGGTGGAAAGGAAATAAAGATAGCAGATGCCAATCGTAGATCTCATCAAAAGCTGCACACAGAAAAGCCTGTATCTGACAATGGAGTGACAACAGAAAATGGTACTAGTGTTGATGTTCCTCCTGGGGAGACATCTGCACCTGAAGCAGCAATATCAAATAAAAAAAGTGTCCGCGATGCAGTTACTCCCCTTGCCCACATGTCTTATAATGATCAGCTAGAGCACAAAAAGAATTCTGTTGCGCAGATACTGAAGAGGCTTGTAAGATCAAAACCATAATCTTCTTCTACCTTTTTGTTTGCTTGAATCATTAGTAACTTTTCTTGTTATCTACTTCCGCAGACTCGCAATGCTAGGAAAGCTTGCCCTACTGGCATTCCCCTTCCAGATTGGGTTTTTAAATCCAAAGAAATTGGTAGCCTCCTACTCTCATTATGTTGTGTTTGATATAACTAAGATATGCTTAGTAATTGTGGCTCTAAACACATGTTCTGTGATAAGATTGTTTGGGTAGAACACGATAATTTTATGTACTATTTATTCTTCTGGTGGCTAATAGGAAAAGTGCCAAAATTGTAGTGGGGATTTGGATGATCCAAATGCATAAATTTTCTTATAATTTCCACCCTAATAACAGTTAAAACTAGTATTATATATGGCAGGTTTTTAGTTAAAGACTTAAAGTTAGTAAAATTTCATAATGCAAGTTCTAGTTAAATGAAAGTGCTATGCTCCTCACTTATAGGGGAATGAGTATATGTATTTGATTAGGAGTTTAATACCTTCTGTCCAAGCATTTGTACATTTCATTTATTCCATTTTCCTCTTTAGTTTGTCATGATTATATTTTAAATCATGCAGGTGGTCTTCCTTGCAAGCTTGAAGGCATTCTGGAGTCCCCAGTGATTAATGGATACCGTAACAAGTGTGAATTCTCTGTGGGATTTTCTTTGGAGGGAAAAAAGACGGTTGGATTTATGCTTGGAAATTTTAGGTTGGTTTCCCTATTTGTTTTCTGTTTGTTGTTCGTGCTCAGCACTAATGATTGACAAAACAAAATCCAGGGAAGGTGTGACTGCTGTTGAGGAACCTGTGGACTGCCCAAATGTCTCAGAAATTTCCTGCAAATATGCTCTGATGTTCCAAGACTTTCTGCAGTCATCAAGCTTGCCTGTGTGGAACAGAGTTGATAATTGTGGATTTTGGCGTCAATTCACAGTATGATCTCTCAAAGCTTTTCAACTCTTTCAGTGGGTGCTTATATGTTCATTTCCTGTTGGTATATTATACACTTTATTTGAACTATTTTAGTTCTGGGATAATAATTTCTCAGACTATGGCTGCTGTATAGGTTCGGGAGGGAAGATGTCAAGCTCAAGCTGTTGCACAGAATGCAGAAAACCAAATATCAGAAGTCATGCTTATTGTTCAGGTAGTACCTCATTCTCAAATAGATGGTGCTTTAGAATGTGCTCTATCAAACCTCATAAACTTTTGGTGGAGAATATAAAAAATTAATACATTAAGACTTCTCATGTCAAAATGACATTAGTAGATCTGTGACATCTGTCATGAAAAATATATTTTTAGTAGTTTTGAAAAACATAATACTATAATAAGTACTGGTTCAAAGGTGCGTGACAAGGGAACAGAAGGATTGTAACATCAAGAATCAAAATGCATTGTATACTACGAGTCCTGTAGATCACATCAGTGCAATACATGTTCCTACTGGCAGTATTGTCTGACTTCCTATGTTCAGGTTTGCTCCACAGGTGTTGATGATGCAGTAATGAAAGATGAATTTGACAAGTTGACCGTTGCCCTGCAACAAGGAGCAGCAACATGCTCACCTCCATTACCTCTAACAACTATAGTAGTGCAAGTAAGTTTGAGTTCTTTGTCTGGAAGTAAGACTTCTATTTATAGTTTCCTCCATTGCCTCAACATTTCAGCTTGTCTAAACTGACCACTCTTATAAGTTTTATTACTTTATACTGTAGATGTCTTGCTGTCCTGTAACTCAATATGCTACCCACTAATATCTAGGAGTTACCATTGTACTAAAAATGTATAAAACATGGTTGATAGGAGTTCAGAAAGTGCATTTATCTGGGTTCATCCGATCACTGGTAGAATATGTTACCACTTGAACCAAACTTTATGTAATTTATAATGGTATATTTGCAACTACGGAATCTTTTACTGCTCATGCAGGATCACAAAGGAATTTCAAATGCTGCACCAGCTGATTGTCCATTGATCCCACTATTGGTGCCAAAAGTAGATCAATCAGAAGGTACAGTGGATAAAACAAGAATCCATGACCACATCGGTAATCTGTGGTTCTCCATATCACCAACAGCATTTTTTCAGGTTAGCTAAAACTGCAGACAGCTTTGTCCATTGGCTATCACGGTTCAATTTGGTAATGACTCACTATTACACAGGTCAATACTCTCGCTGCAGAAAGATTGTATACCCTTGCTGGTGATTGGGCCAACCTCAATTCGGGCACATTACTTTTTGACGTATGTTGTGGAACAGGAACAATTGGACTGACCTTGGCACACCGTGTTGGAATGGTGATTTCCTCCATTCATTTCATGTGATAGTGCATGATACTTCTTATTACCCGTATAATGCTCAGCCACAGCTGGGCTCTTTATTAACTTATGTAGAATTTTGGAAATGTCATGGTAGAGAAGTCAATGAATGATTTAGCGAATTCCTTGTCAAATGTGCAGGTTGTTGGAATCGAAATGAATGAATCAGCAGTTTCTGATGCTGAGAGAAATGCGCTCATTAACGGTGTATCAAATTGTCGCTTTGTCTGTGGGAAGGTGAGGCTTATGCCCTTGTATTCCTAGAAGTTTCTATCATTCTATTGTCACTGACTCACTGTAGCCACCATGGTGTCAATCCTATTCAGTTTTTCTTATGTCCTACTTTATATACTCACCACATCAGGCTCATCTGAATTTTACATCTTGGGATTAAACAGGCCGAAGATGTGATGGGGTCTCTTCTCACTGAATATCTTGGTTCACCGCAGCAGGACATTCCTGTTTCTGAAGGTGCAGTAAGTGGTACTGTGAAAGATGAGGAAGTTATTGACAGTTCTAAGAATAGTGGCGAAAATTTGGACAGCTCAATGCAGAAAAATGACAATGGCGAAAGCCAGCAGCTCGGGGATGCACCAGCTGATTCTTCCTCTTCTGCCATAGATGAGATAAAGGGGAATTCCAATGATAGGGTTGGCAATGGGTTGGAAGGCAGCCATGATGAATACAATGAGGTTGCTGGAGAAGATATTCATGGGGAAGCATCATTGATCAATGAGTCTGTTGACCTGAAAGTATCGGACTGTTTGGAGGACAGAAAGACATCTGATGATGGTTCTTCCATTTCTAACAATGATGTGACTGCAGCTACTGCATGTCAGTTCGAAGACATTGTTGCTATTGTGGATCCTCCTCGTGTTGGGCTTCACCCTACTGTGAGTAAATTTCAATATCTTAGTCCATTCTTGTTACAATTGTTTGCCCCTTTATATTCCAAATGCTTCCATGCAAACTTCAAAACATGCCCACAAAATTGATATCCTTTATTTTTATTGTCCATTATTCTAATCTACATATCCTAATAAATTTAACCAAAACTATGGATTTTATGTATATGTTCTTTAATTATGCAATAAAATTAGTGGTTTTGTGTTTTTTGTGTGAGATTTATACCTAACTTTTACTGATTCCTACTGGTTAAAGTTGAGCATATATGCCTGAGTAGGTATAACATGGTTCAAAGCAGGCAATGGAAGAACCATGACCTAAACTGGCCTAGATCCTTTTCTGGTCCATTTTTTTACTAGTTAAACAGCCAATCCATTCCCACTTCGCATGATTTTGATCTTCAATAGAGATATCACTAAAGTGAAGAAATGAAGAATCTAGAGAAAATCAAGACAACATGCAACTAACAGATAATGTAAATATAATGAGCTTCCTGTGACTTTTCACTGTCTGCATACTGTGAAGCATTAAACCACATTTTTGTCACTTACAATGAAACTAGATTTGTATCCCATATGCATATGAACCTATCCATACACATACATGTGCTGCCAATAAATGCATTTCTGGTCAATTCCAAATATATTGATTCATTGTATGTGTCCTATACCTTTCTTTCTTATGTATGGTGTTGAGTATTTTAATTGAACTATCGACTCCCATGGAGGATCAAGCTTACACACTGAATTTGATAGGTGATCAAGGCATTGAGGACTCATCCACGAATTCGACGTCTAGTGTAAGTATCTTGTGTACCTGATTTCTGCTACACTGGTCTATTATACAAAATGAAATCTTAGTGATGGTCGAAATTGTAAGAAACACCGTTTGTTCTCTTAAAGCTAGTAGAGAAAGTTAGACATCTTTTGCATCGATGCTGGCCAGTTGCAATTTAATTTACAGTACTGGCAATAAGTGGTCCTGTTCCTGAAAGATGAGGGCAGCATTCTCTCAAGAGTATTGGCAAATAAAAACAGCATGTCTTGCTGTGTTACTGCTCTGAAACTGATTTTCCTCTTATTTGTTTTTACCAGGTACATTTCCTGCAATCCAGATAGTCTAGTTGCCAATGCGATTGAGCTGTGTACCCCATCATCTGAGAAACAGGAAAAGAACAAAGGAAACCGGGGATGGCGAACCATGAGCAGCGCTGGCCTCGCGAGGCAGCGTACAAAGTCGATGCCCAACTCTGAGCCATTTGTTCCCAAGAGAGCCATGGCTGTTGATTTGTTCCCCCACACCTCGCATTGTGAGATGGTTATGCTTTTCGAGAGGTGAACAAGTAGCCGGCTCATCGAATTCTTTCTAGAGATTTTTGATCTTTGTTGAAATTTTCATCATGTTGTATGATGCATTACAAGACCCAGAAGCCATGACAATTGATTGTTGCTGCTGGCCTGGAACATCAATTTTTCATGTTAAATGAATTGCACTCAAAAAGGACCACAACCACAAAGCAGGCACACTGGAAGCTGAAACTTAACATGTGACATGCATCTGTCTTATTTTTAGGTAAACCCCAAAAGAGGACAGGGAGTTGCTGTTTTCATTTAAGAAGAAGAGAGTGACCCGCATCTGTCATAACTAGAGCTTTGATGTATTGGCAATCTTGTCAGGGAAAAACCGTACTTTGGTACAGGATCCAGTGTTTGCCCCATCCATGGCAAACAACAGTGCTGGTAGTACTAATATTTGTGCTCAGATTGTAATATTGTCAATAGGGGGAAAAAAAGAGGTTCAGTTCCTTGCTACTCATTGGCTGCATCTGGTAAAGGATGGCCTAACATAGACTAATAAATATCTAAATGCATGGAGATGGAGTCAATTTCTTGTGGTGCCCGCTAGACAAGAAAGCAATGGCAATGGCATTAGCAATAGCTATCTCATCCAAAGAAGAAAAGAAAAGAAAAGACAAGAAAAGAAAAGGAAGAGAGGAATGGTGGTGCGGCAACGCATAATAAAAAGTGGAGGTGCAGTAGCTCAAGTAGTCCAGAATCATATCTATCTGATCAAGTTGAGTTGAGATGGGAGCAATCCTTCTTCCATTCCATATATCCATGCCCTCTCTCTCTCTCTCCTTTATTGAGTTTGATGGATGGCAAAGGCAGAGAGAGAGAGACCTCTCTCTCCTTTATTGAGTTTGAGAGAGAGGGGCAACCAAACCAACCAGCAGCATTTGCTCATTTTCTGGGTGGAGTGGACACTACATGTGCCCAATGGATTATTAGCATTTAAAAGCACACTTTGACCCTAGACAACACCTCTATTCCTACTACAGTGGAGTACTTAATAATTTCTTGACCTAACAACTACTGAATTCAACAAAACGGCTACGGATTCTGTGTGCATTCACTACAGCAAACCCATACCTTTGCCCATCAACTGCAAATAGCAACTTGTAGATCGACCTTCAGATTTGCGTCGGTAGATTATCTACTTGATTATATGGATAAATTAAATATTTTGAAAAATAAAGTTAGCAAATAGCTTAAAACGAGTGTTCTAAACAATACAGTAAAAGAAAATATTTTTTTATGAAAACATATTTTTCGAAACGTAGAATAAGTAATCCGTTTCAATAATCTAATAAATTTTAGTTGCTCATTTTAATATACTAGCATATATATATGCTATAGAATAGAGTGCATCATCGTCATTATTATTATAATTACTATTAAAGTACTATACTACTATTTGAACAAATCTACACATAGAACAGAGTCTGATAAAAAAAATACTCATAGATTAATTTGTACATCTTCCTCTCTGATAAAAAAAATACTCATAGATTAATTTGTACATCTTCCACCTATCAGGTTTAAAAATTGTAGCTTGGTAGATTAATCGTCGATAAATAAATGCACTGGGCAGCTACATGAGACCATACAGTAAATTGTTCTTTCAAAAAGGGCTGCTGATTTCATTGAATTTTGTTGTTTGTGAAGTTCGTTTTCACGTAGTATGAACAAATTAGTCGGACAGAATATGACCAGAGAATTAATTCCCTGTGTTGATTGAAATCATGTGGCTGTGAGAATGATCGATTCGATTGACCAAGCTCATATACCAATAGTTTGTGCCGACTAAACCCTAAAATACTTGACGACTCCTATGTCACACAATCGCTAGAGATCATTGCCAGCACATCACAATCCTACGTGTCATCATCAGTGCCCATAAACACACGAGAATGCATACTTCTTAACCATAATTAACCCTAATATAAAGTACAAAGGCATACATGCTCACGTGTCAAAGTTTTAAAAACCTTTGACCTAGCTCTTAATTGTGTCCATGTGGCTTTGACATATAACAAATCAAGACTCTGCACATGTGGCTCCCGAATTCGACACGTGTAATACGAAGAGCTGTTCTCTTATTAAAACAGGGGATATGGAATGGATGAACTCAGAAGAACTTGTTTGATTCGTAGGAGCAGCCAGCCACTAAAGTTTTTCTTTTTCTTCGAGCAGCTACACATTTAAGCTTGGCATGTGTCAATCAATGCTTGATTCTTGCCATGACTGAGCATATATAGTCAGGTTTCTCAATCATTTAAAATAATCGAGGTGCATGTACCAAGTTAAAAATACCCTTAGCTTTAGGAAAATCAATATATGAAAATAAGAAAATTCTTACTAATAATTGAACTAAAGCATATTGTATGTTTAGTATCATGCATATATAATAACATCAGCTAGATTCATATTTAAAAGGACCTCTCATGTGATGTTAAATTTTGATAATATATCATGAAGAAAAACAATAGAGTTCAGGCTTAAAAAGTTTATGATAGAAAAAAAATAATCAAATAGGTTAATTTTCTTTCAGTGATAAGCAAACGTACCCATCGACAACACGATATGGTGGCTTCGTAAATCTCAATATATATATATATATATATATATATATATATCAGTCCAGTCTTCGGAGGTGCTCGTAACCGTAGGGTGTGTGCCCGCGTTCATAGCTACAGGCGAGGGTGTGTGCGCGTATTTATATGAGTGCCTCCATATGTACCATGTTTTAAAAGGAAAAAGAATAATCAAATCGGCTAAAATTCTCTATAATTCGCTAGGCCAAAAGTGAAACATGACGCGCCGTAGAAAGAATTTTTGAAGCAAAATTGTCGTATCAATACAGATCGAAGACGTGACACGCCGCGTAGAAAGAATTTCTGGTGGCATGCAAATTTGTCGTAGCAATACAGAAGATGTGTCGAATGTTGGTCCTATCATGCATTTGGACATGTCGTAGTCTGTCCTTACTAATCTACTGTGGGTATGAATGATGCGTATAGGTTACACAACGCAAGTCGACGTTTCAGTATTCCTTTTCGCTACCTACCTACTGTTTCTAGTCTCGACAACAGTAAAACGCGTACTTTTGTATATATGCGTGTGCTTTGTTGTTAGCATCGTTCTCAAACTTTGTAAAGGGAATCGAAGAAGTTGACCCCAAAGCAAATTTATGATTTTGCCGACGCTCAACGGCTATAGTAATTAATATATATAAAAGCGACACTGAGTTTGAAATGAGAAAAGAAGTCCATTAATTTTACTTTTCCAAACTATTTTATTGGATCATGATGTTTAAATCAGCCTATGTTCTTCCAACATATATGAACAATGATGACAAAAAATGTCGTGACTTGATGCATCTTTCATCCTACCAAACTTTAATCGCAAAGTAAAACTTATAAAGAGAGAAACGATAAACAAATACTGTTAGGAGCGAAGTAAACTATTTTTTATTGCTTATGGTGCAAAATGAGTCGAAAAATAATTTAGGTGGTTAAGGTCTCTGGCGAAATAGTTCGAGGAAATAAAATAGACTAATAAGGAGGATAAAAAAGTGAGCTAATGAAGAGGTGTGGGATAAAGAGCTTATTATTTGAAAATCTCTCAAATGATCTTTTTTGTAACAATTAATATTTGGAAAGTGAAGTTTATTTTTTCATATATTAATTCTCGCTCCAATCATCTAATCCCTTTAATTTGGCCACATGCATGTACCCAAATTGGGGAAACTTTGGCGGCTGCAATGTTATCTGCTGCCGAAGTGGTAGAAACTATTAATATTTGATAGAATAGAACATCTGAAAATATTATAAAGGGGGAGAGATGGGAGCTGCAGAGCTGCAGTGCAGGGTGATTGATGAGCGATCAGCTTGAACGGAAATATGCGTATCTGATATTTATGCAGATGTGTTCTTGTTAGAAAAAGAAAAAGAAAAAAAAACAAGTAATGGGGAGGGGGTGTCGCTGTCTGCCTCTCTCTTGTCTTTTGATTAAGGAGGGAAGGAAGGAGGCTCAAATGGCTCATTGTCTTCCTTCCCCACCACCTCCCCCTGTCTCTATGTCATCGTTTCGTCTCCTCGTCTCTGCGTGTCGTCTCCACTTCCGTCTCTCATCATCACTATCAGTCTATCACTTGGAGTAGGTGACTATTAGCCAGTTATAAACATATTTAATTGAGATAAAAGATTAGAGAGAAGAGTAGTAGGCTACAGATCTGTAGCTAGCCAGCTGCAGCACAGACTCCAAAACGCAATGTGTATATGATAGGTGGGACTATATATTAATAGTATAGTAAGCAACTATTGTATGAATTAGCTATTAGATCGGCTATAGATGAATTGGAGCTAGTAGTGGGCTATACTATTAAACTTGCTCTAACATACGTTATAGTGATGCGGGCCACTAACATGTAAACCCGTGACAGTGAGTCTTGTTTGTCAGTGACCTATATACCTCCGACTTTACATCAAGACCGTCAATGAGGGCGTGTGAAATGAGTGATCGAACAGGCCCCAAAATTAGGTGCCCCAAATTTTTTTATATTCTAATCTACACCAATGCGTTCCGATATATTTAAAGGCCTCTCATTCCATTTTTATAAAGTTTCACTCTTACTCATTTGTTTATTTGGTTAGAAAGGGCTTGTTTTTTTAGCTTTGATAAGTGTTGGATGGCACTCATGGCCAACTCAAATAGCTATAACTCATGACGATGACATGAATGTGCGTTATAGGCATTAAAGATTCCATTTTTCTATCTAATAAAAATAAATTACTACATCATAACATGGTATTTTTGTAACATTTATTTAAAATCTTCTTCTAACTGAGATAAAGCTCTACTGCTAATTTTTTTTGTCTTTCCTATTTATATTAGCGTTAAATTGTGTTTCGCACCGAGGCCTAGAATTCGTAGTTACGGCCTTGTGTACTCTCGTGCTACTCTAGTTTCCATTCCATTTCCACCGCCACTCCCACCCAACCACAGTTCTAGTCTCCCCTGCAGCTGAAATCGCCCCTCCTTATTTATTGTGGCCTACCTCTTGTCACCGCTGCTAGCTCTTCATTTTGCACTCCAGACTACAAACAAGCTAGCTAGGATCAACAACAACAACTCAAACAATAATCTGCCGCCCGCCATGGATCAGCAGCTGCACCTGCAGGTACACACACATACCCTTCTTCATCTCTCTCTCTCTCTCTCTCTCTCTCTCTCTCTCTCTCTGCAACTCCTTTCTTTCTTTCTTTCGTCTAGCTTGCATAGTTGCATGGATGCTACTTCCTGGTTTCTTGTTTCTCTTCTTACGGATTTGTGCTAATCAATCGGTGCTGCAACTTCACAAGTGCCACTCTGCAATCAGCCATCCATGACCGTGATTTTTCTAAATAATTCTTTTAGCTACAAATTGTCCATGATTTCGGGATTGTTTGCCCTTCACCAGTTTGAGATTGATTCCTCCTCATACCCTACCCTACCCTCTCTGCTGAATGAAATTAATGTACCATCATCTTTTGATTATCACTTACCTGCATGTGTGCTACCTTCATTAACTGAATCTTTCTTATGCTCCTTAATCAATTTCGTAGGGGACTAGTACTGCTACAACTGTTCCATTGCAAGGTGACCCTGCTTCTGATCACCACCCACATCTCTCAATCGACATACCACCAGCTGCAGCAAGCATGTCACCTGCACCGACACAAGCTGCTGCAGATATCACACCCACACCGACCACTTCGATTTTGAGCACCAAAGCGAGCACACCTGCAGGTTCATGTTCCAGCAGAAGCACCAGCGTTGCCCCAAAGCCGCAACGATCGTCATCCTTCATGCTGAGGCAGACTGTCAAGAGCCTCTTGCCAGTGGGAAGCTTCAAGTCGTCAGTCAAGTTCTTCAACGCCAGAATTTCGAGGACATCGTCGCTCCCGGTGACCGATGTCTCGCAGGAACAAGCCGATAAAACTTCGACTACTCATGCTGTTGTAAGCATATATAACCAAACTCAGCTTGGCAAATTCTGTATGATCAAGAGCTAGTATATTATGTTTATTTTGTCTGACCGATTTTGTACCTGTGGTGCAGGATAAAGCAGGTCACATGTACCGGTCACAGTCGCTTCCCATGAACATGAAGAAATTGAATAATGGAAAGAGCTTCAAGAGAATGAATTCACTCGGCGGTGTCTACCGCGTAGTTCCTTCGACACCATCAGTCCCCGTGACAAGCAGCAATGTCATCCCAGATATAGTCCCATCTGAACCAGGTGTGTACCGTCCAATATCAGTTATATATAATATAGTTTCACCCCAGATAAATATGGTTTGCTGGTTGTATAGAGAAATTTTACAGTCCTCTAGGTACCACACATCATTCTAGTAAATTTTTAGTACGTACCTCATCTCGGTTTAAGATGAGTACATTCTCAACGATAGTAAAATTACCATTTTCTATATATATATATGGTGCTAACGATGTGAGTCGATCAATTTGTGTATAGGTGATGAAGATGGAGAGGACATAGCAGAGGAAGAGGCAGTATGCAGGATCTGCATGGTTGAGCTGTCAGAAGGGAGTGACACTCTGAAGCTGGAGTGTTCATGCAAGGGCGAGCTCGCTCTAGCTCACAAGCACTGCGCCATGAAGTGGTTCACCATGAAAGGTACCAGGACATGCGAGGTCTGCAAGGAAGATGTTCAGAACCTCCCTGTCACCCTTGTTCGTGTTCAGAGCATGCAGCAGCCTGAGCTTCAGACCAACCCTGCCAACGCATCAAGATACGATCGCCTCAGGTAATTAATTAACTTATTACTAGTATTAACAATTCATTCCATTGATCCTGCTGTTGCTTGCCAGAGCTTTGTAGTATTTGTCATACAGTTGGTTTGGTTTGGTTAACTACTTAATTTGATCACAAGGACAAGGCCATTAGTTGTGCATGGGATTTTTCTAGTAGTATATTATTAGGGTGACAAATTAAGACAAAAACACCTTTTGCTGGAACTAGAATGATGTGTGCCAATGGAATATTAACACCTAGTAAAACTGTCTGATGCATGAACAACAGCTGATGTTAATTAATTTGTCATCTTGTTGCTGGATGATCAGGATGTGGCAGGGAGCGCCAATCCTTGTGATCGTCAGCATCCTCGCCTACTTCTGCTTCTTGGAACAGCTGCTGGTACGTGTCTCTCTCTCGTTGATAACACTATATACAAGTGTACTAGATAACAAATTAAAATATAAATGTGTTCTGATTTCTTTCCTAATTAATTAATCAATTCCCTAATGTTACATGTGTGTGACATGCATATTATATATATCTGCAGGTTGCCCGTGATGGTATTGCAGCGCTGGCAATATCGCTGCCCTTCTCATGTATCCTTGGCCTCTTCTCATCCCTCACCACAACAAGCATGGGTACGTATGACGACACTTATTACTGTTGCATCATCACGCGTGAAAGTTACTTAAGTCAATAATTCAGAACAACTTAACTAATTAACTGTATTCTGTGCACGTTTGTGAGTGTAGTGGCAAGGAGATACGTGTGGATCTATGCGACAATTCAGTTTCTGTTCGTCGTCTTCTTCACCCATCTCTTCTACAGATATGTAAGAATCAGCATCACAATAATTAACTTGTCTAGTACAGTGACAGTTAACTGCATGCAATTAGATTGCAATTAACTTGTGAATTATATATATGCAGCTCCATTTGCAAGCGGTGATATCAATCATCCTGGCCACGTTTGCCGGGTTCGGCGTAGGGATGACCGGCAACTCCATCATCGTGGAGATTATACGGTGGAGGGCGGCGAGGGCGGCGGCGGCGCCGCCGGCTCAAACCCGTCATCGTCGTCGTCGTCATGGTCGCAGGCAACAACAGCCACCACCTGCACAACCAGCTGCTTCTTCAGCTGCCGTCGCCGACGTTGAGAACCCACCTGTATAATACTCATCGATCGTTACCTGAAAGGAAGGTTGGAGGCCTTGCAAACTGTATAAATTTATTTCAAACTAGGAAGTTAAGTTAATAAGTAGGCATGGAGTTGATTTTTTTGCTCAGGATCGATGCATGGATGCATGTCAATTTTATACTATATTTTTTCAGTTCTTTTTATTTTTTTTGGAGCTTGTGTGAAAGAATCAGTCTTAGTATAGTATATACTAGTATAAAATGTGTCCTGGTGTACAAAGTATGTCAGACATGTATATCTGCTTGAAATCTTGTATTAGTATAAAACTCTTGAGATGCTCTGCTCTTGGCTTGCTGAAATTGTAAACCATGCATCCTCCAGAAATTAATCTTCATCTTCAGATATACAAGTGTTACAATAACTGTTAATTATCCATATTCCAGACATCATTCTGAACGGCTTAATTATGTTTGGCTTATAAATTTAGCTAAACTCCTCTCTTCTCTAGACAATACACGTTGTGTCCTTTAATTTCCCTTCCCGATCGATCGATCGGCGACATATGTACAGTAACAGCACTGAACAACAGTAGCAGCAGCAAGATATATAAACAACCCAGGCCTCACGTTTGGTTGTGCCTATTGCCAACGACACTAGTGGTGAAAGAGAAGTAGGTTAGGCAGGAATTCCCTACCTATAGTACAAATAAATACGAATGGTCATGGTCTAACCTTATTAGCTAGCACAAGGTCTCTAGGATGACGACTCCTCTCAATTTCTCAACCACGCAGCTGCAGCTTGATTGTTATAATGTTTCTTCCCTATACTACTATATAGCAAAAATATTTATAAGATACACAACTACACATCAATGTACATCACAGAATAAATCGGCGATAAACAACAATAACTTATGTTACTAAAATAAGAAATATCATATACATATATAAAGAAAGGATATTCATAATCTAACATATCTAGTACATTAAATTAGAAGATCTTAATCAAATTACACTCTACAGATTATATGGATGCTAAAATACTTAATAGTTAATTTAGAAATCAACAAGTCTGGAAATCAATATCACTATTCACGTGAAAATAGAAATCAACAAGTCTGGAAATCAATATCACTATTCACATGAAAATAGTTCGAGTCAACGATTTCGCGTAAACTTCTATCGGTTAGGTTAGTGGAGCGATTTCGCTAGGGTTTCGAGTGTGATGGGCCAGAAAACCACCTTCTCAACATAACTGAATTAGTTTCTGAGCAACCTAGGATTTCTCTCACTCATGGTAGATTTTTCTTTAAAGCCAACGGGACAGGATATATGCTGGGATCTTAACTGCATTTTCTTTAGGAGCCAGCGGACCAGGATATATACTGGTATCTCAGCCTTTTCCACGCTAGCTCGACGAAGCCTATTTTATTTTATTGTGTGGGTAGAACTAGTATATTATAATTGTCGATTAAGGAACTATATGATGTTTTTAATTACTAATCGATACGATATATATTTATGGGTAAGATATTTGTACAATTTTTTAATATATAAGACTAAGACTAATATTTGCTTAGATCCTGAGATGTATATAACAAATTTATTTATCTATTATATACTAAAAGCCCATTAAATATCTTATAAACGCTCCAAGTCCCCACATGGCACTCGTACCAACGCTTTATGTGACGTTCTAATAAATTAGAGCATCGAGGCATCGATTTTTCACTTAAAAATGATTGGTCCATTATTATATACCATTAATTTTATTTAACAAATCAAAACAGAAAAAATCTCACTACTCATCACGTACACACCTATATAAATTGCTGAAGATGCCTCATTTTTGTGTTGTATTTTACTATTATTAGTTAGATAGAAAATTTAAACAACACGCACCTCTTCTTCTAACTATCCGCCCCCCTTACAACTGACTTTTACGGTATTACCTCTCTCCTCTCTATTACCTCCTCTCCTCTCCTCTCATGTTTAATTGCTTCTTCTCATATTTTTTTTATAATGATAATAACAATTAGATAGCTAAGTGATTATGATTTTTATTCCATAATTAATTCAAGATACATATTACCCATATTTTACTAAGTAAAAATATGCATAGAGATGGTATTTATGAAGAATTTATACATAGATTTGAAAATAAGTAACACTTAGACTTAGGTAGTAGTGAAGATATTGTTTTTAGTGTATTAATGATGCATTAGGTTTTATTTTGGTGCTATAGTTAAAGTTTCATCTTGAAATAAACGGTCAACTTTCAAAATAATGATAATTGACAATAGACCAATTAAAAGGAGGTTAGCTTGATGGTAAAAAAACATTTTTTTAACAATAATGGTTTAAAATTAGTTTGTTAAACATGCATTTTGAATAAACCAACTCTACTTACTTTTTTCCCTAAATAATGAAGAATATCATGGTTAATTTGTTGTATGGATAAATTAAATATGATATAGTTCAAGCCAACAAATTGGTTAGAAAAAATATTTAAGAAATGTCGATGAAGAAAATATGTGGAGAATTAAAACTTTTGAAGCATGATAGATGTAATCTAGTTGATATTTCATATATATAAATTTCTCAAACACAATCTATGCCTTTGTTATTATATATCAAAAGTCAATGAAACATCCTATAGAGCACTCCTAGGCCGCCACATGACATTATAGTAAATTAGAGAATTATATATGAGAAAATAGTAAAATATCTAACCTTCAATTTTCATTTAAAACGGTGAACCCATTATTTTAGATCATTGGGTTTAGCTTATAAGAAAATCTGCCAAGTCTCATCTACTACTCTCCCAAGTACTAGTATCGTTAAAATCCTAGGGATCGATATGATATTCTTTTAAAAACTTTGGTCAATATCATGTAGGAATAATACATTTTCACGAATCTTTTAGAGATATGAGACTAAGATTAATATTTGTTCAAAGGTGAAGGAGTATCTAACAAATTACAATATTGTCACTGCATTTTTCTATAATAGCTCTATAATATACTCATATAGTACTTGTGTATACTATCCATACCACAAGTGTGAATTTCACTAATACAGAGCTAATATAAACCATTTCAACAGTAATATAATCCACTAGTATAGGGTAGTATATATGGAGCACCATAAATGAACTTAAATTTTAGTAACAAAAATGAAAACATTTATTCATTATTGTGTTACAAAACTATTGTTGATCTCCTTGCCACCATGCCAGAGAGAGACACAGGGCATGGTCCCACCCCAACCTCATGTGCTCATAACATCGAGGAGTGAGTATGACTCTCTCGCATGTTCCTCATGATCAAACGCACCATTTTCATTCACCCCCGATCTTGTCAACTCATGTATATAAGAAAACGCTACCGAATTTCATAGGTGGTGACTGATATATGGCCTGGCAAATCCAAAACTCTAAGAACACTAATTGGTCCGTTGAAGGCGACCAAAGGGCGAATTCCATCACCACGTCCTTTCAAAAAAAAATTTCCATAACCACAGCTGCAGGTGAAGATTCTAGGGTCGCTATCATTGACACTATCATCGGTATCGGTATGGTGATCAATCTAAGATGCCCCCTGCAACATATATTTACGATACCAATGCAACATCAAATGACACTTATTGCTGCATCGTACACCGGTCAATATTACCACCGAATTCCACATAAGCAAAACTTGGTGATTATGCATACGCTAATATCAAGTTTAAGAATTAGCTCCAACAAAATCCTTTCACAAACATGCAAGAACAAATGTAGGGATGATGTATATATGCATTAAAATCAACAAATGCAATAAATGTGTTCTTATGGTGTAACCTAAACTAGGAAAACGCATAAATATTTTCTTATTAAAGATAGTTTTTGTTTAATTTCAGAGCTCAAACACTTTGAGTGGTATTTTTTAGGCTGTCCAAAATAAAATATTTTAATAGTAAATTTCATAAATTGCTCATATTAATTTCTTGCGAAGTTACTACATACAAACCATGACATAAATATGCAAATTCTCAATCAATTTTTACTAAATGTAAATGTATATGAAAAAAGCTCATGCATCGCATAGGCTACTGACTACTACATATATGTCGTGGCACCATATATTATATAATACTTCCTCCGTCCCTAAATATTTAACGTCATTGACTTTTTTAAAAATGTTTGATCACTTTCGTCTTATTCAAAAACTTTTGTGAATATTATTTAAAAACTTGAGTAGTAGTAGTATATTTAACAATGAATCAAATGATAGCAAAAGAATTAATAATTACTTAAATTTTTTGAATAATACGAACTGTTAAACATATTTAAAAAAGTCAACGACGTCAAATATTTAGTGATGGAGGGAGTAACAAATAAAGATTCTTGTGTATCCCCCAAGTACAATGGCCAGAATATTAGTGGATTATCTTTGAGACAAAAAGTTTCCTTGCACAAAATCCATTTCCTTTTTATCATAAAAAAAATTTGATGCGGAAAGCCTAGTGGATGTATATATACATAACGGCCTGACTCTGATCTTTGAACTTAACAAAGTTTGAATGATGTGTATATTTAGTTTGGGCCGGAAAAGAGAGTTAAATCTATTATCTATTATGTACTAAAAGTCCATAAAACTTCCTACAAACGCTCTTAAGCCGCCACGTGGCGCTATAGTAAAATAGAGAAAATCCTAGAAATTCTAAGAAAAAAGCAAAACATCTATCCCTTTGATTTTCACTTAAATTGGTGGGTCCAATATTATACACCGTTAGATAAAATTGATTTTAAAACAAACTAAATACCATGGTCCCACCTATCCTCCTCCCGCGCATTGGCAGGTGGAGTATATAGTACGTACATGGTACGTACACTTCCTCCCCCTTCCTTTTTTTTCCTTTTTCTTCTTTTTTCCATTTATATATAATGGATATATTTTTTAAATAATCATTATTTTACAAATAAAGGGTCTACCATCATATAATTTAAACCGGTGTACTCTTTACTTTGTACTATTATTTTCAAATAATGCACTATTTTAAAATAAATTTTACACAATTATATCGTGTACCTATCAAATAAACAATATTTATATTAACTAATTTATACGTGCACTTAAGCTAATGGCCCCATTATATAAATCATCGGATCTATTTTTTATTACATTGGTCTATTATTCTATAATTCTCAAGTAATGCACTGTTTCAAAATAAGGTCTACACCATTATATTGTGTATCCATTATATTAACAATTTAAAATCTATATAAACTAATTTACACTTACACTAGAACTGGTGGACATATTATTATAATCATTGGATCTATTGTTTGCTAATAAATAAAGCGTCCGAAATTTTCTTTTTGCCCGCCGCACAATGCACGTCTGCACCTTGGCCTTTCGCATGCGTGACGAAGCGTAGTGTCTGAGACATCTAAGTTGATCACAACCGCTGTAGCGCTACCGCTTTGCCACATATCAAATCATATATGGAGATGATTAATTTTGTTAATAACATGAAAAGAAAATTAAAGGTATGATGCAGCGAGAGAATAATTAAGCACCATGGGTTGTGTTTTTCTCAACACTAATTAGCTCTGTTTAAGTTGAAACCGAGAGTTGATTACATAATAATTATAATGTATCTGTGTTATGTCGTATTTGGATTTTGTAATATTTGTTCGTACAAGTGAAAGGAATCATTATGTTATAAACAAGGAAGGAAGCCCGCGCTGATGCGCGGGCATTTTATTTTTTAATGATAAAGAGAACACTAAAATAAGTATTATCTCACCATATTCGTATTAGAAATTCACCATAAGAGATGGTAAATTATCTTATAGTGGTAACTAAAATGAAAGAAAAATACTTATGCCGTGAAATAGATCATAGACTTTGATACTCTCAAATTTCAAACAAAAATCACTTAGTTCATGCTTTTATATAAACTCACATATCACCACTACAGATTATTATTGTCTTGAAAGTTGAGTCTCTTTTCATAAATGGAATTAAATGGAATTGTATTAGTACCATAAAAAGAGCCTAACACATCAGTAATACAATAAAATAATCACGAACACTTCACACATAATTCTCTGTCTTATGTCCACATCTATGCATAGATATTCTTAAACCATTCCTACCAATTAATAGGGTAGTACAATTAAAATTAAACATGAATGTCTCCCTAACATGTGAGACCGGGTAACACTACTAAGAACCATGTGAAAAAAATATTCGCTCGAGTAACAATCTCTCACTAACACAAGGGTTAGTGGGTTTCGATATTTCTTTCTTGTATTATATCTGAAGTTCTTTTTTAATTTTTCCCGTGTAATATTACATCCCTAGGTAAAGCATGTATGTTTTTTTCAGCGAATAGCTTGTACTACGTATGTAAGTTTAGGCGGACAGATCATAAGCATACGAACATAACAACATTTAATCTGAGTATCGAGAGGGGAGAATTGATTTTTTGCCCGATCTTACATATGTAGGTATTATGTAGGAGTATGTTAATTTTGGGAGAATGGCGTGTCCTACGTATGTACGCATTTTTTTCGGCTTTTATCCGGCGAACAGTTTGCACGTATTTTTCTTGTCGTCGTACATACACGTATGGACTTATGGATGGATGCTTTTCCATTGGTGTACAAATTAATGTATGGATTGTGCGTCGTACATCAGATATTCAGAAGGTAGCTAGGCTTGTCCATCTTGCTGAGACCAACTCCTACAAAACTTCTCGCGCATAAAAATTATTCAAAAAGAGAAGTTCACACACACATAATTGTGTCATACCTGCACGTGCAGTAGATTAGGAGGGAGGGTTTTTTTTTCTGTCGTTGTATACACCCTGGTACGTACACAGAAGAAGATTAGGAGTGGTGGATTTTTAAAAGATCCAATCTAATGGTCCAAAATAACGGGTTTACCGATTTAAATAAAAATAGAGGGTTTGTATGTTTTATATCATGTGACGGTCTAAGAGCGTTTATAGAGTGCTACATGGCGGTTTAGGAGCGTTCATAGTATGTTTAATTGACTTTTAGTATATAATAAATAGATAGACTGACGGTAAGAAAGCGGAGCAATGGATAGTGTGAGGCGCCGCCGTGGCATGGCTTCTTCACGGCCTCGTAGGAGTGTTTGGTACATATGCACAGTTTGAAAAAAAAAACTTAGAGGTGGAAGGATAGAGAGAATCGTAGGAGTGTTTGGTACATATGCACAGTTTGAAAAAAAACTTAGAGGTGGAAGGATAGAGAAAATCATAGGAGTGTTGTACATATGCACAGTTTGAAAAAAAACTTAGAGGTGGAAGGATAGAGAAAACTACCAGACGGCCGGGTCCTACGTAGTTGTCTTGTAAAATACAGAATATATGAAAGATTCCTTTAAACGATTATGTTATATATACAATTAATCAAAATTATACGGTAATTAAACATTTAGTATATATCTATCATTTATTCGAGATATTTAGATATGTCAATATGAGCACTGCTACACATACTTTTTTTTTCTTATTAAATCTTTACTAACAATCATCTTAACCGTTTGATTTAGATAGATAGAAGTTATGGAAAACCTAAATGCACTCATAGCATGACACATCACTGTTAGTAAGAATTTAGTAATAAAAAGTTAGTATGTATAGCCTTTTCCATCATTCTAATACTCTTCTCAACTATCCAACTGATCAAACGTACACTAATTGTGCTGGACTGCTGGTAGACAATAGGCGATTCAATTAGCACGGGGTGCTAGACTTAATCTGTGTTTTGGTGGTTGCTTTTTGTTCACAGGAGATAATTCCGATCCGACTCGTTGGTTCGTGACAGTCTCGCCGCCGTATATACCCATTAACAAATGAATAATGGACCGTAGATTCGTATGGGGACGGACTTTTTCTTTCCATTTTTTCACATCTGTTGCACATAGGAAGTACATTAGCCGGTTTTTAGGAGAGAGATTTTAACAAATCTAATCTAATGGCTAAAAATAATGGCTCCATATGTTTGCGCATAAATCAATGGCTAGATATTTTTTCCAGAATTTCTTATATTTTCTTTAATTTATTAGAGCGCCACATGGCATCATGAGAGCGTTTGTAGAATCTCACGTGGCGGCTTGAGAGCGTTTGTAGGAAGTTTAATGGACTTTTAGTATATAATAGATGTGAGCGCAATATTGGCTAATATCAATAGAACTCTTACTACGACAAGGGTGATAAAGGGAGTTTAAGGCCCTCGATCTCTTTTTTTTTCCCGATTCCATATTTTGGATTTTTGTTTGCACGCTTTCTAAGTTTCTAAATGGTGTCTTCTTTAAACAACATTCTAACGTTTTAGAAGTGAATTCATTCGTTTATACCCTCAAATAGCTATCACATAAATTATATAATTCATCAATTTCAGCTATTCTAAACCTTAGGTGCTACATATTTTTTTTCATGCGAGTCATGGTGATCAGTAAACTGGTGATCAACGGATCATCGAAGTCGTAAGATGAATATGTAAGAGTTACTCTGAACAATTGTAAATAGGTGTCAAAATTAATTGCTATTAATTAGACATCTAATGGCTTGCTAGCCACAAAATTAATTTCTCTCTACAAGTATATAAACATGGACGAAGTTGGAACAAATATTACCATATGTCCCATACATATATATTGCGCAGTTAATATTCTAATTAGTCATTTAAAATTCCTTAAAATGTTCTCAAGGTGCCACATGGTGTTCTAATAAATTCGGGCAAATATTAGAAATTCTAAGAAAAAAAATCAAAATATCTATTACTTGATTTTCACTTAAATCGGTAGGTCCAATATTACAAACCGTTAGATTAAATTGATCTTAGAACAAACTAAATACTACGAGGTCCCACCTCGGCATAGGTACGCACCTACGTGCACGGGTACCTACGCCTCCCCTCCCTTTTTTTCATTTTTCTCTTTCTTCTTTTTTTCCCATGCATCTGCTTCCCTCCCTTTATTACTATATCATGCACCTTCATGCGACGATTTAATCTAAAGAATTTTGAGTATCTTGCACTCGCATTTTTCATTTGCGGCCATACTACACGTACGTATATAGATGGATTGTATGATAATTAACTAGCAATAGTTTCTTATTTACTCGAGAAAAAAAACATGATTCAAAAGTTGTAAGTACTTAATCCATCTCCTACTCAAAAGTTTGTGAATGGTTTTCTAAGATACCTTAAGAAAAATAGAATCCTTAAATTATTATAAAATTACATTATTAAAGTTTGCCCTAAATCTATTAGACAAAATTTCTGAACAAATAATAATCTTACCTTTCAATAATATAAGTGCCCGCGCATACACGCGGGCCACCTTCCTTGTTAAACAAAATCGTGCAGCGCATAGCTAGATAAGCATATACTCAGCCCATGTTCAGTGAGGCAATTAAGTTTAATTTGGATCAGCCCGTGTTATCTATAATGAGAAAAGTAAGCAAGCTGGGTTCACATGATCAATAAAGGACTAGCTAGCCTGTGATCAAATAATCAATCCTTTGCTTTGAGATGAAGTCATGCTTTAATTTGTCAGTTCCCAAAAGAAAAGGGTGCAAACAGGTTGATCGACCGACGAATCAGCCATATGGTGAGAAGGTACTTCTTTTACTCATTAGCCCATTGGTGCCATTCTGGCTAAATATATTGTATGATCACTTTAATTTGTCAGTGAGAGATCAGCTGGCTTAGCTGCCTGATTAAGATATAATATAACAAATGTGTGTCTTTTTTAGGGTAATTAAGCAAATGTATGTTGTTGTCATGCAGAACTCTGAAGCTGAAGTAGTAGTGAATTAGTATATATTTTAGTGATGAGCTAGCACAAACCCCCCAACGCAAGGAAAGAAAAGAGAGAAGAAAATTAATAAGGTAGTAGAAAAGGAGAGATGCGATCCTTTGCCCAAACCCTGGAGCCAAAGTCTCGAATAATAGAATCACATCATCACTTCAAACCTCTTCTATTCCCATGCCTCTCTCTCTCTAGTATAAATATACGAACTAACCATGATCGATGCATTTGTGCTATCCATCGAGTTTGATAATTACTTCTTATTGTTTCATTAGCAATTAAGCTATACTAGCTTCAGTGCAGTTTAATCGATCATGGCGGCTAATTCCTCCAACGACACCGTCAACGTGGCCTCCGAGGTGAGCAGCATCCTCTCCAAGCTCAACGATCACCTCGCCGGCGCCGACGAGGCCAAGGAGCCGGCGGGGACAAGCATCATCACGCTGGCCGGGGAGAACAACGGCGCCACCATGGAGGTGGCCGGCGACGTGGAGGACCTCGTCGTGGTGGAGGCCGGCGGCGACGAGGACGACGACGAGGAGGAGGAGAGCGTGGTGAGTGCCTACACCAACAGCAACTACCAGGCTCTGAACAACTCGGTGCTCGTCGCCGGCAGCTGCGCCGTCAAGGACCCCGGCGTCCACGTCGTCATCGTCGAGCACGTCGACGAGATCCGCGACTACGACGACGACGTCCGGGACGAATAAGCCTGCAACTCATCTATCATCTCATCCATCTGCAGGTCATCAACACCATCTATACATATGTATATCTATCGATATATGGATTAAAGTGATGATCAGGTGATCGATCATGATCACCTGCATCATCAATCTACATCAGAAATTAATCGATATATACATCCCATCGCATGATCAACAGCTCGATATATATGTATGTTGTGCACGTGGCTTCGGCTTCCTTTGTTAAGTTTCTTAATTAATTTACAAGATTTGGTAGTCATATGTATTTGTTCTGGTTGTTGTAGTTGTGATCTATATTTATACATGTTGCTTCTATATATGTAAGTTGGTTTGTATGTGTTTTCTTCCAATAAAATCTTGTTTACTCCAATGTAAAAATGTTAATTAACTATAATGTTTGTTGATTTGTCTCAAATACCAAACGAACATACATTTTTCGTTTCCTTAAAAATATGGTGCCACATTTTTTACTTGATTTTAGTCATATTTTTATCTTTGTGATGGATATTTTTAACTTATATGTAAGTATGTTTCTCTCTCTCTCTTGCTACCTCTTCCAAGTATGTAATCATTTAATTTTAATTATTCACTTATATAATGTACATTACGAAATTTACAATGTAAATATTAAATTTATAGGGTAAATGTAGGTAATTTATAATATAAAATGATTTTATTGTTTTCTGAAAATATGACGTCATGGCTAGTCCCTATTTTTTTATCAAAGATACAGGGTGGGACTCACTTAGCCTAGATTTTTTACATTTTGGTCCTTTTAAAAAATTACAACTAGAACCCTTGATAAATTTATTTTAGTAATGGACCATTTTCTAGGTGCCAAAGTCCATACCGCAGAGGTCCAACATCTTGGCACCAACGATGTTGGCGTTGACACCTTTGCTCCCGTAGTAGCAGAGATGTAGAGGGGTCTGATATACCAAAGAGACTGGCAATGAAGACATATCTGTAAAATAAATGTTATGAAAAAGGTCAAAATGGAGAAATATTTCTTACAAATAGGTCCTTAATGCTAAAGAGGCTAGCACTAAGGACCTATTTATAAGAAAAATATTTACATTTTCGCTCTTTTTAGAAAATTTATTTCATAAATTGGTCATCGGCGCCATTCTTTTTGGCACGGACTCTCTTCACGTTAGCGACTTAGCTACCAATTTATGAGGGTGTCGGAGCCCGTATCATTTACACCGAGACATTGAACCTTGGCGCCAATGATCTTGGGCTCTTGGTGACAAGAAAAGGAATTCATTCCATAGTAAGTTTTTTCGTATGTCTATTTATAAAATAAGTTTTGAAAAAAAAAAGGTAAAATGTAAAAGATCCATTAGCCCCTTTTCATTGGGATGAGGCCCAGGTTGTCCAGCCAATTCTGGCTCATAAAGAATTAGCATGGTGAAAAATCATTGAGGTCTATGGCCTTCTCTTCTCCAATATAACTCATTATAAATCTAATTGTCGTATCATATTTCCCCGAACGTAGATTCAGTACGTCTGTGGTTATCGACGTTATCGTTGTGCGCGTTGTGTTAATTGCGCTTATTTTTAACCTGTTTTTAAAATGAAAACTTGTTTTACAGATCGGATCACAGCTTGATAAAATTAGTATTTCCCAATTAATTGTCATGTCTCATATATATCTGTCCTAATTTCTTCATATTTTGGAATGTAATAATATTATTGTTTGCAATATAGATTACTGCACCATATGAGATTATTATCATGATCCATTGCACTACCGAACGGCCGTTTGAAGCGCGCATTAAGCTAGATAATCCATCAAGTCCCACGTCTCCTCTAACCTTTCTAGCTAGCTAGCTAGTTTCTACTCACAACAAATTAATTAACCAATGCAAACATATCCAACATCAGAAAATTTCGTTTCTTAGCATACACTCTTGGAATCTCTCAGCACATGCAACTAAGTTCCTCCTATGAGCATTGCTCCATCTCACCGGCTCAACTTGTTAATTACTTCTACTTAGACCAAGACGGTCTTATTTTATTAATTCGACTTAGACCAGACGTTGGGTCAGCCTGTGGAGGATAAAAATCTGAGCCAAATATTGCTATACCGGGCCCGGCCTAGCTTGTTAAGCCCATTATTGGGCCGGACCAAATAGGTCCACGTAGGCCTAGTGTGTTTTTTCTCCCCTTTCCCTACATTTGTTCTCTCATTTTCCACTCACATACTTCATGAATTATTAAAAAAAATTAATAAAAAAGTGTTTTAGAAAGATGCTTTTAAAAACATATTAACCTATTTTTAAAAAAAAAATTGTAGCTAATATAATTAATCATGCGCTAATCTACCATGGTCTGTTTCATTCGTTTTACGTGCTGAAAGGAACGGTTCCTCATCCCTCAAAAGAACTCAGCCTTAGAATATGCACTGACAAATGAAATGGCAGAGTACAGATGACAGAACGACAGTTTATCATAGCCTAATTTTATCAGGTGATGAGAGATTGTGTAGTATCCTGTTTCCAATGAGACCAAAGTTTGCTTATATATGTGCTACTGTTACTTAGACACGGCCTAATTAATTGACTGATTTAAAAAAATAATCAAAATTTGCACATACATGTCTGGATTTGCAACCTAAGCAGTAGCAGTTTCATCGTCGGATACATATCGGACGGTCTGGATCGAGCGCACTGTTCATGGTTACATAGATCTAGACCGTTGATCATAAAAATGGACGCTCCATGTTGTGTGCGGTTGCTAACGTGCAGTCACTGCATCAACCCCATTGCCCTCTTTCTCCTTCATCATAAGTGAAATCCCTGATCGATGGCTCTAATAAACGCCTAGATTCAGAACCACTCGATCTCTTGCAACCTCGCCCACGGCTTCAACGGCATCACCACACATCCACTGCACACTACCTCCCTAGATATCCCTCTAAGCTAAGCCTGGGGAAATTATTCTCTTACATTGTAACACCTAACCCAACTATTAAATTTGCTCTAATGTGGATTTTAAAGTTAGAGTTTTACGTACATGCCCCTGACCCAATCCCCTCCCAAAAAAGATCCTCGCTAGAGGCTTTACAGGTGCTTCTTGGAAGAGAAGAGGGGCACAATCGAATAATTTGACTAAAGTTTGTGCAAATTTTAGTAATCCCCTATTATTTATATTGTACGAAACACTAGTTTTATTGAAATTACCGATATTATTGCACCCAAGGAACTATTTGTTGCATGTTCCCTCATCGTATACACGTAAGTGAATATCCAAAGGGCTTGATAGTGATATGACTTTTAGATTGTACGGACCAAATTGCGTGCAAATTATTTTTGCCACGTTTTTAAAAATACGATTTAATTAAAAAAAAACCCTACATCGGCATTATTTCGATAGTTTATTCTGTATAAGCTGCAGCCTGTTTTACACTAAATAATATTTAATTTATCCATATAAAATAATAGTGCATAATCCGTCCCATCATCCATTGCAAGTGCCCATGGCTTGTGTCTTGTCCTCATAAATACCATGGATGGAATTTACATATACTTCTTCCGTCCCATAATATAAGAGATTTTAAGTTTTTTACTTGTATTGTTTGACCACTCGTCTTATTCAAAAAATTTTAAAATTATTATTATTATTTGACTTACTTTATTATCCAAAGTACTTTAAGCACAACTTTTCGTTTTTTATATTTGCACAAATTTTTTGAATAAGACGAGTGGTCAAACAATACAAACAAAAATTCAAAACCCTTGTATTATGAGACGGAGGGAGTACAAAAGTTGGGCTAGAAGAATATCCTCAATATATGTGCGGCTTTACTTAGCCCAGCCAGGCCAGTCTAAATTAGTTTTTGTCGAATCCCAAATAAGCTTTATGGTTTCAATTATTAATTCCCTTGAGAAGTATATATAATTTTATTCAAAAGCAACACGGCATGGCAATTTAGAATCATCCAAAGCAATATCCAACATGGTGAGAGCATCATGAAGTTAGCCGGCGCGTGACTTGATGGGCTATATATATCGCACGATCGGGCCGTCAAGATCAATCATCATCCATTAATTGGTGTTGGACAAATGTATTTAATTTCAGTCCTCAGTTTAATTACGGCCTGAAAGATAAAGTTTGGGTGTTGTTAATCTGCAAGGGACCAAATTAAGGATGCAACTAATCTATAGCTGCACATGATTAAAGGACAAAGATGAACCTAAAAGTTGTTCATGCGCGGCGGCGATTCAGATTCGGCAAAACTTGAGTGTCAAATCTTACAGCAATGCTACGAGATGCATCTATCTTTTCATGTTGCCTAATTAATAATTACAGTATCATATATATTAGGGGATAGGCCAACTAAGCTGGGAGTAATTAAAAGTAGTAAAACGAAGACGCAAAGTAACCTTTTCATCATTTCATATATCATTCAGAAATAACATAGGGACCAGCTAGCTGTAGGCTGCAGCTTGTGTTGTGTTGTGTTGTGTGTGTGTGTGTGTGTAAGCATAGGTGCGCACTACTCTCAGAATGCATATATATGCTTCATTTAATTCAGAGTTCAATACACTCAGGTAAGCAAAAGCTTCCCTAATTAAGTGCGTAATTGTTTAAAAAAATTACTCCATCCGTCCCATTTTAAGTGGGAACATAAGTTTCTGCGTCCAACTTTTACCATCCGTCTTATTTAAAAAAAATTATAATTAGTATTTTTGTTGTTATGAGATGATAAAACATGAATGTAATTTACTCGTGACTTATGTTTTAAAACTTTTTTCAAAAATTTTTCAAATAAGATTAACGGCCAAAGTTGAATGTGAAAAACCATGGCTGTATTTAAAATGGAATGGACGGAGGAAGTGCATAATCAAGATTGCAACAAGATACTTGCACCTGCAACCTTGAGAGTTCAGTCTGTCAGTGTGGTCGCACTAAAACCCATCATTAGACCCACATTGCATCCTAGCTATCTTAATCATCATCTTGTACCTCCCTGCCTTGATTATTTTCTGCTTAAGTCCCTAATGATTTGAGGTTATCTTTTAACACCTAATATGGAGTAGCACCTGGACTTTGGCAAAGGTAATATTGAAGTGTTTTACAATGTTCTATACTGACAGGATAACTGATATATTTATACTACCGCATCGACTATTAGTAGTAAAATTTTTAAAACAATGGTTGATATGATGTATCCTGATGATAATAGCAGAGAATACTACTAACTATTAGTTGTAGAACTATTTTTTTAAGAATACACAGTACAACGCAGATACTCATAACGCATGCGCACTCACCGGTCCCTATGAACGCACACACGTAAACCCTATCCCTATAAGTATCTTTGAAGACTGGTCCGGCAAATCCATCCTGGAGATTGACGAAAACACTACAGGCGTCTCGCTAATCACAGGCGTCTCGCTGTCGACGGATACGTCGCCTACCACTGAAAGCACAAAGTTGTTAAATCCTGGAAAATTCGCTCCCATGGAGAGTCGAACCCAGAATCTATGGTGCTACTGAGGCTCTTGTAACCACCCTTTCGCATTAGTAGAACTTTTAGAACAATGGCTGATATCAATATATATCCTAATAGTATAATATTACTGAGTAGAGAGAGGGATCGTCCGTAACATTGGTTTGTACTCCCTCCGTTTCACATATAAGTCATTCTAGCATTTCCCACATTCATATTTTCATTACATCATATGAATGTGGGAAATGCTAGAATGACTTACATTGTGAAACGGAGGGAGTACAAACCAATGTTACGGACGATCCCTCTCTCTACTCAGTAATATTATACTATTAGGATATATATTGATATCAGCCATTGTTCTAAAAGTTCTACTAATGCGAAAGGGTGGTTACAAGAGCCTCAATAGCACCATAGTATTAACATCAATATGAATGTGGGAAATGTTAGAATGAGTTACATTGTGAAAGGGAGGGAGTACTCCGTAATACAAATTAGCTTGAACATACATAATTTCCAGACAAGGAAACGGCAATAGTCGCAGCTCTATTTTCTGAACAACTTTTTTAGGAAAAAAATATTTTTTTAATAGTGAGAATGAAAAAATATATATATCTCTTTTATTTTTAAACCTTAAATTAGCGGGCAAATTCAGGAGTACTTCAGTGGAGTACTGAAGTAAGTAGGGCTCGTTCACTTCTTTAAAAAAAAACTTACCAAGTTTTTGGTAAAATATTACATTACCAAATTTTGGTAAGGTAAAGTAAAGGTTTGGTAGTGTTTGTTTTGAAGCCTTTTCATCTCTTGCTAGAAGTTGTGAGAGTATAAGGTTCTAAAATTAATAAAAATTAGTAGAATTATGTTGGTACGTTATGTTTAGATTGTTACCTTGCCAAGACTTGACATTACCAAAATTTTGAAAGGTTAAAAATGGCTATAAAGTGAACAAACCCAGATAGAGAAATGGCAATAGCACAACTCAATTTTTTGAATAAGTTTTAAGGAAAATATATACGGTCTCATCTTTTCGCTTATACTTATCAGTAAAAATTTAAATTTTCAACCTTAAATTTAGAGTTGACTTTGGTTTATTTTTCATTGAAGTTTATTTTTCAGCCTTTGTTTTTAGATCACTGAGAACACATATATAAAAAATTTATTCACAAATTATTATTCGTTTGCAAATATAATGTTTAGCTTATTCCCGAATAAACGAAACAATGGGGCTGATAATAAAATGAGAGTATTTTTCACTCTTTTCTTTTTAACTCTTACATTTGGGGCAAATGCAGAGGTACTTCACTGAGGTCCAGAGTGAAACACCGAGCGAGCTATAAAAGTCTGTGTGTCATCCCCTCCACTCCACACTCCTCTCAACTCTCAACAAGAAGAAGCAGAAGCATCGATCCAATCCAATCGAGGCCATGGCCGCCGGCGTGAAGAACATGGTCATCGCCATCCTCGTCCCTCTCCCTTCCCTCCTCTTCTTCTTCTCTTTCGTCCGCCCCACCACCACCCCGTCCCCGGTGTCGTCGTGGTGCGCCGCCCACCCCCTCCTCGTCGCCAACCTCCTCTTCCTCTTCAACGTTGACCTCCTCTTCTGGCTCATCGGCAATCTCCTCTCCAACCACTGGGTCAGTTCTTTTCCTCCTCTCTAGACTTTAGTGTTCTTCACTGCTCTGTTGCTTTTGCCCGCAACCTGTTTGACGAAATGCCTTGTTTGTTGCAGCTCATCGATCTGTACTGGACCGTCATCCCGGTGATGCTGCTGCACTACTACCGGGCCCACCCGGCCGCGGTTGCGGACACGGCGAGGTCGGCGGTGGCGGTGGCGCTCACCTGGGTGTGGAGCGCCAGGCTGACGCACAACTACCTGAGGAGGGAAGGGTGGCAATGGGGCAAGAGGGAGGATTGGAGGTTCGCCGAGATGCGGGGGCAGTACGGCAGGGCGTGGTGGTGGATGTCCTTCTTCGCCGTCTACCTCTCGCAGCAGGTGTTCCTCATCGGCATCTGCCTCCCCATGTACGCCATCCACTCCACCACCCAGCCATGGGGCGCCTGGGACGTCGTGGCAACAATGGCATGCCTCGCCGGCATCGTCATCGCCCACTTCGCCGACACGCAGCTGCACAGGTTCGTGACCACCAACGAGAAGCTGAAGAAGGTCGGCGAGCCCACGGTGCTGACCATGGAGGCCGGGCTGTGGCGGTACTCGCGGCATCCCAACTACTTCGGGGAGCAGCTGTGGTGGTGGGGGCTGTACCTGTTCGCCTGGAACATCGGGCAGCCATGGATGGTGGTCGGGCCGCTTGTGAACAGCCTGTGCCTTGGCTATGTCACCGTGCTGGTGGAGCGGCGAATGGTGAAGCAGGAGCACCGAGCAGAGGCCTACAAGCTGTACCAGAAGAGGACCTCCGTTTGGATCCCCTGGTTCAGGAAGCCCGTCCCTCAACCCTACAACCACAAGGACAGCTCAAACCAAAATTCGCTCAAAATTTCGCACTCTTGATTGTTCACCTTTATGTGTTTGATCACTTTGATTGCTCCTTCCTGTCTGTCGTGCTTTTGTGATGTTTCATTTGTTGTCGTGTAATTAACTATTTGTAATCTGTAACTTGTACCATCATCACTTTGCAAGGTGTCTGCAAATTCACGGTGTAATCTCTACTCATCGCCTTCACTAAAATGAATTACATGTATTACTAGCGAGCGACAGCTGAATGCTTGATGCAGGAGACTCTGTCCATCAAATGTCAAAAACACAATAAGTTAACTAATGCTGAATCCAGGCTTGATCCTTGGTGTGGATGTGATATATGTTACGAACAACTTGTGCGAAAATAATGATGAGACAGTGTGATTGCTGTTCAGATTTATAAAACTATGTATCAAACCGACGCATATACTGATCAGGGCTCAAAATCAATTTTAATAAGAGTGAGGTTTTCTGTCTGGGGGCAGCAACACAAAAACAGGATTTGTACAGCCAAATTTTTACTTGCAACAGTGGGGGGTTTCCCATGAGATATTTGGGTTTTCCAATTGATCAAAAACGACTTTTGAATAAAGATTGGAAACAGGCTGAAGAAAAAAGTTGGATGTTGGCAAGGAAATCTTCAGTCGATTGGGGGAAGGGTGACTTTAATCAATGCTTGTCTTAGTAGCACTCCTTTATACATGTTATCCTTCTTTAGAGTTCCTATAGGGGTAAGGGAGAAGATGGACTTTTTAAGAAGAAGATTTTTATGGCAGGAGGATCAAGGGATTAGAAAGTATCATCTAGTTAATTGGAACACTATTTGCTCCCCTAGAGAAATAGGGGGTTTGGGCATTCTAGATTTAGAGGCTATGAATATTGCTTTATTGGGAAAATGGATATGGAATCTTGAGACTAGTGATGGCATGTGGCAGCAGCTGATTAGACAAAAATATCTATTCAAAAACATCTTGGCTGCTACTAAATTAAGACCAGGGGCATCTCATTTCTGGCAAGGGATTATGGATGTGAAAAACAGTTTTTTCAAATTCTGTACAAAGAAACCTGGGGATGGAAAAAACACTTTATTTTGGGAAGATAATTGGTTAGGTGGCAAACCTCTGGCTGAGCAATTTCCTTTTTTGTATAGAATAACTCACAAACCACATATCACTTTGGCTAAGGTGAAAGAGATAGGTTGGACTGAAATGACTTTCAGAAGAAACTTAGTAGGAGATAGACTAGCAGATTGGAACAGAATTAAGGCTTCTTGCAATCAGTTGACTTTAAATGATAAAAAAGATGTGGTTGTGTGGAATCTGACAAAAAATGGATTGTTCAGTGTTAAATCCTTTTATAGAGCTCTGAAACTTCAGGAAACATCCTCCATGACAGGGGGTATACATAAGAAAATCTGGAAAATCAAGATTCCTTTAAAAGTTAGGATTTTCATGTGGTTGATGTTAAAAGAGAGTATTCTAACAAAAGACAATTTGATAAAAAGGGGGTGGAAAAAAGGAAACAACTTATGCCAGTTCTGTGAACAAAAAGAGACAATCCAACATTTATTTTTCGAATGTCCAATAGTAAGGTTCACCTGGAACGTTGTGATTTGTGCTTTTGGAATGAAACAGATCAAAGACCTGAAACACATGCTGAACTCTTGGATTCGATCTTGTGACAAAACCACAAAACAGTTAATGTTGGTTGGTGTGGCTGCTGTAATTTGGGCCACTTGGAAAGCTAGAAACAAAGCTTGTTTCGATCAAATTTTACCACATAATCCAACTGATGTTTTATATAATGCTTGTGCACTAATGATTGACTGGTCTATTTTACAGCGTTCGGAGGAAAAGCGAAGAAAGTTACAGTGGGGAGCTCAATTGCTAAAGCAAATAGCAAGTGAAGTCTTCAAGTCTCAATTTGGATGGCACCTGGGATAGAGAAGATTACTGGATAGCTGATATAGAGCAAGAAGATCTGGAGAACGAAATGAAATCTTGTGTTGTGATCGATGGTCTTTTTGGCTTGCTCTATATAGCAGTGGAGGGGGGTTTCTAGTAAAAAACAGTTTGTTATTTCAGGCATTTCATCCTGTTTTTTTTCTTTCTTCTTTGTTTGCTCCATGTGAGCCCCTGGGGGGAGTTTTCTTCTCGGGTTTAAGACCTTAAATTTCTACATTTCTTTAATGGAAATGGAGGGCTTTTGCCCTTTGTTCTAAAAATATATATATACTGATCAGACTGAACTCCATCAGATTTGAGGTTTTCTTATTAAAGAAGAATTTGGTTTTTGGCGTTTATATCATTTACTCTTCTTCTATGGTAGGTTTGGTTTCTTATATCCGCTTCAACGTCATGCTCTGCCCATCGGCATTCGAACTCCTATCTGCCCAAGCTACACCGGGGATCATAATCATGTCCTACAATGAAGAGTTAAATGAACAACCCACCCACCATCTCGCAGATGAAAGCCTGAAACCATAGCTACCTTTCATAGCAGTTGAAACAATAAGCTACACATACGTAAACACCAAGAAAATTGCATCGAGGAAACTTACTTTCTATACCATGGCCCCTAAATCACTCTACTCCTTTGATTTCTAAAATGTACTTTCAAAGGAAGGAACACACTGAAAAAACTCCAGATCTCCTCAGTGGAAGCTGGTTGGTGCAGACAGTTTGCTATCTTTCTCTTTGCCATCCTCAACAGAAGAAACAGAACTGTCCTCCTCCTTCACAGCTAAGAACACCAAGAGTGCAAGCAAGGGGTAGCTCACGGTAGTAAGCGCCCAATTCACAATCAATTGCGAAATTAGGCTTGTCTTGTGGGTATCAATTTGCCATGCCACAGCTGCTCCAGCACTTTGCACTCCCTTATAGAATCCAACATATCTGCACACAAAATACACATTTAACTGAGACAAGTATTTTTGTGATTTGGTCTGCTCGACATGCATATTTAAAAGTTAAAAGATGGATCTTTCTACAACCATCAGTTGGATCTCTTTACTTGGCAAAACTTTTAACACACACAGCAAACATTCAAAGATTCACTTTTGAAACGGATGACTTTGCAGAGCAATCATGGTAGTAACTTTAAAGGAAATGCTAATTGGATAAGAATCCTTTTCTCTCGTACACTTTCAAATTTATTGTTGGAATTTCGGTTGCTATGTAAAGATACTAGAATCCTGAGGGTAAATCTGCTGTACAATTAAGTTACAGACAGTAAGAAACAGCTAATTTCTGCAGGAAAAAAGAAGATCAAATGATGCTTTTGTTGTCAAGCTTGCAGGTGGCAGCTTACAAACCACAGGGATATAGAGGATAGAGACACGCATTGCTTTTCTTAGCATGTCTCTTTCATGTTGGTCAATAGCCCAAAGAATCTAAAATTCGCAAGCCTTCAGTTACATGCCTTACTTGAAAAGCTCACACCCTTTCGAAATGCATGATGATTGAGATGCCAGATGAAATGGAACATACCAATAATTATCATATCCGGCTAGGGGCACTACTGAAAACGAACAATAAATTTGAAGAGTTCACCGACAAAAACGAAAATCAAGAGGAGTCTTTAGTTTTTCTTTCCCCCTTTATACAATGTACAGTGTCAGTGCTTTCTCTATATGTCTATAATCACCAGCGAAGCGAAACTGGTTTCGTTTCAGAAAACACTAAATGGACTATTTTATCAATTGTAACACTGCAAATCTGCGACCAGGATGATCGAATACACGTTCTTTAGTTATCAGAGAAACATATTGTTTTTTTCTATTTAATTATGGCTCTGTATGTTTGAACAGGAAAAGAGTCAGATTCCAGCAAGCAGAGTGTGTTTCTGAGCCGTAAAGCAGGAGGTCTGCTATCCGATTCCAATCTTAATCTGATTGTTAATTGACCATCCTAAATAACATACTAAAACCACAAACAGTTTGAACTGTTCTACAAATCCTTAGTCATCAGTACGAGGTAATACTAATAATAATAATAACAAAAGAGATTAAAAACTCAGCCATATCATATTTGTTGGTGACTTAATTGTTGTTAGAAATGAATGAAGTTAGGTAGGGAACCTGCTGAGGATTTGGGTGTCGTTGGCGAGGGCGCCGATGATCCAGTAGATGAGGCTCTGGAACATGGCGTCCAGCAATCCGTAGCTGAAGTAGAGCAGGAAGGGCCCCGCGTACCGCCGCCCATCCTTGAAATCGATGAGCCTCTCCCCCCAATTGCCGTCGGCGTACGGGACGTGGTTGGCGAGGCCGCCGGCCAGATGGCGGTGCCGAGCACGGCGACGGCGGCGACCCCGCACAGGCCCCTCCTCCTCCTGCTGGAGGATCCGAATCCGAAGTCGAGGAAGTAGCCGATGGCCGCGGCAGCGAGCATCTGGGCGCCCCAGTAGAAGACGTTGTTGAGGCCCTTGGTGCGGCAGGTGAAGAGGCGGCCATTGACGTTGTTGAACTGGTAGGTGTAGAAGAAGTTGCTGGCCCATGCGGCGGGGAGGACGAGCAGCATCCTCCAGTTGGCGAACAGCTTGAGGATCTCCCACCCCTCGGTGGACACGGAGGAGTAGCTCATCCTGGTGGCGCGGCTGCCGTCGTCGCGGACGATCCTGGAGGCCGGCAGGAGGAGGAGGGCGAGGCCCGCGCCGAGGAGCATGAACGCCATGAAAGCGATGTAGGTGGCGTCGTTGACGCTGGCGGCGTCGGCGGCGCGGTGGTAGTTGAGGGAGAAGGGGAGGAGGCCACCGAGGACGCCGCCGAGGTTGAAGAGGCACCAGAAGAGGGAGATGTAGGAGCCGCGGCGGGACGGGGGTGGGTATGACGTCATGATGGCGCCCTGCGCGGCCCAGAGGAGTCCGGCCCCGACGCCGAGGAGGGCGCCGGCGGTGACGGGGAAGGCCTGGCGGGAGGGGTGGTGGTTGTAGTAGAGGAAGGAGGCGGCGTAGAGCGGGTAGGTGAGGGCGCCGGCGAGGAGGGTGACGCGCGGGCCGAGGAGGTTGTGGGCGGCGCCGCCGAGGACGCCGAAGACGGCGAAGCAGGAGTAGAGGGCGGTGTTGGCGTTGTCGGCGGTGGAGTGGTCCAGCTGCCCGCCGCCGCCGAGCCCGGTCAGGGCGTTGAACATGCCAGGGCAGCAGAAGCACACCAACCCGATCAGGGACACCTGCACCAGCGGCGAGTTGTACCGCAGCTTCCCCGTCGCCGCCGGCGACGACTCCACCTCCGCCGTCACGGCCATTCCTTCCTCCGCTAATCTAATCTCAAATTGGAAGGAAGGAATGGGATATTATTATCGTTGTTGATTAGTTAGTGTGTGAGGAATCATCTCCTCCATGGGTTTATATACCGGTTTATGTTATGTTATGTGTGAGATTCTTTTGTTTTTTTCAACAAAGAAAGATCCAACAAATCGATACCGACTTGATAATTTTAATGTTTTTTTTAAATTTTTATACATGCAGAACTCGATAATTTTGATACGATGGGATTGCTTTTTTGGTTTTGTCTTGGGGTGGGTAGCTTTGGCCGTTTGTTTTGGATAGATGACGGTGTGACATTTGGAGCAAGGTCAGGAATTCCAAATGAGTATTTCACATCAATTTAGATAAATATATAGTACGTCGTTGCAAGTGCGTGAGAATGAAGGGATTATTCTTTTCATCATTTTTATTTCGAATGATCCAATAAATTTGCCATTTGTTAACTTTTTCTGATTTTGTATTGGTAGCTACTCCATTCATGATGTTTGGAAGGAGGAAAAAAAAAGACCTATTGAACATCTATAGGTTAGTAATTTTGGGTTAGAGATCCAATTAACAAAGAGATGCATATCTCGTTAAGCCATATACCTGACAAGATTTCAGGCTTACCAGTGGGGCTGGCAAGGGAGATACTAACAAACATTCATGGCTACAATTTTGGATCTGTTCAATAATGCATCCTGGAAAAATCACATCCGTCGTTCCTTGTTTGTTGCATAAGAAGACGAGAGGCAGCTATGTACAGGGACAGCTAGCTAATTACGGCACGAGACCCTAGTTGTTAGGTAGTTGATTAAGATTAATCCTGCATTCACATGTATAAACAATTTCTGATGCTAGCTATTTATATATTTGGATTGACATTTCCGAGCCGAGCCGGCCCGCTAGCAAAACGATGCATACATATTTGTCTTCGTTAGTTGTCTGCAAACACGAGATAAAATGGAATGGAAACTTAGAAACTACACTAGGATGAAAAAAGTAGTCTAAACTACTTTATATGCAGCTTGAATTTCTTTAATGGACATGCAAGTTGGTAGACATCCATCAGATAAAATGTAGCTAGCTAGTTAAGCCTCATTTTATTTCTTAAATGAATGAATGAATAAACAAAGAAGGGATCGGGCTTATGTCCAAATGACTAGGGAGGTACTGAGATGCGTATCCACCTTAATTATATACTCCCTTCGTCTCATTTTAAATGCAACCATGAGTTTATATGCCTAAATTTGATCGTCTGTCTTATTTTGATTTTTTTTATAATTAGTATTTTTATTGTTATGAGATGATAAAACACGAATAAAATACTTTATACGTGACTTACGTTTTTAATTTTTTTAAAAAATAAATTCAAATAAGACAGACGATCAAAATTGGGCACAAAAAATTATGGCTGCACTTACAATAAGGGAGTATCACTAATACTATACTTGGTAGTTGCCACTCTCTAATTACTCCCTCCTTCCCAGAATATAGCAACTTAGGATCGAATGGGACGTATCCTACCCATATCCTACCCATTCGATCGTAGGTTGCTATATTCTAGGACGGAGGGAGTGGCAGTGAGTGACTCTCTAGTGTGTTGAGTACGAATGCCTGAAATTCTGAATTTGGCTCTATCCTTCCGTTGTTTAATTTTGGTGCTAACTGCGATGTTATTTCTTGTTCATATAGGAATATCAGTCTGTAGAAAAAAAAAAGGAATAAAATGAATAATAAAAGCGTGCATTCTTCACCAAGAAGGTATATATGTCAAGATATGGCTTGAATGCTACATCTCAAATGGCATTCCATGATTCCATCCATCAATTATCAACTGAACACTTGTTAGCGTGCAAGCGCCGGCCTGCCTCTGCCTGCAAATGATGTCACTTTTTGTTGTTTTGTAGGAGTATTTGGCCTGAAGGTCTCTTTCTTCAACCTATCCATCTCATCTCCCCTTCAATGGAGCTGTGCTCATTCAGATTAATCATCTCATCAACTACTGTGGATCGAAGTAAAAAAAAAGTTTAAGATTACTTTAACTGACAAAGATATGCCGGCCGGCTAACTGCAGCCTGCAGCACACAGCTGCTACAAGTCCACCCCTTAGTTCATACTAGTTCATATTACTATATACTACTAGAATCAACAGAGATAGTTCAAGAAAGAAGATTATACCAAAAAATAATAATCCAGACGGCCAGGAAACTTTTCATTCAAGACCGCTTCACCGGCAGGAAACTGAATCTTTATTTCTTAACGCCAGCGTACCTGCTTGCCTCCGGCGACTCTCATCTCTGAATTCCCAAACCAATAGTACTAGTTACTCCCTCTGTCCCAAATACTTGAGTAGTACAAGGGATTTTAGGTTGGATGTGACATATCCTAGTACTACGAATCTGGTACACACTCCATCTCTTTAGATTCGTAGTACTATGATGTCTCGCATTTATCTAAAATCTCTTATATTTTGAGACGGAAGGAGTACCAGCCAGCAACAGGGCAACCAAAACGTCAAGCAAACAAACATTATTCCTAATATCGGTCATCATCATAGTGGTCATACATGAACTACATTCGCCTACCATAGGACTACCCAAGGTAATAGCAAAAGGTTTGTAGGATTATTGTGACCAAAATGCGTTACAGCACTGTGCAACAATAGCATACTATTGTTCATGCTTCTTCATGCTGTGGCATGACAAGGATAACGTGAAGGTCAGCACCAGCCATTACCAGGTGGCATTCATAATAGTGAAACATATATACAATGGTTTTAATAAAGACGTGAGGCTTCCAAAAGAACACGAGAGAAATAGAGAGAACTTTTGGATGCTAGACAAAGTGGGTCTTCCTACAAGATGTCCTTCCAGCCAAAGGCCCCTGCTTATGTGGAAGACAAAAGTCTCAAAACCTGCAGAAAAGAGCAAACTTCTGTTGTTCATGGCTTTGGTTCAGGATATGCTCAAGCTAATATTTACATCAAAATGATTTTTTCCCCTGCTGAAACTTAGCAAGCTACATAGGAGATTCGTGCTACTCCCTCCATTTCAAAATATTTGACATCGCTGACTTTTTAAGTACGTGTTTGACCATTCGTCTTATTCAAAAAATTTAAGTAATTATTTATTCTTTTCATATCATTTGATTCATTGTTAAATATACTTTCATGTACACATATAGTTTCACATATTTCACAAATTTTTTTTGAATAAGACGAATGGTCAAACATGTGCTAAAAAGTCAACGGTGTCAAACATTTTGAAACGGAGGGAGTACATGTTTGCCAAATGATTGGAACTTGTCTTTATATTATAATAGCAAATTGTCCCTGTATTCTGAAGTTGGGGCCTGCAAGTGTTACTGTTATTAATTACATGAGTCAATGATTTAGCTTTAAGCAGAAGTTCAATGAGTCAACAAAAACATAAAGTAGCACCTAGTCCTTTTCTTATGCTGATGTTGCCATCAGGACCAAAAGAGTGAAGATATTTGTGGTTTGTTCATTTTTGCTTGTGAGCATGTCTTATTGAAAAGGATCAACACAAAAGGCACAGAATCATAAAAGTCGAGCTCTTTCTACCTACAAGCAACAATTTGTATGGTCCATCCCCCACCCCATCAGCCTAGACATAATTGAGAGCTTTAATATATGACAAAATGTTGCTTGAAAACAACTTGGTAGCATCTCTCAATTTATTGACCTGTAAACAAGGAGGCATATAGAGAGTAGTTTGACTCGTAGGATTAAAATATCCTAAGTACACGGCAACTGGCAAGCATACAGAGCCAGTTTGGTACTAGAGAATAACCAATAAGCAATTGGGTAGCATAAGAGCAGGTATAATAGGTTACAGTCAGCAGGCGGTAGTACTATTCATCTAAGATAAATCCTACATGGAAGAGTGAGAAAACAGGAGAGAGAGAGTAGCCGGCGCTTAATCTATCGCCGGGCTGCAGCTGTAGAAAAAGCATCATGACCAATCGTCGTCCATGCATGCTGCAGATGCAAACTTTTCCCACCATTTGCACGCTTCCCAATGCCCTCAATGAGAGAGAATAGACTGTGAGAAAATATTTTTTTTTGCTGAGTTGGAGTTTCTGTAGCCCGTTGCTGGCTATACTATTAAACCTGCTCTAAGAATGCAGTCCCTCCAGGAGGAGCACGCACAGTGTAAAATGCAATGCATACACCCAGATCCACCATATATGTGGTGCCTTAAAAAATTATGTCGCAAAGATTTCACATGTCAAACAGCCGATTTACCTTAAGGAGGAAAACAGCTTGTGGACTGCTCCAAAGATTTCTTCTTCAGTTCCGGTTGCATTTATCTACATGTCATTCAAAAAGTATTCTTTGATTACCTCCATGTCTTAACAATGATATAGAGTGGAAACAATTTCTAGAGATAATCCTTGTTTGTATAACTTTCTGAAGAAAATAACTGGAATAAGCCACGGCTCTAATCTACCAGGTAAAATCACTCACTATCCTCAAATCAATCACTAACCTCACTATCTTTCACCCACATCATAGAAAATCGAAGTCTTACCACTATATCAGTGCACATACAAGGAAAATGCATCCTATCAGAATTTCTGAGAATGGGCATATCCCATCATTTATAATTTGTTTCTGAATATTGGCAATTCAGACAATTGTATTTAAAGCCCAATATTATGAATCTTTACAGGTCAAATTTTGGAGCAAAGGGAAGAAGGCAGGGTAATCAAAAAGTAAAAGAACTAAATACCATCTGGGAAACTACATGCAAAACAAACAGACAGATTACCTTGTGAACCTTTCCTCTTGAAGTGTAGTAGTCAACAACAGGAATATTTAGACTCTCAAACACCTTTAGGCGCTTCTTGATTGTTTCAATGTTATCATCCACTCGTCCCTAAAAGGCATACATGTGAAAAAAGATAAACAGAAGAAAAAACCAGGGATTCCAATATAATTTAGAGTAAACACATTACATTAATGCATCACTTGACAGATTTGCAATCATTAGCCTGTAATTTAGATTTATGTGTGTTTTATGAGCCTTAATTTAGAAAAGAAACAACGTTAGTATTTCTTTTCTTAAATTCAAAGAAGAAACTCTTATTTGTGAGAAGGAAATAAGCAGTGTCATGCGTTATCCTAAAAAAAAATGTTCTATGTATGCAAATCAATTCCAGCAGGAGAAAGAAGGAAAGATGGAGCATACCATTAATATTATATGTTTGTTAAGTACAGTTACATATCTAGTGCAATTTAGCCCAGAAGCTAGAATAGGAAGTACTGATGCCAACCTGGTTACGGCCTAGTAAACGTTTAACCATCTCATCCTCAGGGCAGTCAAAGAAAATCACAAGGTCTGGTTCTGTTCCAGTCTGAAATTTTTCAGAAAAGTAATTCATCAACATATGAGAACAGGAATAATGCAAAAACCATTTATTTGAGTAGCATTATAGAAATCAAATCAATGAATGGGCGATGATTAACACATCTCAATTAATGTGCTAGGTCTTCTTAGGTTGTCATGCAATGCAACCAAGTGAAAAAAATAATGATACCATTACTAGATGATGCAAGGCATTCACATTGACTGGCCACTATTTCAATGGACCTGTAAAACACATCATTGTGAAGCATCACATACTTATTCCTTCATTTGCTTTGTATGAAAAGAACAAGAGTTGCATATGCATCCTTCCGAAAGGTTGGAGGAAAGAACTGATGGGACTCCTGGATGTAAATCCCTTTGAACTATTTGAATTAATTGGAAACCCGATGTCTGTAAAGCAATAGTGAAACAGAACTTACTATTCTTTCAAAGGCGATCCTGTTTTCCTCACACCTTGGGAAACCATCAATAAGAACCCTTTTAGCATCGCTCGATTCCATAGCTTTTCTAATCAGTTCAACAGTAATCTCTGATGGAACAATCTTCCCTTCTTTTATTATATTTAAGATCAACTCCCTGAAATGCAGCATGGCCATTTGATTGAGTAAAAACCAGCGCACTAGTATGTTGGATCTAGTGCATAATGAAACAATTACTACTAGATGACAAAGCAATATTACCCTTTCTCACTGCCAGTTGAAATTTCACTCCGTAGAAGGTCACCAGCACTCAAATGAGCAAACCCAAAATCAGAAGCGATCCGGACACATTGCGTACCTTTCCCACTCCCGGGACCCCCTACATGCAGCAGGATGTTGATGTGAGGATGAGGAATTGGCAACATTTCTTTCTTTCTGATAACATCAATTGGCCTGACTAGGACTAAGGTCTTGTTTAGCAAAGCTCCAGCTCCATCCAAAAATGGATTGGAGCGGGTTGGAGTGCTCTCCTAAAATAAACTAAAGATCTGGTTAAGGCTGCTCCGCATCTCAACTCTAGACCCAGCTCTTGGAGTTAAATTTAGGAGTTGGAGCCCTGCCAAACAGGCCCTACAGACAAGGATTCTGAATGTGCTCTAGCAAGAACGAATTTGGCTGGGTTGCATTGACCATCATCATCATGGCATCATGAGAGGAGGCAAAAAAAAAAAAGAGTAGGAAAGAGAAAAGATGTACCTAAGACGAAAGCAATGAAGGGCTTGGTGGCACCATCACCCCCCTCTCCCTGTAAAGAAAGAAAGAAAGAAAGGATTAATTGCGGGTGCTATTGGCATGCAGTGGGCAGCAGAGCTGCAAGACGTATGGAGAGAGTGGGCACTCACAGATTGAGAAGTGAAGAGGCGGAGCAGAAGATTGGAAGCGAGAGGTGGGCTCTGCGCACAAGAAAGAAAGAATGAATCCAGCACTGGAACAAAGGAGAAAGAAAGAAAGCGAACAATGCGGAGTAGGTGTTTGAGGAAATGCGTGAGAGGGGACGGATCGGGGATATACAGTTACCTGGTCGGGGACGGGGAGGGGGAGATGGTGGCGGAGGGTGGAGGAAGGCGTGGATCGGTGCCGGAGAAGAAGGGCACCCACTTGCCGCCGCCACATCGCTGCCTCCTCCCCTCGCAATCGCAGGTGATCTCTGCTCTGCTGCTTCTTCGGTTCTTCCTCGCCTCCTCCCAAGTTTTTCCTTCTTTTTTCTTCTTTTCTTATATCTGATTTTTTTTGTGCTCCTTACAATCAGCCTACTGGGCCGTAAAAGAAATGGCCCTAATGGCCGTGAATCGAATCCTTCATATTGCAGTGGAATAAGTCTATTTTACCTCTCTCAACTCATGCCTATGCTTGAATCGTATCGCTGAACCGCAAAACCAGATATAACCAGTCCCCCAACTTCCAAAACCATTGCAAATCAACTCCTCCGACGGTTTTAGAGGCGGTTTTGTCCTACGTAGCACTTACGTGATGGGTTGACTTGCTCTTCATCCCATATGGTATTGACGTGGCACTTACATTGCAATAAAATAAATACAAACCTAAATAGGGCCCACATGTCAGTGAGTAGAAATAAAAAAAATTCGGGCTCACATGTCAGTTATCCTTTCTCCTCCCTCTTTACCCTTTCTCTCTCTCAGGGGATGGCGGCAGCGAGCGAGATGCTGGGGCTTGCCGGTCGCGGCGCGCGCAGGAGGAGGGGCTTGCCGGTCGTAGCGCTCCGCGAGCTCGCCGGCCACTGCGCACGCGTGAGGAGGGGCTTGCTGGTCGAGGCGCACGCGGGGACGCCACGCACGTAGGGGAGGGGCTCGCTGGCCTCCGACTCTGTTCTTCCCCAAATCCCCACAATTCGTCTCTCCCCCGCCTTCCTCTCAACACGGCAAGGCGGTAGCGACGATGGCGGTGGCTAGCAGCAGCAGCCACCAGGGAGATGACCGCCCGTGAGGAGAGGGAGTGCCCACCACCCCACTGCCGCCTGGCCCAACCCCGGCATGGCTAGACCCCACCACGTTGGGTCCGAGGCTCCGAGCTTTCCCTTGGCGGCATAATAGAGGAGGAGAGATTCGGTGGTGGCAGAGGCGGTCGGGGAGGTCGTGCGTTAGAGGGAATCACCCGGCGCTGAAGCCGGCGTGGGTGCACGATGCCATCGGCCACTGCCGTCGGCCCGCTCCCTTTCCCGAGTTGGCAGAGGCGGTTGGGGAGGTCGTGCATGAGGGGGAATCGCCGGTGCTGAAGCCGTGGGTACACGACACCGTTGGCCCGCTCCTTGTCCCGAGTCAACGCTGGAGAGGTAGCAACAGCAGTAGAACACCCTCCCACCTCTAATGGCCCCCCGAGAGAGAGAGAGAGAGAGGAGGGAGGAGGAGCCGCCGCCGCCCTCCCAGGCTCCGACTCGTCGCCGGCGGCCCGTTGCCACCCTCTTGGCAGACTGAGCTGCTGCTGGAAGCTCGAGGAGGAAGATGAAAGGGAGGGAAGAGAGAAGAGATGGGTGAGAAGGAAGATAAGTGGAGACTTACATATGGGCTCCACGTGCTAACTCAGCCGGTTGATCATGTTATTGGGCCACGTCAACGAAAACCACCGACCAATATTGCTGAGGGAGTTAATTTACAACACTCTTGTGAGTTAGAGGACAGATTATACCTAGTTTTGCGATTGAAGGATGCGATTCAACCAGGGGCGTGAGGTGAGGGAGGCAAAGTAGACATTCCTTTTGCAGTCGAGGTGGTTCTAGCTGATGACAAAATGATTCTAGAAAATGGTTTTTTTTTTAACAAAAGGAGCATTGCCAGCTTCATTACAGAACCAACATTGATCAGAGACACACAAGATACAACAACCAACAAAAGAAAAAAAATTCAAGACTACCCTATTGGCAATTCCTTCTCCTGGTCGTCTGGGTTTAAAGGACAAAACTTGACTATCAAACAATGCCCAACCTTCATTTTCTCCATTTTACTCAAATAGACAAGGCCCATTGAAGAATAGGAAAGGAACAGTTTGGTTTCATCACTGAAATAGGCAGGAATCAGCGCAATTCTGTTTCCCATTCAATAAATTTATCCGTTGATAAACAACAGTTTCTTATTTCTCACGCAAGAACACTATGAAACATCCGGAGGTCCCCAAGGCTACAGTAGGAACAGCATACATTCCATATTTCCATACAAAAGGACAGGGAAACTAAATCCCAGTACCTTGACTGATAACAGAATCATTTTCTTCGAACAACTGATACCATCAGCAATCTGACGCATCTAAACACCATTGCTGCACAAGCCTGTCATCAACACATTTTCTTCTTCTGAAAGTGTATCCCAAAGTTCATTTCGTTAACAATCTCATAACGACCACATAAGGGGATAATCAGACCACACATCCTCCATGGCTCCATTCCTCATCCCTCCTCTCATGTCAAAGAGAGACACAGCAACCGATTGAGCAGCAGCTGCAGCAAATTTGGCTTAGCCTACTCGATATTGAAGCTTTCCCTGCATGCTCTTGACCAATAACCCGGCAGTACCCTGGTAAATAAATTGCTTACAATCTCCTCTGCTGTTGCAGTATAGCACACATTTTCTCAAAAAAAAAAGATGATAAAATGGCAGTCCTCGAGAAGGAGCTAGAAAATAGATTTGCTTCATCTCTAAAAATTCTGAGACTATATCAGATCACAACCTGCATACCCATTGCGTAAAGCATCATCACAAATTGTATATTGAGTGCTTAGATATAAATTGCAAGTTGACCAGCAGTGAAAGAAAAAATCATCACTACTTAGCACTATATATTCTTTTTTTTGAACGAACCGGTACTTAAGAGTGTGCCAGTTTCATTGAATATATTACGAGTAAAAGTTATAGTCCAAGTGTGAAAAGAACTGTACAAGAAAAATTAAAGCTAAGGGATGAGTTCTTATTTTGCTCCTGCTAGGGCGCAAGTTTTGGCCTCCTTGATTTTCGCCACTAGGACAATCACCGAAAGTTCCTTGTGTTGGAACACACTTTGGTTTCTCTCCTTCCAAATGTCCCATGCCGTTAGTAGATGAGGTGCAACTTTTTTGACAGTCCCTTGCTAGTGGCCAATGCCGTCCACCATTCAAGGACCGTCATACTTTAGCACTATATATTCAAGCATACCTGCAATGCAATAAATGAATGGTATACATTTTCTGTTCTAGGTTCTGTGATGCCATAACAGTTGTGTTCATGGTTGAATATTTGAGAAGTAAAGAAAAGAATTTGACATATTTTTTCCACTGCTACATTCAATATATTTCCTCAATGATGGTCAACTGGTTCTGAATGGTATGCAAATTACACAACTACCATATACCAACGTTTGACTGACTCTTACATTCTAGCTTTTCTTTCTGTGATGCCACAACAGTTGCATTCTTACTGGTACCATATTTTAGAAAAGGAGAGCACTAACATCTTTTTTCCACTGTAAAGAATTCGATATATTTTCTCAAGATTGAGATCATCATGGTCGTTATGAAAAAAGAAGAATGGACACATTCAAGAAACCAAATGGATGTGCAACAGGTAAAACTAGCTGTCCAACCAGGAAACTGGTTCAAGTATATGTTGGTGGTACAAGTATATGATTGTACAATTTCTCTTTACCAAAAAACTATTGACACTGACATGAGCATATATGGAACACAATAACTAAATACAAGAGAGAAACATAATCAGACCCTTGAATATGTGACATGTCCTTGCAAATTACAGGTTCATGACCTAATTTTGATAACCATGTGACAGGGCTAAGTCCACATGCCTACCAATTTCATACTGTAATATATTTCAGGATGGATGAGCGAACATTCTCCATGAAAGCCACAGCTTCTTCCTGCAATGTAGATGTCATATGAAATAGGGGAAAAACAAAAACACAAGATCAAAGTTCTGAAGTGTAGCTACTTTGGTAATTTATTCAGTACTCTTAATAGGACCAAATTAAAGAGTTCACCTGATTGTTGGTCTTGGCGCTTGCTATATTTTCATCGAGGAGTGTTAGTATGGACATGTTGAGCTCATTCCGTTCAACCATTTCAAGAAGCTGGGTAGCATCAATCCACAATTAGAAATGCACATTTGAATAAGAGGAGCTGCGCTAAGAAAAGAGAGAATTCCCATGATCTTTTGCTTAGATCTTACTGTCGATTTTTTGTCGCTTGATTGCAGGATCTTTGTGAGGCGTTCTTTCGCGCTGACAAGGTCATTTTGCAACTTGTCATAGGCCTCTGCATGAAAGGGGGTGTATTAGAGCTTGTTTGTATACACGGTAATCGAGTAGGTTTAACAACACACATATCACATATAGTTAAATAATTAATTGGAGAGAAGATGAATAAGTGACTGACCCACTCCCTCAAGCAGAACCTTTTGCATCGCTTCCAACTCGATCAATCGGTCCTCCATTTCCTGCATGAATGAAGCAAGGATTATATTATTATAAGCTGCTGAAGCAAGGATCAGTTGGTTGATTGATTTTTGGATGCAATGAATAGCTACCGCTGTTCGGGTGATTGAGAACTTGATCTGGGCGATCTCGCGCTGGATGTAGTCGAAGAAGGGCTGGTTGAGCCTGGGGCGGAGCCTGCCGATCTCTACCTCGATCTCGCGCGCCTCCGTGTCGAGGAAGAACTCGACGAGGCCGGCGTCCGTGTCAGGGATGACCCGCGCCTGTCAGAAACAGAAACTGTCAGGCCCGCGACGTGTTCGACGGAATGCAAGAAAGAGACGGATGGGAAATTAACCTCGCGCTCCTGGCGGCGTCGCTCGTGCTCCTCGCGGACCTGGCGCTCGAAGGCCTCGCGGGCGTCGGAGTCCCTCTCGAGGCGGCGGCGGAACTCGAGGCGCACGATGTGGCCGCCCTGCGGCGGGCCGAGGACGCCCTCGGGGTCCTGCACAGCACAGCACATATGAGTGGACTGATGAGTCGGGAATGAAATCGACGAGATGAGAGCCTACATACCCATCCGATGCAGGAGATCTTGGTGGCGACGGCGCGGCGCCTGGTGGGCGCGCGGCGGACGGCGGGGCGAGGCGGGAGGAGGGGGCAGCCGCTTTGGAAGATGGCGCCAAGGCCAAGGGAGGAGGAAGAGGAAGCCATGAGCACAGTGGGTGTGTGTTCTGTTCGTTATCCGCTCGATTGACTCTCTCCCCTGCTCTTGTGCTATGCCTAACTATACTATACCCAGTTTTGCTTCTTAGCTAGGCCGGCCCATTCAACGTCCCGATTTATAGGCCCATTTACTGGCCCAATCTTCCGAGTAGTTCAGCCAAAAAAAATAGGAAAAAGTACGAATTACCCCCCGCCCCCCCCCCCCCCGAACTATCACGGTCGTCTGAATTACCCCCCTGAACCACAAAACCGGACATTCTTCACCCCCAACTATGTAAACCAGACGAATTACCCCCCTCGACCCAATCCACGGTGGTTTTGGTCTATGTGGCATACACGTGGCAGTCCAATCAGCGTTTTTTTTAATTAAAAAATTATGGGACCCGCATGTCATACACTTCTTTCTCTCTCTCTCTATTCTCTCCGCGTGTACACCACGTAGACCAAAACCCCCGTGGATTGGGTCGAGGGGGGTAATTCGTCCGGATTACATAGTTAGGGGTGAAGAATGTCCGGTTTTATGGTTCAGGGGGGTAATTCAGACGACCGCGATAGTTCGGGGGAGGGGGTAATTCGTACTTCTTCCAAAAAAAATATGATTTTTTTACTAAAATATGTACAAAATAATTTTATGTTTTTTACAACGTCCCAAGCCCGGAATAATTAACAATTTGTCATTCTCACGAGTGGTGCTAAAATATTTACCACTGGACCCACATGTTATAGACACATAAGGACCCATATGTCATAGATAACGAGTGGCAAATAATTAATTGACACATCTTAAAAGTGGTAAGGAGTTAGATGTCCCCAAGCCCTATGGAGGGCCTAGCTAGAGGGCATTTTTCGTTACATGGCAGTTGGCTCTCGTTAACGACCGCTTGCCTTTGCTGCTCTCTAATATAATCTTTTTTTTTCCATGGGAGGGAGAGCTTGAAAAAAAAGGACACAGAGGTTTTTTTTTCCGGCGCCCCCTTGCCAGGATTTTTTTAACAAGGGGACCCCTACATACTCTTCAATTCTATAGATAAAAAAATTGTTAGAGGAAAGAAAAGGATAATAAATACAAGATCACTATTAATTTCATAAAGACACACCATATATTTATGTATGAATTTTAGATTGGTTTTATATTTAGTCAAATTGGCATATATTTAGTCTATGTCATTCCATTAGCACCCAAAATTTAGTTCTGCCTTCGTCACTGCACTCATGCATACATGGAGACAGGAAGAATCATAAACCATTCAACCCTCACTCCAAGAAACTAACATTGGACAAACCACATCATTGACCTGACTAATTTCTGTTTAATCTAATCAGGTGGTCCACATCTAATGCCACACACACACACACACCAAGAGTGGCAAACTTGTCTTTCCTGCTTGAGTTGTTGCCAGTGACGAATCTAGATGAAAATATAGGTGGGGCTTTATTTATCGTCATAATATAAAATAATAATCATATATCTTTAATCTATATCAACAATATTTGAAAATCCTACACGGATAGAAAAACGGTGGATTAAAGAATGAAGGGAACTGAAGAGTGAAAAAGATTGAAAGATATATATAGGCATGGGCTACACACTGACAGCTACTAAAACACGAAAGTAAAAGTAATCCACATCGTTTCTTTCACCCTGAACATCTCCAGCCAAATATAGTCATCATCGGTTGGTTGTTTTGCTGTAATTAATTTTGTTGGCACTATGAACTCACTAGTCACTACACATAGACATAGATATCTGGGATCAATCCCTGTCAGCCAGAGCTGGGACTGGAGCCCCAACCAGCCCCAACAGTGGATTCACCACTGGTTGTTGCAAAGTAAACTCGCGGGCAGATTAAGATGGTAAAGTCTCCTTCTAAATGTTATATAAGAATACACACTAAGAGCTTTAAGAAAATGTTTTAAGAAATAAACGATTCGCCAAATAAACCTAGCCTTCTTTTACAGCTTGTATGTTACATATTTTCCAGTAGCCTACTAAATACGAAAGTACTTATTCCCTTATTGATTGTTGTTTTTATTCTTTTTTTAGTTCAGGTTGAAGAGGGCAAAGATTAAGGTTTCGTCCCTAGACCCAAGTCATTGCTTTTGGATTGGTGTTATATAGCTATGTAATGTTCCACGGCTACTGCTTTTGATTGAAGGTTCTATTTCAGAGATTACTCGAATATGAAACATAAAGGTATATTTTATATTAGAATTGTAATGATTTATTTTGTTACTGCGGGTACCCGCATTTAATTTGTAACCTGAAATGGGTATCGACATCACGGTTTCACATGAGATGGTTCGCTGTTCTTTTGAGCCGCACACGATGTCCGTACGGTGGTAGGCGGGGTGTGATAAGGAAGGATTAATTACATCTTTAGCGCAACACATGCATACATGGAGACAGAAAGAATCATGCATAAACCATTGAACCCTCAGTCCAAGAAATTAACATTTGACAAACTACATCATTGACCTAACTAGTTTGTGTTTAATCTAATCAGCTGGTCCACAATTAGTGGTACACACACCACGAATTAACCAAAAGAGTTAACTGAGTCTCTTACGGAAGTACTGTTTTAAACACTCTGGCGGACTTCAACCGTTTCTTACATATGAATTAAATTGTTAAGAAAAATTCTAAAAAATTGACAAGATAGATTAATATGTAATATATTATCTAACAAATATATAAGTTCAAATTCAACTTCTATAAATTATAATAAAAATAACTATGAATATATTTATACTAGTTAAAATTTAATTTGTTATTTTTGTTACAACTTGTAGAAGTCGAATTTGAATTTAAATATTTGTGAAGTGATATATTACTACATACTAATCTGTCTTCCAAATCTTATTAAAAAAATTTCATAATTATTTAGTTGACAGGAAAGAAACGGGAGATTAGCGTGCATCTTCCTCTTTTACTTCTCAATTAATTAATGTAGTGACCATTTGTGCGGACTTGTCGATCGCGCGCGTCAAAAAAAAAAGAAATATTTAAAGAAATTAAAATATTAGCACTAGCTAGTGTTGTACTTGGTGCAGACTGTCCTGACCTCGCCGGCGTCGCCCTCGAGCACGCCGACCGTCCCGAGCTTGGCCATCACCTCCGAGAACCTCTGCAGGAAGGCGTCGGGGTTGGCCGCGTAGTAGGCGACGTAGCCCGCCGTGGCGGCGTGCGTGGCGGCCTCCTGGTCCACCTGCAGGAGGCTCCTGTTGCTCATGAGCTGCGCGTAGTAGGCGTTGTCGACGGCGAAGGGCGTGACGGGGTCGAGGAAGGTCATGGCGTAGTCGGCCGCCGCCGGCTGGTCGGCGAGGCCGCAGACGCCGACCATGTCGCAGCGGAGGCTCTCGTCCATGGTGCCGTCGTCCGGCCTGGCGAGGCGGTAGCGGAAGGAGGAGCAGTGCGCGGCGCCGACGGTGTGGGCGCCGAAGAGGAGGACGGTCTCGTCGGCGGTGAAGCCCTTGGCGGCGAAGTGGCGGAGCGTGTCGTCGAGGGAGGAGAAGGGCGCCGGGAGGTCGTCCTCCCAGGAGTTGGAGTGGAGGGCGTCGCGGCGGCCGAGCGCGACGTCGTAGGCGGTGCCGCCGAGGAGGGCGAAGGAGTCCCGCGCCATGAGGGCGAGCGCGTCGGCGCAGGAGACGACGCCCGGGCAGGCGGCCTCGAGGGCGGACTTGACGGCGTTGACGATGTTCAAGGCGCGCAAGGTCTGGTTGGGGATGGCCACCCGCTCCGGCGACGGGCGCGTCGGCGTGGGGACGATGAGCAGAGAAGCGTCGCAACCCTGCAGCCATGAAACATATGATGAACGAACCCTAGCTAGCTACTCCAGATCGATGGCACGTACGTACGGTGACGAAGCAGTCGTGGAAGAGCATGCGGATGATGGCGGGGGCGATGGTATTGTCGTTGTAGAAGCGGCGTTCCATCACCTGCCGCACGATGGCGTCGGCGTCCGGGCACGTCGCGCCGTAGTACCCCACCTCCGGCGACGGCGATCTGCAGCTGCAGGATCAGGAGCACACCTGCATGGCGGCGTCTCATGGCTAGCTTAATTAGCTTGCTGTCAAGTACTAGCTTAATTAGTATGCATCTTCTCACAAGACAACATGATCGATCTCATGCATCGCCGACACCTTAGCTATAGCTAGCTAGTTTAATACTCTCTCGATCTTCGTATAAGATCTAATTTTATTCGATATTCAGTTAAGACGCGTGTGTACCAGTTTGATCCAGCTGTAGTGCCAGTTTTTGCACGACGACGAACACGACTTACCAAGCTGCACGGCTAATCATATCGGTAATATGCTAATCTACTTCTAGTTAAGCTAGAGATTGGCCGGTTGCTTCGAAGTCATACCACACCGTACCCTTAATTAATTACATGTATATGCATTAGTACTACAAAAGAGATTTTCCCAAATGATCAAAATCAAATCTTCCAATACGGTTGGGGGTAGGAGCAGCTGCTGCCTGCTGGATCCGCCCGCCGTTCGCAGACGTACCCGAGGACGGCGTCGTCGGATCCGCCGCATGCTATCGCAGAGGCCGCAGCCGCACCCAAGGGCGATGGATCCGGCCCTCCCGATGGGCGGCAGCGCCAGATCCACCGTCCTCGCCGTTCTCCATTGCCGCCCGCCGTAGCATCCAACGGTTGGCCTCCTCGTCAGCGGTGCCGCCCACTCCCATTCGGAGGAGGAGAGGAGAGGAGAGGGGAGAGAGAGAGGAGAGAGGGTGAAATTTTTTTTTGAAGTGGTGAGGAGGGAAAAAGAGAGAGAAGGAGAGAAAAAAAAGAGGGGGTATTTTTGCATGTGGCTCCTTAAGAGGACTTCATGCGAAAAAATAAGCTTATTTTTACAAATAGTCCCTTAAGAGGCCTGCTTGCAAAAATAGATTTTTGCATACGCTCCTCTTAACAAGTCGTATGCGAAAATGTGAGTCAATTTTTGCAGACGCCGATACTTATGGTCCGTCTTCAACCTGTTGAGGTGCTTGTCTAGGAAAATCATTTTTTACTAGTGATATGACATCAAAGTGTGTTTTGATTATTATTTTGTGATAAATAATTAACTTGTGAGATAATTGATTTTTATATTTGATGATTATTGGCGATGTGGTGCTAGCTAATTGTGTGGGACCGGTCAGACCGGGTGGAGTAGGTCGATCAGACCGGCTAGCCCGACGGTGTAACCAGCTGATTTCTGATAGGTGTTGATTTCGGATTGTTTATTTGGATACTTATGATTATCTCATGAGTATGATTTCTAGATGATTTCTATACGTGTATAATACTGTTGTGTGTTAATGTTGAGTCATGTTGGGAAAGAACTTGTGCTCGGATATGGTTTCTTGTTTGATTTATGTGTAGGTATGTGTTGATACCTCAGGATAGCGTTGCCAGTGAATCAGGAGTCAACTTGGAAGAAGATGGCGTCTGAACGATTGGAATATCACGCGGGATGCTCAAACTAAAAAAACAATGCACGTGGTTGATAGAGATTTCATGCGGGATACGATGGGAGATTACGTGCATATGAAAAGCGAGTTAAATTTGGAAGGAGATCAAATTTGAAATATAGAGTTTAAATTGGAAAGAAATAAATTTGTTTCACGTACGAAATGGTTTTCTAGTGGATTACACCACAAAACAGATAGGCCAACATTGGTCGTCAATCCTGTTGTTTTGTGTCACATCCTCTAGAAATAGCGAAGGTTCTTTGCTTTGTTGGCTTTGTCAAGAACTCCAAAATTTGTACCACACAGCATTCCAGCAATTTTGCATCTTAGTATGATATGGTCTGTTGTTTTTGCGGTGCATACAAATGAAAATAGCTGGTAGCTACAAAAAACTTCGTATGTAATATAATCCGTTGTCAATAGTTGTCTGTAAAACGAATTATATTGTTCTTAAAAGCTGCAGGGTACATATCATTATATTTTCATGTATTCAGTGTACCTATGAACCTTTTATGAGGTCTGATTTGATTCAAGATCATGTTTCTTCATGTTGATTGTAAATAGTACTTACTTGATGAGAATATAACTAGCTCGGATATAACCATGACTACCTTATGTATTAATCAAATAAATGTGCATATGTTCTACATTAGATTTACTTGTTATATATTTGAACAAACGTTGCTACACAATGAGTTTTGTGTGTTTTCATTTGTAGAGGTACTTGCTTGGGTAAAGGAAAAGAGACCGAGTGTAACTAATAAATGGATGATTAAAGAAGTTGACTGGGGACCAAACTAAGACCTTCTCCAAGTCTATTTCTACCTAACCACGTCACTTTTGGCCCATAGAAGACAAGAGATCAAGTTGTATACGTTTTGGATTCGGATTCAGGCCTCGTGACAGCATCAACTTCAAACGGACCTAGCCGCTGATCTAGAAGGAATTTTGGGGCCCATGAGTACATGTTGGAAAGCTTATGGAGTCTACTTTCAGATGGTTTTCGCCCCACGTCAAAATTCCTACCGAGCTGCCGGGAATCTGCAAAACAAGCCACGTACCTCATCCAGTCCGAATCAGATTTGAGTTTTGGGCTTTGTAATTGTGTCGTGGGCTTAGCCCAATGGGGATGCGCCCTAGGGTAACCCTAGGACGTCCCTAATCATATTAACTCAATAGCCGTCATCGTTTAGAGTTGGGTTTTGCTTAGATTATTCTGTCAAGACCAGTTTCGCCACTAGATCGGTTTGTGGAACCCCAAATTCGAGTGCTTAATCATTTATATGCAAGTTGGTTGCAATCTATCTTATTCTTGCTTATGTTCTTCAATTCGCATGCAGGGATTAGTTTTCTCGGCGAGGTCAACCGGGTTTCGGCACGGTTGATAACCAGAGACGTGGCGCTGCGATTGCGGGGCTCAGCAGCGTGTTCATTTAGAAGCCGGATCGAGTTATATCGCGACTCTGCCCAAATCGACTGTTTATCAATACCTATCGGAGGATCGGGACCTAACATCCCTCGTCATTACTAGACCTGAAAGTATTGAGATCAGTTTTTCTTTAAAAAAAATTGATTATTCCTCTCCTCCTTAAGCATATTCTAGTTACAGCTTTTTTGCAAGCAACTTCAGATGTCTGCTTCACAGCTTGCTCTCTCCTTTTACTTTTCAATGGGCCAGCAATGGAATGCCGACCAAATTTTATTGAGAAAATGGACAGCAAGATTACAGTGTTACAGTAGGGACAAAAACATAGTTGTTGAGGCAACAGCCGAAGGCCAGTCTCTAGTACCAGCCCACACCTTGGTTACAACGAGAACTGCCAGCTAGCACTACTAGGAACACCTCCTGAATATTCCTTCTTCTTTTACTTATAAATTGTTTAACATAATTTTAAATTTGATACTAACTTGACCAAACTAACTGATGAGTAATATTTATATTGTATTCTACATACGTGATATTTATTAATTATTTTAAAACTCTAATTTTAGTTAATTCTAAATTGTATTCCTACAGACTCTAAACTCATCTTCTAATATTTATTATTTTTCAATTCCGAATTCATGTTGTTTACAAATTTTATTCCACTATTGACTCTAAACCCTTCTTTCAATATTCCTTGTTTTAGTTATTTTTAATTTGTATTTCTTTTTTTTATTCTGAATTTCTCTTAGTTACAAATTGTATTTTTATCATATGGAATCTAAACTTATCTTTCAATATTTATTTATTTTATTCCGATTCTAGTTATTTTCAAATTGTATTCATATGTGGACTTTAGACTTGTTTTGTACTATTTCTTATTTTTCCAATTTTGAATTTTTACTTCTTCTAAGTTGTATTTCTATATGGACTCTAGACTTATCTTTCAATATTCCTTATTATAAATTTCGAATTTTAGTTTTTTCTAAGTTGTTTTTCTATATGGACTCTAAATTCTATTTTTTTTAATTTCGAATTTCAGTTATATCTAAATTGTATATGCATTTCTATATAGACTCTAAACTTATCTTTTAATATTCCTTATTTTTAATTTCGAATTTCAATTATTTCTAAATTGTATTCATATATGGATTCTATACTTCTTTTTCAATATTCCTTAGTTATTTCTAAGTTCTACTTCTATTTGCTCTCTAATCTCTTCTTTTGATTTTCTTTTTTTTTCTGAATTTTAATTAGCTATAAATTGTATTCCTATATGGACTCTAGTCTCCTCTTCCAATATTACTTATTTTCTAATTCCGAATTTTTAAATAATATTTCTATATGGACTCTACTTTTTCTTTTTCTCTGATTAATGTGGGAATTTCTATGCCGTGAGAGCAAACGTGGAGGCTCTTTTTTCTATTACTTTAATAAGTTAATAGATAGATTGTTTACTTCATAGCCTGCAAAATTTACTGGTAGTTTTGCTAAAAAAATTTCACTGGTAGCTAGGCTGGTAACTGCAAAAACTTACTCCTAAATTTTCCTTTTGAATACCTTCTCCGTTTTTGCTCCGTAGCCCATCCAGGATCCAGCACTACACTTTTAGAGGAATAAAACAATCACATATAATTCCTGCAAAACTGTTTTGGAATTCCAAACAGGGCCTGCACTCTTCAGTTCCATGCAGTACTGTGAATTTCCAAACGGTACCTTGAGTCTTAAGAGTTAAGTCCCCACTTTGATGATCTCTCCTTCTACTGGAGAGAAAGAGCTTTCAATTCCAATACCAATTTTGATTTCAACACAGGAGAAAATTGTGAAGACTACTTGTTCTTTTGTCCTTAACATGGTTTTAAATTTGTTTTTTCAGTCTTCAGTTCCAGGTGACATCAAAAGAAAGTCTTCGTAGTCAAGTCCACGAAGCATATTTTTCTCAAAACAACATGTAAAACTCTAGACATGGTTCCTTTTCTAGGTCCTTACCACCTAATGTGGAGTGCAGGACATCCACTAATTTTCTGTTCATACAAAATGAACAGAAAATAATCGGTAGCTACAAAAGCTCTTGTGTAATCCGCCAATGGCTGTTTGTAAAACAAATCATTCACTATATAACGTTATCTTTGGTCTTATTTTATAAGTTCTGTTTACCATATGCAACTTATGAGGTTTGATCCCTTTTTTCAATTTGTTAATGCTTCTCCTCCTTAAAACTTATCTTTGTCTATTTATAGGTTTACTCGGCTCCCTTGTACTGCATGTTCTAGTACAGCATTTTTGCAAGCAAATTCAGATATCCGCTCTCTTTTTTTTTTGTTCCAATGGGCCTCGATGGAATGCCAGCCAAAGTTTATTAAGAAATGGAGAGCAAGGTTACAGTAGGGACAACAAACAACATAGTTGTTGAGGCAACAGCCATGTAAGGCCAGCCTCTGGAAACCATCCCACACATTGGTTACAACGACACAACTGCTAGCTAGTACTTCTAGAGTACCCAGCTTTGCTCTCTGCTAGATCAATCCGCAAGGTTGGTATGAGTGATCTTTTATGCTATTGCTATAACATCATACTTCAATATCTTTTCATCTATTCGTAGTTCTCCAATAGTATTCTAATGCTACCGTTCTTTCTCTTCTAGTAGCAGGACACCGTTTTACAGATTGGTAGCTCAAAATGGATGAGACGGTCAGATCTGCCATTGTTGGGGAGGCTATCAGAGGAATCTTTTCTGGTGTTATCAGCAAGTATGAGGATAATTCAAACGAAGGAGATAACATAGAGAGGCTGGAGATGGCGCAAATTAAGCTGGAGGCTGCGATTAAGACTTCCAACAAGTGGCAGATCACCGATACGCCGTTGCTACGTTGGCAGAAGAAACTGAAGCGTGCGTCTGAAGAATGTGATGATACGTTGCGCAAATGCAAGCAGCGCGCTCTAGAAGAGAAAGAGATCGAAGTGCAGGTCAAGCAATCCTCATTTCCTAGACGTGTTGCTCATGCAACCAAATCTTTCATCGTCTCATTCATCGGCCACAATAATGATGACTACTCAAGCAGCGCTATTGTTCGAAGATTTGAGAGGATTGCAGATAGTGCTGACAGTTTTCTGAGGTTTGTGCAGCTAGGCGGGAGACCACGGCAATATTTGTTCTTTGACCCTCTTATTGCACATCTTTTCGCAGGCAAATCTCTAAGATATCAAACATTGCATGATGGAAGTCAATACCATTTCTTCAGTATACGCCCTATGAGTTTTGAGGAGCGTGGACTAGAGGCCATGCTGTTCTTTGTCTATGAAGATTGCAAGGTGCCCAAGAACAGTTTTCGGTTAGGATTCATACTGCGTCTTTCAGAAAGTACAGACGTCATGGGAATTACAGTCAAATGCTTACAGTCAGTCACACCTCACTTCAAGTCCACAGCCGAGATTGTTGTCAGGGAACTCACTCAGCTCCCTACGCAAGATTTCTCATGGTTGCCACCATACCATGAATATGGAAGCATGGAACACTGGGACAATGTTCAGACCACCTTGACTCAATGGTTCCGGCCAGATCCATTGTGCTGCTCCAAAGGATACATTCCTGCTTGCAGCAGCAGCAGCTACACAAAAAAGTAGTAGTCTGTCAAGCATATTTCCAGAACCAGTCATTCAAGTATTTTTGCAGTGTCACATCTCACTGTCTGAATACAACAACTTGCAAGGATCATCAATCATCAGATACGGCACATCTTCACTGGAGAAATTCCCTCTTTTGAAGCTTTGGTTTCTCTTCATGCCACATGACTCTGTTGAAGACCTGGAACCTACTAACGCAGCCGAGAGCTATGCATTAGAAGCAATCGATGGAGAGAAGCAGCAGAAGGGGCATGTAGATGTTCATCCTCACCAACTGGACGAGATGTTGCTGCCCAAGGCAATCAACTACCTTTACCACAATGCTGAGGCAACGACATACCAGATGTACTGGAAATCCAAACATGGCAGTGCACACCTAAGTGTGGAGAAGACAAGCATGGCGACACCTCCACAAGCTCGCAGAACCACGCGGCGGCAAGGCAGGATGAACAAGATCAGGGGGCTTCAAATGCAGGAGCAGATAAAGAATGGGCAGTGTTGGAAGCAGGTAGCGAGAGATTTCCTCAAATTCTTGGATCTGCGTTCGTCAGATAATTTGCGGGGCTTGTTCATGGCATGGCTCAATCATAGAAACTAAAAGATTTATTACGAGGAGGTTAAACCAAGTACTGAAACATCGAACGGCTTATGTTGTCTGCAAGGGAAATCGTACAGTCCTTGTTTCTTACATGATGTGGCCACGGTAATTTTGCAAGAAATTTTACTTCTTTCCCTAATTTAGATTTCCACGTGAACTATCTGCAAATAATATTTGCGTGACTATATATGTTTGTAGCCAATCTAGCATACAAAACTCTGATAGCCATTTCTGTACAATTGCTGTGAAACTCATGTACTACTGTATTTGGGGGATTTGATTTCCCTCTTGTTCTGAACAAAGCGGCCTTTTCTACATATACTATACTGTCGTAGTATGTTGTATCTTCAGGTACAAAGACTTTTCAGTGTCTTGCAGATGGTTTCAGTTATCGTGAAGTTTCATTCTTCATTCATCCATCCATCCTGCTCATTTCCTGTTTGCATAAAAATGGTGGCGATTGATGGCTTGGATCATGCTTTGTTGGATCGATCAGGGGTCCATGCTGGTCCAGTGATAAGGACACTGTATGTGCAGCAGCATGTAGCCATGTCTGCACTGCATGGCAAAGACAGAGACATGCAACAGAAGGTGACGCTTCTCTGGCCTTATAAATTGAATCAGATCTCAGCCTTCTCTGGTTGTTGGTTGGCACAGTATGAACCTGAAATGCCTCTCATCTTATCTCTGCAAGTTTGTTATGGCACTAGTTTTACCTCAAAATTCAATCAAGAACTCAATCTGGAAGCTTATATTCTCGTGTACAAAATGCACCCAAGCTACACATTGTTATCTCCGATTTGATTGCTTGATTAGATTCAATTTGAACAAACTTGGTAGTGCTGTCTCAGGTGAATTGGTAAGTTATTGTAATTGGTTAGGTAAAGTAGCATGCATAATGGATGCCACGCATGGTTATTACATGAAAACAAGCGAGTTGCGCACAGATTAGAGGATAACCACGGGCTTAAAAAGCAAGTTTTAGCTAGCTCTCCACCTGACCTGTACCAGAACATGATGTAGTAGGAGTATTTGTTTTATCAGCACTCCATTCAGTCAGTGCGTGCTACTACTATTTTCGTTTCTTCACTTTGCTGCTGACTATTGATCGATGTTATTACCATCATCAAATTACCTACCCCATCAAAAAAATTTCATAGGTTTACTGCCATAACCACAAATGCACCAACAAAACCACAAAGTATATATATAGCCTACGTAACGTACTGTTATGTCTAATAAATTATGGATACAATCAAGTGAACACACTATACTAGTCATATACTGTACTCCACTAGTGTGAAACAGTACATAGTACTAGAAGTAGTACAGTAGTATAGGTGGTACGAAATTTAAGGAATGAAGGTCCACCGCTGGCATTGCAATTAGGCAATGCACAACACTTGTACTGTACTGTAGTCCGCATTCTCAAAGAGGTTGCAACTTTGCAATATGTGCAGTTGAAATCTGAACTCACTAATATGCTATGTAAAAGTACTAATAAGATCCCACAGATGAAAATATATAATAGTACTAGATATTTTCTTGGAAAAAAAATATAGTTACTACTATAATGGAGGGACAAATAATTCAGGGACAATTACTTAAAGACAAGTACCAACAACTGACGTTGGTGTCCCACATATTCCCTGCTACATACACCCTCCGATCTCAAAATAAGTTCATTTCATTTCACATATACCAATACAAAGTAAAATAGACTAGAATACCCTCTCTTTCTAAATCCCCAAACAACTATTTCTCTTTTATAGAAAACTTATTTTGAAACAAACGGGATGAGCTAAAAGTGAATTTATTCTGAAACGGTGGGAGTATACTATATTAGAATTAGCCTTTTTCTTTTGAAAAAAAATCCAGGACACTAATCAATAATCATAGCTGCTTGCATTGGCTCCTCCTGGTCCTGGTCCTGCAGGCTGCATATGAAAGCACTCAAAACTAAAGATCCTCCATCTCCATCACCGACACCATACTATCAGTACGTGTGGAATGGGTACGTAACCGTAACCCAAATATATATATACAAGTATGCTGTTAAAATTTGGCTGCCGGTGGCAGCGTACGACGAGACTCGTCGATCAGTCAGTCAGGCACCAAACAAAACGTACTGTCTAGGAAACCGACATTTTCTCCATGTACTTATCCCTCAAGAGGCCAACACAACGACGATGCCGAAGAAGAAGAGAGCGAAGATAGAGCTAATCAAAAGAAGGTACAATAATTAAGTGAAGCCAGGACCTAGCTAGTCATCAGACCACTACATGCAAATGCAAAACATATGCAATAATGCAACCATAATATGTTGGTTTCTTTTTTTTTCCTTTTCATTTCTGGATCGATCAGCTATCGCATCTGTTTACACATGAAGAACGCACACTCTAGTTCAAAAAATATCATCATCCATCAACTAAGTATCAATTAATACCCCTAAACGAACACAAGACAACAAATCTTTTGTTTCCTGTTTGATCCTAAGAAGAAAGAATGTTAGGGTCATTATTAACTTATTGTATATATTACTCTTTTAATTAAAGCTGCTCTGGTTCCGTACAGTTAAGATATCCAAACTGAAAGGCAGTACTACAACCTCTTCTGAAAGAAGAGATTAACGCTAGCAACTTCCAGAAAAGAAAACAAGAAAGCAAAGAAGAGAAAAGACAAGAAGATACAGTTACACACACATCCCCAAGCAGAAGAGGAGAAGAAATTTGGAAGAAGCAAGGCAGTTACTACTATAATTAAGCATCCATAATACGTGTAGGATAGGAGCGATGAGATTATTACTACATACAAGTGATTGTAGAGGTGCACGTAGGGGAGTGATTTAGAGTAATTACAAGTGGTGGTGCGGATCGAGGTTGTTGACGAGGGCGAGGGCGTTGCTGGTGGCCTGGGAGACGGCGCCGACGCGCTTCCTGAGGGCGTCGACGTCGATGCCGGGGGCGGCGTAGGTGGCGAGGGAGTCGAGGCAGGTGGAGGCGTCGGTGAGCGCGGCGCTGGCCCAGGTCTGCACGTTGCTCAGCCGCCACGCGAACCGCGGGCTCCCCGACCGCCCCATCCGGCTCATCTCCGCCGCCGACTGCCGCAGCCGCTCCTCCGCGTCCCGCAGCGTGTCCGCGCAGTCCCCCACCGCGCCGCCCCTGCCGCCGCCGCCGGAGCGCTTGGACGAGCTGGAGGAGCCGCCGCCCCCGAGGTAGCCCGAGCAGGAGCGCGCGCGGTCGGCGCCGACGGTGAGCGCGGCCTGCGCCAGGAGACGCGGGCTGCGCCCCACCGCGGGGGCCTGCGGCATGAGGCTCCGCTCGCACACCTGCGGGTACCGCGTCGCGCGGCACGACCGCCGCACGAAGTCCGCCGCCGCGGCCGGGCTCACCGCCGGCCTGGGCCTGGTGGACTGTGACGCGCCGGCGATGGTGGCGGCGGCGGCAACGGCGAGGAAGAGGAGGAGGAGAGGAGGGTGGCGGCGTGTGATGGCCATGATTTTTAATTTTTGGTTGAGATTTGTTTGAATTGAGGAATGGGGAACGACAAATTGGAAATGGTCGTGGTTTTATTAACCGAATTGAATGCCACGTTACACCCCCTTGGCATGTGAACGCACCGAAGATGGAGAAAGAAGAGGAGTCAAAGCGGTCAACGCTCAAGTTTTAGCATGAATTTTTTTGTTCTTTTTGTTAGTTACTCCATTAGGCAACCAACCAAACGAGTCAAGCAAGGGCAGTAGTGGCAAACTGCCAACACGCCTACCGTCTTATACCAGGGATTTCCAATGAGGCAATGACAACCACTTGTTGATCATGTGTTTTATACTGGTATGAAAGAATTTTGGATAAATGTGTATCTACATTAGTGAAAAGGAATACAAGATGTCATCACCACGACCCACGTCTTTAAATAAACATCAACATTATAAGAGAAAAAAAATTAGTAAAAAAAAGCTAACAGTATCAATGGGTATTCTAGAACCTTCATGCACCTCCCATAAGATGTGCGATAACAAATATATGAGAATGAAAAAATAGAATACATTATACATTAGCCATATAAAAAATATCGATGACAATCTAATACTAGTACTATCAAGAATAACGAGTGTCAATGTATATATATGAATAACAATTAATCTGAAGCTATGATTAGTTCACTGTGGCATGGACGACATGTTACATGTTTTTATTGAAAATTCATTTGTGACGGTGGTGGTAAAAAAAATCAATTTTTATATTTTCAATAAAAACATGAAACATGCAGCTTTCCAACAATTTTTTTAATATAAAGAGCATTTTTCACTGATTCTGACAAAATTTTATTCATAAAAAAGGATTTAAAATAAATTAGTTATAAATTTTTGAAGTTTACACATTTTTTAGTTGAGAGGACATATTGGTCATTTACGGAAAAACTAACATTTGACTAGCGGTCAACAAACGGTATAGTGATGGGAGTGGGGGTTGAAAAACTTAATGGGAGAAGCCAATTTTAAGTGGCATATAAAGAAACTGGTCAGTCAATTTCAAGTGGCATATAAAGAATTCCCCCGATGATTTTCTATCTATACTCTATGATGAAGCTAGAGTAAACAGTCTCTAGTTTTCTGATTGCACGCGTTTTGAACAAGTAAATGTTATATTTTTCTTAAAAAGTATTATATAAAAGTTTTCTAAAAAAATATATTAATTTAGTTTTAAAGCTTAAAATAATTAATATTACTTTATTTCCTTAATATATGACGTTGGCTAGTTTAAAATTGAACTAACCAACGTTATAAAAAAAGGACAGAATAATTAATCTCTTCTCATGGTAAAATGAGAATAGATCAAGGAATAACGAAGAGGGGGGCAAGATATAGATAATAATTTTTTTCCTCAAAAACGCACATTAACAGAATATCCATTTACCCAAAATGCCTTTTTGCGTAAAAGTTTTTTCTTACAAGTTAAATAAATATACTTTTTAAGTTTATAAAATTTAATGCTTAATCTTATTAAAGAACTTTCTCGTTTTACATGTCGCAAACAATTCTCAACCAAATCAGCTCTTACTATAAACTATAAAGTTATAGCCAACTGAATCCTAAAACTTAATATGCAAAAATTTCGCATCATCATCCACTAACAATTATTACATTTAAGCATCATGCAAGCATGCTATATTATCTATAATTTTTTAATTTATTAAAGTCTAGAGATTTAAAATGCAAGCATGTTAAGTAATCCCACATAATTCACATAATATTTTAATATATATCCCTTTATTATTTTTACAAAATCCTATATAACAATAAAGTTCATCCTCACTTAGTTAATGCTATTCCAATTTTCTCTTATTAACCCATACGACATCAATTATTTTTAGTCCTTAGATTGATTAATCTATGATTTGTATGGCCTAAATTATCTTTCTTCTTTTGTTCTATTATAAAACCACATCATCTTACTTTTACATTTGAATCATCGTTTTGTATACTATTTAAATTTAAATCACACCAACTTATGTAAGCTCTTAGGGGTGTTTAGATCTAGGAGTGTAAAGTTTTGGCGTGTCATATCGGGTATTATATAAGGTGTCAAATGGGGTGTTCGAGCACTAATACAAAAACTAATTACAGAATCCGTCAGTAAACCGCGAGACGAATTTATTAAGCCTAATTATTCTATCATTAGCAAATGTTTACTGTAGCACCACATTATTAAATCATGGAGCAATTCGGTTTAAAAGATCCGTCTCGCAAATTAGTCGCAATCTGTGCAATTAATTATTTTTTTAGCTTATATTTAATACTTTATGCACGTGTTCAAACGTTCGATGTGACAAGGTAAAAAATTTCAGTGTGTGATCTAAATAGGGCCTTAGGGCGTTAGGGAGTATTAAAGAAGAGAGAAAAAGGGAATGATTACGAAGATACGTCAGACTAGGTAAACCATTTACCCATATTAATTGAGTATTAATAATTTTAAATTTTATAAATAAATTAATATGTTTTTAAAGTAACTTTTATATAGAAATAAAAAAAATACATTTAAGAGTTTGAGAAACGAGACATTTTCTCTCTGTCCTCTCCAAACGCACAGCACAGAAAGATTGCAATGAAAGGTGTCGTGGAAGAAAGTTGACAGGAGGATCTAGAGAATCTGAGAAGGTGATGCTACATGTTAGTAGTTGGTAGTTAGATTGCCGTGATGTTTGGAGGAGCTGTGGCTGTTTTGCTGTGACTGTTCCAAACCTTTGGATGCTCTTGTAGTATACTAGTAGTGAACATATTTTTTTCTATTTAATATCATTTAGGAGTCCAAATATTCATTTCAAAATAAAAATCTATTTTGACAAAATCTCGTATAGACATTTCAAATGACCTCCGACGAAAAAAGCTTTATATAAAAGTTATTGGTCTGAATGAAATCTACAACTTTGTAGGTCTATTACTTTTTCATTTAAAGTTGTCTGGAGTGTTAAATAAGCATCACTAGTTTCTAGTTTCTGTAGCAATTAAAATTGATTGGAAGAGTCTAAATGCAAATATAAAATCTACACTTACAGCCCTTGCCATTGCTGCCTTCTGGAAGGTTGATTTTTATAAATCACCATCCTAGGGCGTTAGGAATATATTTATGTATCTTTAGAACAAAAAATGTTTTTATAATTTTTTAAAAAATAAATATACAAATAAAAAATTCAGAGGCTGAGGTAGCTAGAGATTAGGCCTTTCACAGTGCACACAGTTAGACCGGTTCCTACTTGTGCCATGATGGATTCGTGTCGACATGGAGGGCGCGCCCGTGACCAACCTAGGGTTCTCGTCCCCAAACTGAGGAGCGCAAAACCTCGCAGAGACGGGCGAGCGCGTGGCGACGAAATCGGCATGAACGCGCGCTGTGGGCAGCGTGGCTTTGCCCACCCGTGACCTCGCACCCATTCCTCTGGTAAAATCTCTGATTCGCCCTCCAAAATCTTCTCCTGCCGCACCGATTTCCTTCTCCCGCCACCGATTCCTCCGCTCCTGCGCCGGATTTTTGCCTTGCACGCATTGTACTAGCTTCTTCCTCAGTTTGGGGTTAGTAAGATTGCAAGAACAAGATGGAAATGAGAGAATTCAAAAGGAATAGACTTTTTTCAAGTAAAAAAAAGGGAATGAACTTGCTCCTCAGACCAAAGAAACCACAAAGACATGAAACAAAGAGTGCAGGCAAAAAAAAAAAGGGATGCAATGCAAAAGGAGCTAACAAGAAGAAGGCCTTTTCTTGATCTTTATCCCTAGCTACTACTGAAACAGGCCATGGACTTGGAAAAGCCAAGCAATATATCATGAGAGCTCTCACCCTTTCTTCCTCCTCCCACAACAACAATGGCCATACATACAATTACAAAAAACCCAAGAAACAACCCACAAGACAATACTGCAAGCACACAAGCATTTCTACAAACAGAAGCAGTGCATATAGATGAAAAGGCCGGTGGTGGTGGCCGACGCCGCCACGGCAGCTGGGGACGCCTCCCACTGCCAAGAACCGACGGCCGCACGCGCACCGGCGTGCCGCCGCCAAGAACGAGGGAGAGGAGGTGGTGTACGCCGAGGACGAGCACGCTGAGGAGAGAGTGGGCTCTGCCCGACACCGCGTCTCCTCCGCCGCCGCTGCCATTGGAACCAGCTCCATCGGCGCCAGAGATGGCAGCGGCGGCGGCCGAGGAGGAGGAGGAAGAAAGTCGCCACGCGTGGAGGAGGAGGAGCGGGGCGGAGAAGAAGCGGCGGGGAGGAGGGGCGAGAGCGATGGAATGGGAAACGAGTCCACGTGGGTAGGTGATGTGTCCTCGTGTCCTCGTGGTAGGGTCACGTGCACTGTGGGCTAGGTTTCCTTCACCAGTGTCTCCATCCAATTGAGCCACACAAATATAGATACTTGTACTGTGGGGATGAGTGTCTTTGGACCAACTTTTTTATTAGGATCCGGGCAGCCGGTGCTTGCGCTGTGAATGGCCTTATGTTAGCTGGGCCTTATTATACGGGCTAATACTTGATGCCAACTTGCACAAAACTTGACGATGAAATGTGGACCTGGCCCATATCATTTTGGTTCTGGTAGCCCTGCTCTTGTTAGTCCAAATTCTGGATCCGGGCCTGCTCTTGTTCTCCAAATCACTCCATCATCATCTGTACGGGAAAAAAAGGTTCACTTTAAATCCCTTAAGTGTCAAGTTCCCTTGTGTCCTTCAACCATAAAACCGAGTAAGACACATTCTTCATCCTTAAAAACCACTACTAATATAGTCCCAATGTGGTTTTGACAACGATTTTAGCTAACGTGGTATATTGACTTAATCCCATCTAATACGGTGGCACTTACATGACATAACAATTAAGAATAAATAAATAAAAATAATGGTACACATATGTCAATCATAAGGGAAGAAAAGAAAAACATGAGGCCTAACGTGTCATCCTTTCATCACTATCATTATCCTCGTAACAGCCCTCCCACAAGAACTGCGTAGCTAGTCTATCCGACGGGCATGTCCACTTATACATACCACTTCACTTACACTTTCATTATCATTTCGTGTAAAAGGGTTAATCCAAAAGTGATATGGTCGGAGGGATAAACCCTTATAATTTGGTTCCTTTCTTACTAAACATGCACATAGCTTGTATGTGCCACACATGCCTTATTCTAATTGGGCTAGGATGTCACAATCCTCTCTCTCCCTCATCCTCTCATCTAGCTAGCTAGTGGTGGAGCCAAAAATTTCTCCAGCTTACGGTTCAATTGATGTAATTTTCACAGGCTTATCTTTTCTTCTTCTAATTTTTCAAATTTTAGAATGTTATTTCGATGGGTATTTAGGGCCAGGAGTAGGGCTCTAGCCCTAGCTGCCTTACTCCTTGCTCCGCCCCTGCAGCTAACGTTGAGGCCATAGGAGTAGCCTCCATGTCATCGACATTGTCCATTGTAACGCCCCGATTTTCGTTCGGGATTAAAAATCAATTAATAATGCATTTCAAGAAATTATATTAAAAGTTAAATCAATTTAATCAAGTGAAATTATAGAGGAAATTAAAATTTTCCTTTAAAAATCATTGGCGGGGAATATTCTGTAATATTCTTTGTGCCCTAATGTACTCTCCGGAATTTTCCGTGAATTTTCGGAGCTCGAGAAATAGTTTTAATAGCACAAAGATCATTGCATCAATTAAAATAAAAAGAAAACAAATAAAATCCCCTCCCCTCCCTTTTGGGCTTGGCCCAAACCTTCCCCCCCTCTCCCGTGGGCCGCGCGCCTCCTCCCTCTCTCGGCCGGCCCGCGCCTTGCGAAAGTCTGCTTTACGTCCCCTGGTTTCCCTCCTCTCTCTCCATCCGGCCGACAGGTGGGACCGTAGACCCCACCTGTTAGCTCCACCTTCTACCTCTCGCCGGCCAACCCCAACCGCCATTGCCGCCCACGTCGCCGCAAAATCCGGCGCCCTCCCGCACCCGAGCTCGCATCCAACCACGTGGACACAATCCCCTCCATGTCCTCCACCATTTTCCCCGCTCGTCCCACAAAAACCGGCGCCGGCCGAGCCGCCATCACCCCACGTCGGCGCCCCACTTCCCCGGCGGTTGCCGCCCCGACTCCGCCTCTCCCGGGCTCGATCCGGCCTCCCCTCCCCTATAAAAACATTCCCCGCACCTCCCTCTCCCTTTTCCCCTCTCTCCCGAGCCCTCCCGTGCACGAAAACCACCCCGCCACCGTCGCACCTCCCGCCGCCGCTCGCCGACGACCCTCCAGCCGGTCGCCACAGCCGCTCCCACCACCGTCGTTCCGCGCGACCGCCACCAGCGGCTTCGTCGCGTCGTGCTGCACCCCGGCGTCCGCTCCACTTTCCCTCCCCGCCTCCGAAGCACCGTCGCCACGCGCACCACCTTCTTCCACCGCCGCCGCCGACTCCAGCCGCCGCTTGGCGCTGCTCCTAGCCACCCCAAGTCGCGCTGTCGCCGCCGCTCGCTTCGCAGCGCCGAGGAGCACCTCGGCCGCCGCTTTTCACGGCCGGGATCCCGCCGGAACACGGTTCCCCTTGCGCCGGTGCGCATCCGCCGCCCGTTCTCACCTCCGACCAGCGATTCATGCCGCTGGGAGCCCTCTCTCCCCCTCCTAACCTCTCCCCCATCCTCCCCAGGTCCTTCCGGCCGCCGTCCGCCGGTTCCCGTTCGCGGATCGCCGCCGGGCCACCGTTCCGCCTTCGTCCCAAGGAGCGCCGACGCCGAGCTCCCCCGCCTTTCCCCGCCCCTCGTCGCCGCCCTCGGTGAGCACTCCTCCCCTCTTCCCTCTTTCTCCCCTTGGCCGGCCGCCTCCCGTGCTTGCGCGCGCCGTGCCGCCGCCGCCTGTGGCCGCCCAGCCCGTGTGCCGCCGTCGCTTTGGTCCCTGCCGCCGCCGCCGCCAGCCTTGTGTGTGCGCTGGCCAGGCCGCGCCGCTCGGCCGTCCCCAGCCGTCCGATCGGCCCTGGCCGATCTGGGCCGTCCAACCCGTGGACCGGCGGTGGACCGTCCTTGTGGTCCCGGTCCACGGTGGACCGCCACCTCGTCTCGCTGACGTGTGGGGCCCGCCTGTCGGCGCCGGCGCCCCTTGCTGACGTCAGCGAATGCCTTTTCCTTTGAGAAAATAATTGATAATTGCTCAATAAATCATTAATAATTATAGAAATCCATTTAAATGGCTCAAAACTTCTAAAATTCATATCTAATTCATTCGAACTCCGAATTGAGCCATTCAACTTGCAAAATTCATCTAAAATTGAGCTCTACATGTTTGTTTAGTTTTTATGTACTGTTTTCTTGGTTTTTATTAGAGTTTTTCCTCGTTTTACGTGCCAGCGTGTAGAATCCATCGTTTCGGAAGTCCGCGGTCGCGAGGAAAAGAGTTCGGAAGATCAAAGTGAAGAAGCAAGGCAAGTCACACATTCCCCTTGAGCATGTTGATCCCAATTTACAAATGTTTTACTGTTTGCAAATAAATATGCATGTTTTGCTAATTACATGGGATCCGGGTATTACCTATCTGCTCGCTTGTGCCATGTTTACTTGATATCTGTTCTTTGTCAACCTTAGGTAATGAATCGACTAGCTCATGTTACTTATGTGACCTAGCTAGAACTATATGCTTAGCCATGCTTAATTACCACTAGCTCAGTTGATGGGATAATTACAGTATTAGACCTTTTTAGTATCAGAGTGAGCTGCGTGCTCGAGACATCTGGCCATGCTTCATGGTCGTAATTATCTAACTAAAATGCGACTGAATGGTGGGATGTGGGTGCATGGTTTTGTTGGTCGCACCCTTGGCAGTTAAGGACCGGTTCGCGGGATGCCCTGGAAGAACTTATCGTACTTACCACAAGCCAGCGTGGGCAACGGCTGGGCTTGTAGTGTAGCTTTCCTCTAGTCGACGCATCCAGGCAAGGGTGGGCGTGATGGAGTTTGGATGGGCCCTGCGACGGCCTATGCGGCTTCCGGATTCACCTAAGCACGAGAGGGGACTGCCCGTTGCCCGCTGGGGACGGGGGTGAAACCTGAGGTGTGGTGTGCTTGGCTAGAGGGGGTTATGCGAAGGGTCCTGTCACGGCCTCTTTCCGGTATGTCGTGGTGGCATGTCGGCGTACGGAAACGTGTCTTGGGGCTGTGTCTTGTGGGTACAGTTGTACACCTCTGATCAGAGTAAAACTATTCGAATAGCCGTGCCCGCGGTTATGGGCGGTCGACCAGATTCACCGTGATTAGTCCCATCTTAATAAATCGACCCAATACACTGTAGTTCAGGTGGGTTGGTTGGGCCTGTTCAACGTGGTGTAGCGTTGATCAGTGGAGATTTAATGTTACTTTAATTACTCAACAGTTTTACTGTCTTGCTAAATAAAATGTTTTACAACCGCCTTTATGCAAATAGCCACAAACCATCCTTGTATCCCCTTGCACGTCTGCATCGTTGGTGTGGCTTGCTGAGTACGGTGGTTGTACTCAGCCTTGCTATTATTCCCCCTTTTCAGAAGTGTGGTGCTTCTGAGCTGAAGACGAAGTTAGAAGACCAAGGCTCAGACCCCAGTTGAGTTTTGCCTGTGGAGTGGAGCTGAAGCCCCGCTAGGATCGCCTTTTTTCCGCTGCTGCTGCTTTTGTTTCGGTGTGAGGACTAAGTGCCTCTTCTGTAAGTATTTTGCGCTTTATTTACGTTTGGAACTGTTTATTACTTGTCGTTTTGTGTACCCTGGCTGGTCCTGGACAGGGATTTAATACACAAAATAGTCTGGAAATTTGGGCTAAATTTCTGGGCGTGACATCCAACTACCGTGACGGTGGCAAGCATTCGTCGACACCCCCCTACCTCGATGGACCTCAACAATGGTGGTTGTCGATGAGGCAAGAAGATGACAACCGCTGGCTTGGGCTGCTGCCTCCTCTTCATCTTTGCCATGGGCCCATGGTCGTTGGATCCATAGAGATCCCATTCTCGATTGGCTGCCTTGCCGATATTCCCAAGGTATCCTCCATTGAACTCCTCCAAATCCCACTACCCAGCTCACCAAGCTTCTTCCTCTCCACCACCCCCAAGACACTCTTCTCCTCCTCATTACATGTCCCCATCCGCTCCCTCTTCACCAACGTCGTGCCCACCACGTCTCGTAGTTGACCTCAACCTTGAGACCATGATCCTCCTCGTCGATTTGGATGGACGAGGAGCTCGTTATTGGTGCGTACTGGCCTGCATCCTGCAGGAGAAGAGTGGAAGAGAGAGAGAGGGGCAATAAGTGTAGGGATATTTTTTTCCTAATATGTGAGTTCCACATTATTTAATTTTTTTCTCTAATTATAAGTGTGACGTAGATGTCACATCACCTAACACTGATGTCAATATTGAGGAATTAGCTGTAGAAACTCGATAATTCGATAGGGGACGCCAATTGGACTTTGTAAAAAGAAAAGAAAGATAGAGAGGGAAAGAGAACGGAACAGAGCGGAGTAGGAAACACACACGCGTCTCTTGGCGTTGCGTTGCGTGCGTACTTATTCTTGTCGCGGCGTGCCATTTCCGGCGGGGCGGTGCACTGCATTATTGTTGCCTCGCTCGCTCGATCGATCCCCTCTCCTCTCCAAATCCCATCCCCAAATCCCGAATCCTCCATCGAGATCGATCGACGTCGAGCGGAGCGAAGGGGGGATATGGGCGGCGTGGCGGCGGGCACCAGGTGGATCCACCACGTCCGGCGGCTCAGCGCCGCCAAGGTGTCGGCGGACGCCCTGGAGCGCGGCCAGAGCCGGGTCATCGACGCCTCCCTCACCCTCATCCGCGAGCGCGCCAAGCTCAAGGTCCTCTCTCTCTCTCTCTCCCCACCCATTTCATCTTCATCCTGCTTTGCAGCGATCCTCTTTCTCCAGGTTCCCCTTCTTTTTTTAAAAAGCTGCATATTCCTTTCGGTTCGATTTCACCCCCTTTTTCTTTTATTTATTTATATTCGCCCAGTTAATGGGTAATCATGTTTAGTGTCAGTATCACCCGGTCTTTTTCTTTTCTTTTCTTTTCCTTTTACTAGTGGTAGCATGTGCTCTCCCTTTGTTAACATTGTATCCTGCTACTGCTAATCGATTAGTTAATTATACACCATTCTGTTGTTCTCACACTTGCTCTCTCTCTCTCTCTCTCTCTCTCTCTCTGCACCTGTGCACCCAAAAATTTTTTTTTTTTTGCTACTTAACTTTACTGACTTACTACCAGTAATAATAATCTCTTAATGCAACAACCATAATATAGCACTTGCGTTCAGATAGGGGGCATCCTTACAACACTACTCTGATGTCGCATTTGATTCTGAAACCCCCACCCACCTGTACTACCCAAACCCCCCTTTTTTTTTTACTTATGTTGCTTTTAAGTCGATTCAACACGCACCAAATGTTGTAGGACCAGACTTTCAACAGCACAAGTACTCCACACAAGAAATTAAGTGGCTTACCTTTACAATCAGCTCTTCCCTCAAATTGTAGGACAAGATACAGGACTATCATTAATACGACCCTTGGCTTTGTCATGAACTGACTGTTGTATGACCTGTTTTTTCTTCTTTTCTGTGAAATTTAATCAATCATTAATTAACCATCTACCAGGCTTTCAAATCATATCGCGAATGCGTAATGGATACATGGGTTGGATCTGTACACCTACATTTTACATCTGCTACCTCAAGTGTTTTTTTGTTTGCAACTCATTTTATATATGCTACCTCAAGTGTTATTTTTTTTGTCTGCAACTTATGTAACGATTGAGTCCTTTTAAGGCTCATATCAAAATTATTTAGTGGGCCAAGGACTAAGATATGGTCAAAGATGGTCCTTCGCACACAGCATTGCTTTCAGCCTTTGCTTCAGCTGTAATCCAACGTCCTCTTAGCTTAATCTACAGATTTATGTTCTTTCTCTGAAGCAATTATGTTTACCATGTTGCACCTGAATACCTAACAAATTAGAGATGGAAAAGTTTAACATTTGGAGCTACTTTGTTTGAGTTCGTAAATAAACCTATGGCTCATTGAGAGTGGCATTAATCGTACATTCTCTGCAAACTAGTCTTAGTGTTTTTTTTTCAGATTCTAAAGATTTTAAACTTCAGTTTCTACAAGATTACTTCATTCTAGGATCAAATCTTTTAATTAATCTTGTAACATTTCTGACAACTCTGCCAACCCTGACTTGGAACTTTTGCTTGTGTGCAGGCAGAGTTGCTGCGCGCTCTTGGTGGTGTGAAAGCTTCAGCATGCCTCTTAGGTGTTCCTCTTGGTCACAACTCATCGTTCTTACAGGGACCTGCATTTGCTCCTCCCCGGATAAGGGAAGCCATTTGGTGTGGAAGTACCAACTCTAGCACAGAAGAAGGTACAGTTAACGTGTTCAAACTATATAGTAGCATATCTTGTATACAATAAGCATTTATTGAAATATGCCTTGCCTTCTTGTTGTTCAGGCAAAGAACTCAATGATCCTCGAGTGCTAACAGATGTTGGTGATGTCCCCATACAAGAGATTCGTGACTGTGGTGTTGAAGATGACAGATTGATGAATGTTGTAAGCGAGTCTGTCAAAACAGTGATGGAGGAAGTGAGCACATTATCCCACCATGCTTGTTTCAAAAACTTGTTTGTCGATCATCTCAGCTATTTCCTTGACAGTAGTTAGCATAATTTTTTGAAGTTTATTTAAGGATCTGGTGAAGTCTGACATACATCTTAATTAATTTTAGGACAAATATTTGCTTGGACAAAACTTAAAGCTATTGAAGCAGAGTAATTTATTAACTATGCCATACTTTTATGTAGGATCCTCTTCGGCCATTGGTCCTGGGAGGCGATCACTCAATATCTTATCCAGTTGTTAGGGCTGTGTCTGAAAAGCTTGGTGGACCTGTTGACATTCTTCACCTTGACGCACATCCAGATATCTACGATGCTTTTGAAGGAAACATCTATTCGCATGCTTCTTCATTTGCAAGAATAATGGAAGGAGGTTATGCTAGGAGGCTTCTACAGGTACTTTTATACAGCTTTTCGTTGTTTTTTGAGGGAATCACCAGGAGGGTTGGTATCCCACTTGTATATCTTTGAGTTCTGCATTCCAGAACTATCATAGTACTACTGAATGGATGTTTATCTAAACAAAGGGACTACTATTGAATGAACGAACGAATGAATGAAGTATCTCTTTTATTTTTAAGCCCAAATTTAAGGAGAAGGAAAATACAAACACAATATTGAAATATTGGGTTATAATCTTCTCTATAACTAGCGCAGCTGTCATTGCTCTGAAAATATGGTTTCACCTTTAATCCTGATGGTTTTCAGGTTGGAATCAGATCAATTACCAAAGAAGGGCGTGAGCAGGGGAAGAGATTTGGTGTGGAACAGTATGAGATGCGCACTTTTTCAAAAGATAGGGAGAAGCTTGAAAGTCTGGTAATTTTACTAAAAATAACCACGTCAATGTCTTTGCAATCACCTGGGTAATTTTAATATGATGATTGGGGACATATAGTATTGATGTGTGTTATGATTCTTTGTAGTGTGATAATTGCAAATTTGCACTTGGCCATTCATTTAAACATACTAATGTATCTATTTGGCCCAAAGGAGTTTTAGGGTCCTTTTGGGCTCTGTTACTGCCTCCACAGCTTTTGGTCTCTCTTCAAGTTGCAACTCTGATACCTCTACCATAATGTTAGATAAACTATCATGGGATTAAGTTTAATGCTGTAATCTATTCGTAGATGCTCTGTTTGGACAGCCTTGTCTACAACAGGTTGGCAACCAAGGCCATGGGTGTCTAGTTTGAACTTTCAATGCTTTGGCGATGTTAACCTAGGAAACTTTGGTAGCTTGGACCAAGATTTGCCATTAACTTGGTTTGTCACCAAAATTTGGCAAGGGGCCGTTCGCATTGGCTCCCTAATCTGTTTTTATAACCAAACTTCATCAGTCGATGGGCTTTGTAGTGTGCCTTGTGGAAATAGCTATTCATAAAATTGCTTAAAAAATAAAGTGGCAGAGTGACAGTTACCTTGTCAAAACCATCAAGATCTGTTGGAAAGTCACCCTGTTACCTGTCATTGTTGTATTTAACCAGCTGAAAAAGGAAGGTTCACAAGTGGAACTTAGGATTAAGCCAATGTTTTATTTATTTTCCAAAGTAAAATTTTGATGCCATCCAATCTATGTATATGTGTTTCCCAGTTGGGATCCATAGCATGGATATCCTTTTATCCAAATGTCTAACTTATTCTTTTTATTTATTGGCAGAAACTTGGGGAAGGTGTGAAGGGAGTGTACATCTCAGTTGACGTGGACTGCCTCGATCCCGCTTTCGCGCCAGGTGTCTCTCACATTGAGCCAGGAGGCCTCTCCTTCCGCGACGTGCTCAACATCCTCCATAACCTGCAAGGAGATGTTGTCGCCGGAGATGTGGTGGAGTTCAACCCGCAGCGTGACACGGTGGACGGGATGACGGCTATGGTTGCAGCCAAGCTGGTCCGGGAGCTCACAGCCAAGATCTCCAAGTGAGCATCCATTCAGATTCAGGGCATATCATATCACCAACCAACCCCTTGAGTCTGAAGCAGCAAAGAGGATGATTCCCAGACTCCTTTAGCTGTTAGTCTAGGTTCCTATGTAGTAGACATCAGCTATGCCAGATTTTGTATGTGAATATACTCATTAGGTTGCAATAATGTTTGCCTCCATTTTGCACTTGTGATGTTATGGTTATCCCTCATCATCGTGTGCTAGAAGAATGCATATGAACCGTTTTTGTCGTGCTTTCAGGCAACATGCTGACGACAAAAATGCATGGCCAATAAGAGTAATAAATTATTGGCATTTTAAAGACAGAAAAAAAGAATGATAGTACTATACTACTATTATATAGAAAGTACTTTGCCAAAAAAAAGAGTGATATTTTACGAGGTTCAAGTGGAGTGGTGTGGTGGAGGTGGAGCTGGTGGCAAGTCTGTGTCAACCATGGCATCGCCCTCCGGCGCCGGCAAGCCACCGGCCGTCCTCCTCCTCCGGCCGGTGGACCAGCCCTTCGCCGTCGCGCTGCGCGAGCGCTACCGCGTGCTCGACCTCCTCTCCTCCGGCCAGCCTCTCCCGGCCTTCCTCGCCGCCGCCGCCGCCGCGCCTGACCCGCCGCGCGCCGCCGTCGTCATGGGGGGCGGCTCAATCCGCGCCGACGCGGCGCTCTTCGACGCCGTGCCTTCCCTGCGCTGCGTCGTCAGCACGGCGGCCGGCGTCGACCACATCGACCTCGCCGAGTGCGCGCGCCGCGGCGTCGTCGTGGCCAACTCCGGGACGGTGTACTCCGGCGACGTGGCCGACCACGCCGTGGGCATGGTGATCGACGTGATGAGGCGCGTGTCGGCGGCGGAGAGGTACGTCCGGCGAGGGCTCTGGCCGGTGCAGGGGGACTATCCTCTCGGCTCCAAGGTCAGCACCACCTTCCTTTTTTTCTTTTCTTTTCTTCAACTAATCACCAACACTAACTGCAGTCTAATTGAGTTTATGCATTTTTATTTTTTATTATATGTACGTATAATCTCTCCGATTTCCATTATTTTGTGATGCATTTTATTTGCATAACTAAGAAAGCAATTGAAAAAAGGAGTGAAAATAGAACCAGCTCTTGTTTACGTTATCCCAGCACAGGGCAGAGAAGCAGCATCAGCAGAAGTTATAATTTCACATAACTACAGTTTTAGCACGAAATTTCTCACAAAACTATATAATTGGAATGGAATGTCACAAAAATTAAAGATTAAGTACCAAATTTATCACAAAGCTATATGTTTAGTATCAATTTATCCCAAAACTATGACGTTTATAACTCCAACATAATGTTAGTACTAGGGATTAAACTCTAGAATATGTATTTTCGTGATAACTTCAATATTAAATCTATAGTTTTGTGATAAATTTAATATAAAATCTGTAGTTTTATGATACTCGGCTTTAAATGTGTAGTTTTGGGATAAATTTACTGTTAAATCTGTAGTTTTGTAATACAACGTTTTAAATATGTAGTTTTGCGATAGTTTGGTAAAAAAAATATAGTTTTATAATATTTATTCTTTTTATTTTTATTATATGTATATATAATCTCTCCGATTCCCATTAAAGAATGGAACTTGTGATGCATTTTATTTTGATAGCTAAGAAAGCAATTTAAAATAAGGAGTGAAAATAGAACCAGCTCTTGTTTGCATTATCTCAGCACAGTGCAGAGAAGCAGCATCAGCAGAAGTACCTAAAAAGAGTCACACTCCATTACACAAGGCTCAACAAAGTTTCAGCAAAGCAACAACAAGGAGCTATTGAAATGGCACAGTATCAGATCATTGCAATCTTCCTGCTTGATTCCCCATCTGTACTTCAAATTGTCTTTTAGTAAAATGTTTTTGAAACAAGCAGCATTCCTGGCTTGCTGGCCCATAATTAGCAATCAATTTCTGGAGGTTTTTAGTGAATCAATTCATCCAGGGTCAATACGTTGAATAACTCCAAGTCAAAAGCACAATTAGCAACATCCCATACAAATTTCGCTGGTGAACAGGTCGAGAAAAGATGTCCACCTCTAACCTCTTTGAGTTAAATTGTCTTTGCCAAAATCTTATCTCAAAGGTAATTTAAACTTCACATTTTCTTCAAAGCGTAAAGGCAGCCCTGTACTTTTAAAGCTTTGTAAAAGGAGTTCACAGTAAAATGCCCACTTTTTGTACGATTCCGAATAATCATGTCTCTCTGATCAGTCAGAATAATAATCTGACATTACTGTTGTATTTTCTGCTATAACACCAATCTGTCCTCTATCAAAGTTCTTCTAAATCTAAAAGCACTCCAACCCTCAGCTTTTACTTTGGCCACTGTAAAAATTGTTGGTAAAGAGGATATTGTATGGAAAAAGGAATTGCGGAGACACAGGTCTGCCTCTGACCAATTGTCCTCCAAGAAAAAAAGTATTTGTTCCATACCCAATCTTTTTAATTCATAGTTGTTTATGCTTTTCTTGTTAAGTTTGTTCATTGCTTCATATCTTAATACAAAATATATGCAAGCCTTTTGCACATTCCTGAAAGACACTTCTTTTGCTTTTTATATTGCATTTTTTTCGTGAAAAACATTCATTTACAAGTTACAAATTTAAAATATATCTTATCATCGATTCCTTTTAACAATGGGAAAATGTGAACATATCATTTGATATCCTAAATTTTTCGTTGCATATGATCCAAATCCATTACTTCACGCACACTTCCTTACACCTGTAATTCTATTTACAACCGCTGTCCATAAGCCACAGTTTATGCAACAATGGCTTCTAACTAAATCAGAAAGTTTAGGTGTTTAATTTGTTCTGTGAACCAACAATTTAAGAAATTCAGGACGTTTGGAACAACTGGTGGTGTTAAAGTTTACAACCAAAGGGACGCATATAAAATTGTTTAGTGTATTGTGTAGGTGTCATACACGAATATTGCATCAGAGAACATATACCAGACTGACCATGAGGATTATAGGTTCCATCATTGCAGGCTTGACTGACATAAGCTATTAACTAGTGAAATACTGCATCCGTCTCATAAAAAACTAATCTAGTACTAGATTCACATCTAATACTACGAATCTAGACATACATCTGTCGTAGTACTATTGTACTAGAATGTGTGTTACATCCAATCCTATATTCGTTTTTTTTATGGAAGGAGTATTTGTTTCTGTAAAAATGTTTGCTAAGTGTTGATTGTCATGTATGGAATGGAGGGAGTATGTGGTGTTTGCTAGAGACATATGTCATGCACTTCTTTGGTAAAGATAGATGGAATATAAGAAAGCGATTAAAGGGGTAATATGGTCGTTAGTTTATTTAGAAGATCTTTTCACTTTGAAAGGCTTTGGAATCTTTGTGCTCTTTTAGTTTTATGTAAGGTGCTTGAGCCTTTGTGCTCCTTTTGTTTGTGAACTTTCGCCGTGTTTAGTTCCGAAATATTTCTTCAAACTTTCAACTTTTCCATCACATCAAAACTTTTCTACACACATAAACTTCCAACTTTTCCGTCACATCGTTCCAATTTTAACCAAAAAACTTTCAATTTTGGCGTGAACTAAACACAGCTTTTGTGTATGAACAGAGCTTGTTCGCTCGGATTTTCTGTGGCCGTATACACCCCCGTTGGTGTAGAAGCCGGGTTTTATAAATTCCCATTATCTAAAAAAAAGTATTGATTGTCAGTGCCGGGTTTTATATATGCATTTCTCGTCTTTCTGTTGGCATGCATCAACCCAAAAATGTGAAATGACAGTTTGAGTTAATTTTCTCTGAATCATGTATGTGCTTAAATAATTAATCAAATAATTTCAGGTAAGCGGCAAGCGTGTGGGCATCATCGGGCTTGGCAACATCGGTTCACTGATCGCCAAGAGGCTGGAAGCATTCGGCTGCGTCATCTCCTACAACTCAAGAAACCCCAAACGCTCGCTCCCCTACACCTACTACGCCGACGTCCGCGCCCTCGCCGCCGACTCCGACGTGCTCGTCGTGTCGTGCGCGCTCAACAGCGAGACGCGCCACATCGTCGGCGGCGAGGTGCTGGACGCGCTCGGCGAGGGCGGCGTGGTGGTGAACGTGGGGCGCGGCGCGAACGTGGACGAGGCGGCGCTGGTGAGGGCGCTGCGGGAGGGGAGGATCGCCGGCGCCGGGCTGGACGTGTTCGAGGGCGAGCCCAAGGTGTCGCCGGAGCTGAGGGAGATGGAGAACGTGGTGCTGACGCCCCACGTGGCGGTGTGGACGGCGGAGTCGAGGTCCGACCTACGTGACCACACGGTGGCCAACCTTGACGCCTTCTTCTCCGGCGACCCGCTGCTCACGCCGGTCATGCTTCCCTAACCCACCACCTACATACTCCACGTACAGGTAATTTCTATTGTTGCTATTCGTCTGGTTTCATTCCATTTTTTGAGTAAATTTCATGTACTTATCAATAGCGTGGTTCCGTGAAACTTTAATACCAAATATATAAATATGTAGTCAAGTGTCAAAATATATATAGTTTTCTACAGCTTGGATTACAAAACGTGTAATTTTATGAAATTTACACTTCTATTTTCGTTGCAGAAGTGAACTCCGATAATACTCCAGTATATACAGTGATGGGTATATATATGTACAGTGTAACCCAAATAAGCGGCCCATCAGAGGTCCATTGGCCCAAAAGAGGCTTTATACTGTACTGGAATAAGTTCATCCGAGGTCCCTTAACTTTACACCGAATTTAATTTTCGTCCTTTAACCCCAAAACCAAATATAACAGTTGCTTGAACTGTCAAAACCGTGCAAATAAGTTCTCTCGGCGGTTTGGAAAACGGTTTTAGCTGACGTGGCTGGTTTGACTGAGTCTTCATCCCACGTGGCATTGACGCGACGCTTATGTGACAATTCTATACCTGAAAAATAATAAAAAACTATGGGCCCACATGTCAGTTAAAAAAAAGGTGGGCCTCATGTGGGTCCACACCCCCTCCTCTTCTTCCTCCTCCTTCCCAGCTCTGTTCATCCCTCTCTAGGCGTCACTGCCATCGGCGGAGCTGGGCGGCTACGGGCCGCGGGCGGAGCGGGGCAGAGCAGAGGGGCGGGAAGCTCACCGGCGATGGGAGCGTGTCCAACGCCCACGCGGTGCCCCCAGCGGTAGGCGGGTGCTCCGCCGGCGGCGACAATCCCCACCAATGCAGTCTGCTTCAGATTATGCTTCTGGCCGCCTCAAACGCAATAGTGACGACGACGGCGAGGGCTGCCACTGCTCCAAGAAAAAACGGTGATTAAACATACACACACCTGCATCTGCACGCACTTGATTTGCTCCAAATTAAAACGACATTAACGATTCTGTGATGAACTTGTTGTGGCGGCGCATGGATGCAGGAAGGCCTCGTGGAGGGAGGCACGCTGGTGGACGGGGATGGCTGCGCGAAGGGCAGTGTCCTCCTTGGCGACAGCGGTGGCGAGCTCGGCACAGAGGAAGTCGAAGGTGGGGCGGAACATGCGGAAGTCGGCGCTGCTGCATAGGTCCCACCACAAGCGTGGCCGGTCCTTCGCCCACAGTGGAGAGTGGGAGCAGCGCGCGGTGGACGGCCTCCTCCTCCGCTGCCACCGGCATGCCTCCCCGCATCTCCTCCTCCGGCGGCCACCGCCGCACGCCGCCCCTTCTCCCCACCGGCCACCGCCCTTCTCCCCGCCGCCACTGCCGGATCTCGGTCACCGGCGTTGCTCCAGGGGGACCCGTCGCCGCACGCGTCCTGCTTCGCCCACCGCCGTCGCCGACCCCCTCTTATCGTCCCGGCTTCCTCCTCCAGCCCGTCGCTCTCGTCGGCGGTCACCGGTCTCATCGCCCACCGAGCCACCGGCCCGACCTCGCCGCCTCGCTCCTCCACCCCTTCACCACTTACGCTGGGCGTGCTCACCATCGAGAAGAGAGAGGAGGGGGAGAGAGATGAAGAGAGGGGAGATGGGGAGAGAGAGAGGAGGAAGAAGGGGGGTGTGAATGACATGTGGGCCCCACTTTTTTCAATTTTTTTAACTGACATGTGGGCCCACGTTTTTTTTTATTTTTCGGGATAGAATTGCCACGTAGACGCCACGTCAATGCCACGTGGGACGAATACCTAGTTAAACCAGCCACGTAGGCGCCATGTTAGCTAAAACCGCCGAGGGACCATGTTTGCATTGGTTTTGACAGTTCAGGGACCTGTTATATCTGGTTTTTGGGTTTAAGGACGAAAATCGAATTCGGTGTAAAGTTAAGGGACCTTGGATGAACTTATTCATACTGTACTAGCACTGTATGACTCTTCTTATCCATAGATTGGAACTTAGGATTTTTCTATTGAATCAGTTTAAATCTCGTGAAATTCCTTCAAAAATCTACTATTCCAGATAAGGTCCAGTTACAACCTGGCTTGGCTGATGGTAGTGGTTTCCACTCGAGGCAGTGTGACAAAAATGTACGGGGAAAACGTGAACATGTCTAACAAAGAGTACAATACTAGTCAGTCTTGACAAAAATTAGTAACAGCGTCGACACACAGTGGTATGTCAGCATGGCCTATGTTTCTTTATCCACTTTCAACAGTGCTAATTAATACTAGGAGTACTTCTGTAACACGGTGAAATCTATTTTCGCTTTCAAGTCCAACTAGGATATGATGAAGTCACGTATTCGCTCGGCTCTAACCATACTGCTATTTGCTATTTCCTCTATGTTTAAAAAAAATATATATGAACTGTATTGGTGCATGAAGAATTTGTCAATATAGTTATGCTAACTGCCTTCTATATTATTTTGCTTATTTGATTTTTAACTTTTATAAGATAATAAAGTCAGTAGGAAATCTAATAAACAATTAATTGCAAACCTTGCATTCACATTTTTAAACTAAATTTACATTATTTTAATACTATTTGTTTTATCTTAGTAGTTGTATGACAGTGAGTTCCCCTTTTTCCTTTGCTGCTACTGTACAACCCTTTATTTTATTTTTCAATGGAGTGATTGCTTTGTAAGGATATGTTTGTGAGTTTTTATTCTAAATTGAACCAATGGCTCTATGTATTATTTTAACCTTATGAAAATGGTCATGAAAATTCCCGATCGACCGAGCACCGTTTCAATATAAGGGGTACCGTTTTCGACCTTTACCCATTTTGGCTATATATAAATTTTATATTTTCTAATTTCTTTTTACATCGTATTAATGCAAACACTGAATAGTTTAAATGATAAATATGGTCAATTACCGGTCGATCGAATGTCGTTTCCGAAGAGATGCTACTGATTCCGATTGTTTCCAACCATTTTCACCCCCAAATTAAACCCTGGCTCGTGCATCCCTATAGATAGAGCTCGTCTTGGTGCTCTCTACATGGGCACGTGGACCTGGCTGTGCTCAAGGCAGAGGCTCATTTGCCATGGCCCTGGGAACACATTAGGCACTCCATGGGCGGCACCTCAACTCAAAGCTAGGCATCCTCCGTCTAGCTCTCTGTGCCGTGGTCGACGCATCTTCCCCATCCACACTGCAATATTGCGTCACCACTACCCCTTCTACGTCTTCCCCATGGCCAAGAAAATAATGGTGAACTTCTCGGTTGTGTGGACATCGAGGCAGACGCAGGAGGTTGGGGTCTTGGGGAAGTTAGAAGCCAGGAGTGCTTCGGGAGCCTTTCGTTCACTCTGCTTGATTATTGGAGAGGTCTTCTTTTTAACGGTCTTCAAATCCAACGGACCATCTTTTCTTGCTTACGTGGCTCATTATCGTTCAATTTTCACATTCACTTTTCACTTGGAGAGATTTACACCTTTTTATTTAAAAACATGTTGTTCGGATAGTTTACTATCGTTTTCCAGTTTCGTTGGATTACTAGTGAAACCGTATTCTTTAAGATTGAGGAATAAAAGTTACAAGAAACACACCATTTTCTCTTTTTTTTCTATTTTAAAATAAAAGAGTCTAATTTGTTTCTGAGTCCAATATTAACCATGCCGACACAATCCGTTTCCGAGAATATTAACTAGGCAGTTGGCTCAATAATATAATAAGGATGAAAAATACGGATCGACCTGAGGAAAGTTGAGAAATTTTGATGATCAAGGGGGATCGAAAAAGAGAATATGAATCTACTACTACTAGTGTGAATTTTGTGGCCACTTGGCGTAATATATGGCAGATGGAATTCTGCACGTACGTTTTCCCTCACAAACAATGAGCGAGAGGGGAGAAGCAGACACATCGATAGACGCAAAATGACCAACGTTACTTACAACGAGCAAAACAGCAACAAATTGGTGAGAGGTACACTACTCCGCTACTCTCAGTTGCAGATGCAGTGCAGACTGCAATTTGAAGGAAGGCCGGCCATGCCATGTCCGTGTTGCTGCAGAATGCATGCAGATTCAGAGATTCTGCTGCTGCAAGTCCCAAAACACCGCAGGGGAAAAGACATATATTCCGTGAGATGTATTGGAGAGGATGAATCAGTACAAACCACACAGCATCTTATCTATCTCCTCTATCACCGGCCTAAAAAATTCTCAGTATTAGCCTTGTTTCAGACCGATGCCACATTCCTCTTGATGAAACCGATGCCAATGTCAGCAACCAAACAAATGGGATCAGATTCTCTCTTTATCTCATCATCACCTTTTTACTATCTTCTTTCTTTCTTTCATAAAAACAAAAACAAGAACCATAAGATAGTACTATACTGTATTAATTATCACTACTAGTAGTACTTAAAGATTGTGACCGTTTGTTAACAAGATAATTAAAATTTTATAGTGTTACTTTTTCCGTCTCAAAATATAGATATTTGGTCTTATATCCAAATTCATAGTACTAACGGTGTCAAATTCAATACTCTCTTCATCCAAAAATATAGTACTTCCTCCGTTTCACAATGTAAGTCATTCTAGTATTTCCCACATTTATATTGATGCTAATGAATCTGGATAAATATATATGTCTAGATTCATTAGCATCAATATGAATGTGGAAAATGCTAGAATGACTTACATTCTGAAACGGAGGGAATAATTTAGGATCGAATTGTACGTATCTTAATAAAACGAATCTGGACAAATCTATGATATGTCCAATTCATTCCTTGATTGTTACGTATATTTTAGGGTGAATGGAGTACTAAATAGTTACATTTTGGGACGGTAATAGTAGCTAGGTTGAGGCTGCATGGATGCAGTTTTGAAAAGGTAGCAACGAAAGCAAACAGAGATAGATGGAAATCTAATTGTTTACAGTGGATGGATCTGCAAAATGTTCCTACCCCAGGGTACCGCTACGATACACAAGCCAACCCCTCAATATTTTTTGATCATCACTATAGTACAAGTACTCCTACTACATCACTATCTGACGGAACCGCATTCAAATGTGGAGCACCCATAATTAAATGCCGCGATTCATTTACTACAGTGCTATTATCTCTACGTACTGTACCGTACCTGCTCTGCTCTGCACACTCGGCTCCTTATTCTTTCTCACCCAATATACACAGGAGTAATCTGGTTCAAATTTTTTTATTTTTTCTTTTTTTTATGTTTTAATTTTATTAATAAGCCTTTTAAAAAAATATTTTCGAAAACTGAACTTTTTGGCCACGCCAGCCGAGTGGCAGCGTTGTCCTGCCATGCCAGCAGTGGTGGCGTGAGAAGAGGCTGCTTCCACTTCAGCTGCGTCTGGCGTGATAGAATTATTTGAAAATATTTTTAGAAATAGTCTATTAATGAAATTAAAACATAAAAAAAAATCAATCTTGTTTCAGGGCAATTATCAATAAGCATTTTGTTCAGATGTTGAATCAATAATAATACTATGTAGGAGTATATACATCAGAAATTTTATAACAGTAAAGAAAAAGGAAAACTAAAAAAAGAAAAAGAAAAAGCAGAGAGAGAGAGAGAGCTAGTGAAAGTGAGGAGACGAGGCATGTCTACTCAGCCAATTCAAGAGAGATCATCAACTAGTTGCGCGCATTTCGAGGCGACCTGTCGCTATCCGGATCGTTGAACAGTGATCTGACGGTGGTTGGTGGTGGGTGACGTCACTCCCCACCGGCAACCGCCGCGATCTCCGCGTCCAGCAGCGCGTCGAGCACCCGCTCCGCCACCTCCTCCGCCACGTCCTCCCCCTCCTCCGCCACCAGCCGCCGCTCCACCACCCGCCGCGCCCGCGCCGCCGCCTCCACGTCCGCCGCCACCAGCGCCAGTATGTCCTCCACCACCCTGCAGTCCGCCGCCGGGAAGCTCCGCGCTCGCCTCCACAGCCGCGCCACCAGCGCCGCTCCCGACGACGTCGACGGCGAGGTCGGGTCCAGCCCCAGCAGCTGCTCCGCGAGCATCTCCTGCGTCAGCTGGAACAGCAGCTTCCGGTTCCATCTGTGCCGGAGGGGCCCCAGCCGCGCCTCGTCCGCCGGCAGCTCCAGCTCCAGGAGGTGGAACACCAGCGGGTCTACCGGCGTCTCCACCGAGTGCCCCTTCAACGCCGCCGCTCTCGCCCGCATGAACCCGCCGCGCTCCAGCACCGCCCGCAGGTACACGTACTCCGGGTCCTCCTCCACCGTTGCTGGAGGCGCCGTCACCGCAGGCGTCGACGACGTGATCTTGCGCTCGCCGGAGACCACGATGTCCCTGACGTCCGTCGAGCTCGTCGGCGATGGTTGCGCCGGTAATATTGGCGGTGGAGCGGGCTTCTTGATCCGCGTCGCGAACCGCTCGCACCCGTCTGGTCGCTTGCACTTGGCGGGTGGCGCCGCAGCTCTCGGTGGCGGGTCCAGCGGCGGAGGCGGAGGTGGCGGCCGGGACGGCTTCGCTCGCTGCTGCTGAGGCGGCGGTGGCGGTGGCGCAGGTCTCGGTTGCAGCGGAAGCCTCGGGGCGTGCGGCTGCTGCTCAGCCAAAGGCGCCCTCATCGGCGGCGCGGCTGCCGCCTGCTTAGCTGCAGGTGGCGCGTTCTCCTTGCCGCAATGGTGGTGGTGGTGCACGGGGCTCGCGTTCTCCTTGCCAATGGCGGCGGCGTTCTTCTTGGACTTGCGGTTTGTGACGGTCTCCCTGGCCTGCCTGACGATCTCGCGCACGGCATTCTCCTTGCTGGAGCGGCCATCGGCGGCGGCGGTGGCGTCGCGGCGGCTTCTGGTCTTCTTCTTCTTGGACAAGGAGGTGGGCGAGGTGGGCATGGACATGTACTGCCTGGCCCGGTCGAGCACGTTGTCCTTGAGCACCTGCAGTGACAGGCGCGGGTGGTCGACGACGTCCCACGTGGGCGCCACCGCCGCCGCCGGCCTGAGCGACGACGTGGAGGCGCGCGGCGTGTCCGGGAGGGAGCGGGAGAGGTCGCGGAGCGGCTGGCGGAGGCTGATGGACTCCGGGATGACGCGCTTCTTCTTCTCGCGCGGCTTGGAGTTGGAGGAGGTAGCCGGCGAGGGCGAGTCGGGGAGGCCGTCGATGCCCATGAGGCGCGCGACGAGGCTGGGCGTGCGCGGCGTCTCGGCCTCGGAGGTCGGCGCGGACGGCCTGGGGCGCGCGAGGGCGTCGAAGGCCGGCTCGATCTGGACGCCGATCTGGATGTCGCGGCGGAGCAGGTCGGCGTCGAGGAGGTCGAGGCTGTTGCGCGGCGCCTGGAGGCCCGCCTCGCCCGGCGTAGCAAGGGACGACGACGGCGGAGAAGCGGCGGTGACGACGGCGACGTGGGAGGAGGAGGAATTGGGCGGGCGGCCGACGCAGCCGGCGCCGGGGGAGAAGATGAGGTAGCTCATGATGGCCATGCAGCCCGGGTGGGCGTCGGGCGTTGGCCTCCCGTGCCTGAACGCCGGAGGAGGAGGTTGATCCCTGGAAGGCGGCGGCGGCGAGGAGGAGCGGGTGCGGGAGAACCAATGGTGTCTGGAGCTAGTCTTCATGGCAACAAATTGCCTCTCACCGATCTTCTCGTCTCGTCTCCTCTCTCCTGTAGGAGTATACGCCTATGGCTGCTATACTTGCTTAGGTAGAGGTAGCTGGAATGGTTGAAGTGGGTAGGTATTTTGTGATGCAGGGCAGGGGAGGACAAATTTAGCAAGTGTTTGTTGTCGGTGTCTGCAGGTGCAAGCAATTGCAAATATTTTGCTCCTCAACATTTTAGTACTCCTGCTCTAGAGAGAGAAAGATAGATGAACAAGAAGAAGAGGGTGAGGAGGAGTGGAGTAGTTAAGCTGGGGAAGTGTGACACTGCCTGCACAGAGTGGGCAAATGAGTAGGAGTATGCAAAAAAATATGCAGCTACTCCTCCAGGCTCCAGTAGTAGTAGTAGTGAAATGAAATCTACTCCCTGGAGCAGCAGCAGTAATTAACAAGGGGGACCAAGGAACCCGGAATCCCTCTGCTTGAATAATTTACAGTCACATGAAAGAGAGACTCTCTCTTGGGTAATAATATTGGATTGAGATTACATGCGGTCACTACTACAAATTGCAAGTTAGTGACTAGAGTACATGTTAATTATCTCATTCATTCATTTCTTCAAGGAACGGTTAAGATTGAGTGCTACAGTACGGATGCTATTGTAAACATTTTTGTTATTTTAATGTGCAAACAATGTCTGCAGCCGTTGAATGTTATTTTAATCGTTTTAAATTGCAGTCACGCTAACAACTGCATACATAGAAACCCAATCCGGTAATAGAATCTGGGATAGCCTGTAGAGAGAGAGGAACTACTCCAGTGCAGAGCAGGGATGCATCGGGGCAAGGGAATCAATCTCATCAATCAGTGTCAATCTGGAAATGGACTGAAATACATGCAGCACACAGTTGTTCCATCCAAAACAAACCAAAGGATGGATCGTTATCATTGGTTCTTGTACCACCACCATCACACCCTTCCCTACAAAAGAAAGAAAGAAAGAAAGAAAGAAAGAGGAGAAACAGGGGAAAGTTGTTATCATCATGCATTGCATATTCTCCGCCTAATTGTTGGTTGCTTCTCTGCTTTCAGCACAGATGCTCCTCTCTAGCTGTATCTCTGCGTACACCGACTGCATGTGTTTTCAAAAGAAGAGAGATCTGAATCTACTGCAGGTTATGCCTCCCTCCATCTCGTGGGAGCGGGCTCACCATCCTTCAAATTGCTACTCTCACCCCCATATTTTGTATTTTTACCCCCGTTTCTCATCCATCCGTTAGCCAGGGTCTGTTTGGTTGACAACCACATTCTACCATATGGAAGAGCGTATAGCATGACTGTACGTAAGAACTGATATCACTTGGATGTGTGTTTTAGGACAGAGATACGAGGATGTAACATATTTTCATTGTCCTAAAATATAGAACTGACATTGCGAATAATTTGATTGGAAAACAAGAACATGAAATTAACCAAAATATGTCTCAATTTGAATTTGGTTCCTTTTTCTTGGGCATCCAGTCGTAGTATAATACTAGTACCACCGGTTAAAAAGTTGGGCATGATACTAAGAGAAAGGGGAAGCAAGAAAGGGATGTGATACTGCAGTAGTATATGCTGCTGACTGTCCTAAAGTTTATTAATGTACAGTACCTGACTGCCCCATGTACTAACACAGTAATTAAGGTTCGCTTTGCATTGGAAGGAGCAAAGATGACGATATGACGAACGGACCGACGATGATTCCAACGAGAAAACACAAACCAAACACATAGTATGAGATGAGATGATATAAGCACAGCCTCTTCACACACCTCTATGCAAAATGCACACTCTCATCGGTCATCAGACAGTTGGGCATGGTCCATTGGTTAATTAATTACTACCCCTGTACTCACTGATATGATGTACTTTAGTTAATGCCGTAGTTAATCCCCATGCGAGGGTGGTTAATTACCATGGATTAGTGGATAACAAAACGGATCAAATGTGACTGTGAGTGACGTTTTGAGCCCCCATTGGTTGGGGGTTTTAAGTGCACTGAAATTGAGGAAGGCGTCACCATCATCATCTTCCTCCTCATTTCATTGCTTGGAATCTCTCTCTCTCTGGGTGAGATGGATGAGCGACCCCAGTGAGACAATACTCCAGTGAGCAGCAGCAGCCGGCGTGACCACATGGCTTTCCGGCCTATCATCGTCATCTTCTTCCTCCTTAATTATCCCTCTCTTTGCACAACAAATGGTTGTTTATTTTCTAGTAAACTGTTAGTTACTGCAAACCTTCTTCGTCACCCTCTTAATTAATATGCTCCATCTCATTCTCAACTGTATAATTTCCTTCAACCTAATTCAAATATTTATTAAAAAAAACACCCAACTATATACTTACGAACCTCCCTCTCTCTCTCTATATATATAAAATAATAACTTCTGGCTTGATACATAGCCCAAAATTAATAGCTAGGCGGTTTATTGTGATGTGTTGTACTCCGTATATATTAGCCAGTGAGTATCATTGTATTATCCATAGACAATAGATCGTGTCGGATTTATGAAACATGGCTTTTTTTTTTTCTTAACTGGAGTGTACATGGTTAACTTTCACTCTTTTGTTTTTTCTAACAAAAAATAATGCACATGCAAGTTCATTCAAATAAAATGATGGTATTCAGTTTTGAATTCGATCAGCTGAGGCTGGGGGTAGGGGTAGGGGGAGCATGCACAAATGCAAAAATTAAAGATAACGTTTTGGACGCATGCAGAGAGGCTTTGCCTGCTTGGTGGTACACCAGCTACTATACTGATCTGATCTTAGCAGCTGATCCATGAGCTACATGCGTCCCCGGCCACCGTGTCAGTAGACACGCGCCTCCGATCCGGCCCCTGGTTAATAAATAATTAACCTCTCTCTCTCTCGACCAAACTCGTAGCTGCACGGTAAATTAATTAATTCCATGTAGGTAGATCTACCACATGAAAGCTATAGCTTGTAGCTAGATCCACGCATCATAGCTTTCGTCTCGTCGTGGATTTGAATTCGACTACGTACTACTATACGCTCATTTTGAAATTGAAAATTAGTTATGGCAATACTCTCACGTACTACTTGGTCGTTCAAAAATTCAAGCTTTAAGTGAACCCTTCAATTAATCTGGCCTTAATGGGTGTGAGACCAAGGATCGATTGATTCAATGCATACAATAGCTAGCACTGCATTAAATTTCAATTTACCTGCATATATATTACTCTTACTAGTTATTTTTTACCGTACCCTCTCTATTTTTAAATTACTTATCGTTCTAAATCTATCTTAAGTTAATCGATCATGTCTATCTTTGAGCATTATTTCTTTAAAAAAATCAGTGTTAGTTAACAACATGTAAATTCTATGTTATGCAAACATTTCTCATAGTGAATCTAAAAACATAAACCTTATGATGCTATACAATATGAATTTTCAAAATTGATACAAACATATAAAAGTTATGACAAAGCTAAAATGGTAAGTAATTTAAAACGAATGAAGTATTGTCTTCTAAGATATATAATATCTCGTAGCATTATACACCGTGAGGTATTATTTACCAATAATTCCCGATTCGTCAAGCTATATACTCCCTCTATTCTAAAAAGAGTACTAGTACTAGCAAGGTGGGGCCATCTCATGAGAGCATCTCCATCCCACTCTCCGAACAAAAACTTGGCAATTTTGGATAAAACACACTCTAAGAGCATCTCCAAGGGCCTAGCTATCCCACACTCCAAGCCAAAATTTGGCAATTTTGAACAAAAATTATTCTCCAACATACTTGCTATTTCAATGGCCAAGCCATCCAGCTAGCTAAACTGCCTCCCTCGCTGGCCAAATTTGGCCAGCTAAAACCGGCTAGCCATCCATGGGACCCACGCCTGTTTCCCATCTCTCTCCACGCACACCCTCCATCCGAGCACATGCAGTGGCGGCGGCATCCATCGCCGGCCTCCACTGTCTATGCCCTCGTCCGCCGCCGCCTTGTCCTAGCCCGAGCGGAGGAAGGAGGGAGCGGGAAGCGTCTTCGTCTTCGAGGTCGAGGTCGTGGGCCATCGAGGTCGTCGTCGTCGAGCAAGGTCGGCGTCGCCATCACTAGCCTTTGCGCAGTTGCCTTCGCCATCCCTGTCCCGAGCTCCGCCACAGCCCCCCGAAGACGTTGTCGTCGTCACTTGCCGCCTCCCATCTTGTCCGTCACCGCCGCCTTGTCGCCTCGTCGAGCAAAAGGGCCTGAGCGGGGCGAGGCCGCCGCCGCGCCGCCTTCCGCCTCCCCGCGCCACCTTCCGACTCCCGCCTCCCCGTGCCTCCTTCCACCCCCCCGCGCCATCTTCCACCTTCCGATTCCCGCCTCCTTGTGCCTCCTTCCCCCACCCCCCTCGCCACCTTCCACCTTCCGTCTCCCGCCTACCGTTGCTGCGCACGCGTCGACGGCTGCCTGGATGGCCCCCTGTGTCGTACCGCACACTGTCGCCCGCTGCGCTGTAGTCCGTGACGGAGAAGACGCGCGCGGCCACCGCGAGCGGCGGTGGCAGGAGCAGGAGCAGCAGAAGGGAAGTGACAACAACGAGAAGGAAGGAAAGGGGAAAAGAATGAAAGAGCAGGAAGAAAGGGGGCGAGAGAGAGAGAGAGCAGGAAGATGAGTAGAGGCTGACATGTGGATCCGTTGTTATTTTGGAGAGGATTAATAGAGAGTTTGTTGGAGTGACCATCTAGTTTGACTAGCCAAATCAGATGGAGAGTTGGCTATATGGGTGTTTGGAGAGTCCAATTTGGAGAGGCTGTTGGAGATGCTCAACCTTACCAACTGGCTTACCAAGTCATTTGGCTAGCCAAACTCCCCTGGTCACTAGCTAGATTTGGCCATGCTATTTTGCTGGCCAACACTGGACCCCATGCGGGGAATCTCCTCCCTACCCCCCTCTCTCTCCTGCATCGTCTCTCTCCCATCCCGGAGTGTGCCGCACCCCCTTCCTCCTTCCCCCATCCAGCCTCTCTCCTCGCCATCTGTCGGTGACATGGGACCGGGAGTATCATGACTTAGAGACTTGAGGCAGACACGATCACCCACGTGGCCTAACCCCCTCGGGGGGGGGGGGGGGTCGGGCCCGAGGGTGATACGGCCGCCCTTCTCTTTGTCTCCCCGAGGGGTCGGACCGCTCCCGTCTCGGCCCCGAGGGCCGAGGCGCCCCGCCCCCTTGTGGGTTTTGCGCTGCGTATATGGGGTAAGTGAGCATAGCGGGGCTCACCTAACCACATTTATTGCGGTTTGGACGAGCGCGTCACGCCGCATGTAACGCAGTGCAGCGCACTCGTTTATCCGGTCTGTGACCAGTCACAGACCGGTCAGATCGTGGGTTAGGTGGCGACAGGCGGTCTGACGCACGCCTCGCCCCATCCCGTCAGGATGAGAGCCTCCAAGCACTCGTCCCTAGCCGGAGCCGGCGTGTTAGCTTCTGGAGATGGCACGTTGGT